GCAAGACACAAAAGAACCAAACATAAACACTAGAAAAATCTAGATTTAACAAGGATAACACATAACTAACTATTCAAAACAGTCCATGCCTTCTTCCTTCAGTTCCCAGAAAACAGGCCCAAGCTGCCTCTCTTATCATGTCTGACAGAGCAAAAAGAATGTGAACCAAAACAGTAAAATGAGATTAAGGTTGTGAAGATCCAATAAAACACCCTAAAAACATGTAATTGTCATGTGGCAGGGAAGTAGCCAAAGCGATTTCTGAACCATGAACAATCATCTTCAGGAACTCAGGGTGGAGGGGGCAAGGTCTCAACTTAAAGACAATGCAAAGAAAAAAAGAATGTAATGAATAAATTTATCAGTCAACCTTAATACACAGAAAATTTACCAAGCAAACTCAATTGATCACTTTAAGAATTCTGAGAGATGATAAAGTGATCGATGCCAAACACTGGGAAGATCATTTCCCAATAACATCCTGCTGAACCAATTTTTAATTTTCCTTTTTAAACATACAGAAAGATCACAGTGAGCAAGGAGCAAGTAACCCCCATAGGCATATTCTGACTAAATGCTGAGATATTGCCACAAAATTAGTTCCATGAGCTATTAGGACTAGTCAATTAGTAAGTCTTAAGCTGCATGCAGCCTGTCAATAACCCCAGTGTACCTCCCACATTTGAGCTGTAACACTCGAACCATTGCATCAGCTGTGCTAGCTTGAGGCTGGCGTGGTCACATCCTAAAGCTGTGGTGGGATGCAAGGCAGACACGTCTTATTGAGGACTCTTGGACCACCTGGGACCAGTGCACCACATGAACAACCTCTACTGCAGTGGACTCTTATCAGTGTTCTAAGAACTTTTCAAGATGTCCAATAACCACAAAGCCAGGTGGCTAGTGAGACTTATTTGAGCTACCACCTGAAACTGAGATGTTCCTGCATTTTGAATCCAAACGTCAGTCAAAATTTAGGGTACTCAGGGAAGTCTGGCAGATGTTCAGGTCTGAACATTAATAGCTATAGAGCTGAGCACTGTGCTTTGGCTGTGCCCACTGCATGAAATGCTGTAAAACACACTTATACCTCTTTCCTGGCCATCTCTTGGAGCCGCCTGGGTAGGCGTTTCACATTGTGACTCATTGCTCGCCTTCGCATGTGCCTAGGGAGGGTCTGGAAAACCAGAGAGTTGGAAGACTTCTGTGAAACTGCTTTCAACATGGCACTGATCTCAGCAGCACGAGCTTGAGCAAACGTAGACACTGGAATGTGAAGAATGAAAAGAACTGCATCAGCAAAATCACCAGAGAAGGATACTGTACGTAAATTACAGAATTACTCCTACTACACCAGTCCGATATGTTCTTGACATAAAAGTAAGTACTGTACACGGTCCCTGAAGAAATTTCAGTTCTTTACATATCCTGAAGTTTACAGATATGGTCAAGCAAATATTTATACATTAATGAATCTCAAAGCTGTTTAACCAACAATTCTTTTTTGCACCAAATACTTCTTTGTTAAATAAGAATAGCAATCTTTTCAGGTGGTATTCATGGAAAGGAAAACATCTTTAGCATGAAAAAAAAATGGAAGCAGTAACTTATTACAGACTGTTTTGAAACAACAAATAAAAATCCAGAGCTTGGTCTCATTTCATGTTTATGGACATGTATCTACTATTAGACCACTGCCACATTTTGCAAAGCTAATTTGCTCTCCTAAGTAAACATTCTGTTAGACAAAAAGCTATATTTAACTTATATCATGAGTAAAAACAGTTTCACTGGCTACATCAAAAGCAGATGACTGTCAGTACTCATTTTGCTGGCAAACAGCAACCAAAATGCATATTCCCTCACTACAAGCAGGTGTAATTTTTCCACTCAGAAGTCTGAAAGAACCCATTGAACAACATCTAGTCATTCATTCCAGTTCACAACTACTTCTGTGTTTTGGAGAAAATCAGGAAAAACAGAAGAACATAGCATCAGTTCTAATTTTTGCTCTTGCACAAAACCAGCAAATTTAATTGCCAGCAAATTGCCCTGGACACATAAATTATGACCTTTTCACATAAACAAACCTGTTATGTATTTTGGCATTTCCTCAGATACACTTTGGTGTCCTCCTTGCCATCCTCCTCTTCCTGTGCCTCTCTCTCCTCTATTTTGTCCCTTTGAAAAATTTTGGTCTTTCCTGTAAGAAGGCCCAGATGACTGATTTGAAAATTTCTGCTGCTGCTGCTCAGAACGAACATCTCCTGGAAGGTTTAGAGATGAAAAGAGGTTAGAGAAACACAAATTAGTCTGAGTAACTGATAACTCTATCAGTCTTTCCTCATAAAACTGCAGTGCAGACTCCTATTATATTTAATACATGTAACTGAAAAAGCCACAAAAAAATCAGAAGAATTACATTCTTTCTTACAGGAATAAATAAGAATTTTACGCTGCCCTGAAGCAAACTTGTGATAGATTAAGTAACTTTTGCATGCTCTGAAAATGGCAAGCAATCCAGACTTTGCCTCCAGGAGTCAAATCGAAATCAGTCCATGCAACATCATAGTGATTTTTGATATTGTCTTGTCAGAGTTTTAGTAACAAACCAGCAAAGTTATTTTTTCCACTTTTTTTTTTTCTATAAGCAAATGTATTCTTGCCGACATATATTTCTTTTACAGCAATAATTAAGATAAGTATGACACATGTATGTTGGTGCAGTAAGTTTCTTGCCTGGTACAAGCAAACCCATACTGAAATTAAATAACTAAAGCCTACAGTAAAGCTTTCTAAGGTACAGACATACCTTTCAGGAGTGCTAAGCACCTAGCAAGTACCTAAAGTTTCAGAGGGCCTTGAAGTCCTTATTCAAAGACCACTGTATTTTCAGCCTAACAAATATTATATATTAGTTTAGATTACTTTATGTTCAGTTAAGCCTTAGTTAGGATTTCTACTACAACTTGAGATATGGTTCTCAGGCAGTTCATGCTGGACATTCCAACTAAAAAAGCTGCAGACAGCCACTCCTATGACCCCATCCACTACATCAAGACAAGTGCTTGAGAGAACAAAGGGCTACAGCATTCAGGGAGCTTCTCTAGTGAAAATCAACCTGTGTGTCCACAGACATGGAGAGAGAGATTAAAAAATCCAGTTTTCAGGTTGATCAGCTTCTTAACCAAACCTATCCTTTTGTCCCAAAAATGCTACCATTGGCATGAAGACCAGCCAGGAGCAGACTCACATCCAGCAGCATCTCAGTTTATGAGAACTTAAAAAGACAAAGAATCCCCTTTTTCCATTTCAAAGAAGCACAAAACTGAAGTTTCACGTTCAGCAGCAGTACTGTTGTAGCCTGCTGCAACCACACATCATGCAGAACTGCAGTAAAACTGCAGAAGAAATAATTTGGTGTAGAAACAGAAAAGAGCTTTTATGTGGAACAATTCCCTGACCTGGTTTTCCACATACTTGAGAGCAGCATCATCCAGACAGAGGTGAAGGAAATAGTTGGGAAAGAGGGATGGAAGGTGTCTCAGCAAATCTGTGTAGGCCTACAGCCCAAAATTAACTCATATCACAAACACACCCTCTTAATGGAGGAAGTAAAAATTGTAATCAGAAGACCAAAGACTGTTCGGCAAAACAGTCACTGACTTAGTAATTAAAAAACCCTTATATTACCTTAGCTACTGTACAGATCCACAGTTTTGTAACTCCAGTTTAGAATTTTTCTCTCCTATTTCTACAAAACAGCTTTGTAAAACTGTGATACTGACACTACAGAAGAATGCTATATGGATGAAAATCCACACCTTTTAACAGAACAGAAAAACATAACCACGTAATCTTGGAAGTTCCCTGCTACAAATACAGTTTAAAAAACCGTATTGATCTGGCAGTACTCCTGTAATGACATTCCAAAATCTTCAGACATAGCTAAGCATAATTTGCTATGTCATTCTGTCTGCGTAGGAACTCTTCGGTCACCTAAATACACAGTGATACTTCAGTTTTTTTTTTTTTCATTCAATGACAAAGATACAATTTGTCAGCTTCTGAAGGCCTCACAGTAACAAGTCTATTTATGTGTGGGGCTTTTCCCAGAAATAATGCAGGTAACAAAATACCTAAATGTGAAGGTGGTGGTGGAAACTGAGGTGCGACTGAAGCATAGAGGATTGCAGGTCAAACCACAAGGAGAAAAAGAGCATCTAGCAAACAAGCTGACAGGATCTTTCAGACTTCTGCTGCAAAGGTTACCTGTGTACAAAACGCTCCAGCAATAGCCCCTGACACTGCTATGACGGGGACACGCCCCGCTGCCTCCTGCCAATACCCTTCAGAGACAGAGGAGCCCCAAGCCCCAGCAGGCAAAGGGGTCGGGCATGCAGATGTGAGGCACAGCAGCGCAAGCATCACAGCGCCAGCGGCTACACAGCCCCTCCCGCAGCTCCCCGGCCTGGCGGAAAAGCAGGGCAGAAACTGGATTGGGTGTAGCATCCAAATTCATTTTACGACTAGGAACCGTAGAGATTCGTCATGTAATCGAAGGGATGATAGAGAGAAGGGCATATTCACAGGGTACAGAATAGTTTGGGTTGGAAAGAGCCTCTGGAGACCATCTAGCCCAACCCCCCCGCCAAGGCAGGGTCACATAGAGCAGGTTACACAGGAATGCGTCCGGGAGAGTTTGGAATGACTTCAGACAGGGCTCCCACAGCCGTACCTGGGGTCGGGCAGGCTCTGCTCCCGCCGCCGGCGAAGGGCCCCGGCTCCGCGGGCAGCGTGACGCTGGCCGGCTGGTTCCTCATCTTCTTGGCTCGCTTCTTCTCCCGCGCCCCAGACATCTCCGGCGGGGTTGCGGAGCCTCTCTGTAGCGGGAAGAAGAGGGCAGAGGTCGGCAGGCGGTGCAGCCGCAGACCCCGGCACCAGCCCCGACGCGGCGCTCACTCGCGGCGCGGCCTCCACCGACACACGTGGGCACCCACGCCCCGGCACTGCGCATGCGCACTCCTACAGCACAGCCCTTAGGGACTACATTTCCCATAGGCCCCCGCGGGCGGTGGGGGGCGGGGCGTGCTCCGGCTGGCGCTAAGGGGAGGGAGCGCAGGGGGGCGGCCGCGGCAGTCGCGGCTGCTTCAGCACCGGCTCCAGCCATGGCCTCGCTCGTGAAGAAAATAATCAGCACTACCAAGGCCCCTGCACTGGGTCCCTACAGGTAATGCCTTAGCTAAGAAAGATATGAGAGTCTTGGTGGATAACAAGTAGACCATGAGCCGGCAGCGCCCTTGCAGCCAATGCTTTCCTGGGGTGCATCAGGAAAAGTGTGGCCAGCAGGTCGAGGGAGGTGATCCTGCCCCTCTGCTCGGCCCTAGTGAAGCCACATCTGGAGAGCTGTGTCCAGTTCTGGACTCCTCAGTACAAGAAAGACAAGGATCTACTGGAGAGGTTCAGCGGAGGGGCACAAAATGATGAGGGGTCTGGAGCATCTTTTTGAGGAAAGACTGGGGGTGCTGGGCCTGTTTAGTCTGGAGAAAAGAAGACTGAGAGAGGATCTTATCAACACTTACAAATACCTCGAAGGCAGGTGCCAAGAAGATGGTGCCAGACTCTTCAGAGGTGCCCAGTGACAGGACAAGGAGCAGTGGCCATAAACTAGAACACAAGAAGTTTCAGCCCAACATGAGGAAGAGTTTCTTTATTGAGAGTGGCAGAGATTGGAACAGGCTGCCCAGGGAGGCAGAGTGTCCCTCTCTGGAGACATTCCAAACCCAGCTGGATGCACTCCTGTGTAACCTGCCTGCCTTGGCAGGGGCTTGGACTGAATGATCTCCAGAGGACCCTTCTAACCCTAACAATTCTGTGATTTTGGGAGCAGGTTTTGCTGGCAGGGTTTTATCAGGTCCCTGGGGTCAGGCAAGCAGGCCTGAGGTGATGGCAGGACCCCTGAGTGGGGGCCAGTCCTGGCACTCCCTCCCCCATAACCCCCAGGGAACCTGGAGTCCCAAAGCACGAGTGGGGCTGTGGCAAACTGCAGGCCAGTAAGGGCAGGGGGTATAGTTCAAAACGTTAGTTTGGGAAAATAATTCTGGAATTAGTGGTAAGGAGTGAATGGGGAAAAAAGAGAAAGAAGAATGATTGTTCTCCAGAAAAAGGTGCTTGGCTAGAGACAAGTATGTTGTGTGGGGAAGCTGGAAATGCTGACTGCACAGATGATACAGAGTGAAGGCTTGAGCCCAGTCCAGGACAAGCTTGGTTACATGGAGAATTCAATGCCTGGGAATTAAAAATCCTTCCTTATTTTAAATAGTTATGTTTTCCAGTCTAAAAAATTAACTTCTGTAAAAATATGTAAGATGTTCAACATTTTCACAAATATGTTGTTGTAGTAGTTGTATATAGAATTAAAATAAAGAAAAATACCAGTTTTAATTAGATAAAGATTTCTCTGCAATTTGGATGTGAAAAAATGTTCAGTCAGTAGATTCTCATAGCTAAAGTACTAGAGGGTTATTACCAGGACATTTCGTAAGAATTTTTAATTCTGTATTTAGGCTTTGTGTTCACAATAGCATCTTCGTGCCTTCCAGGTGCATTTTTGTCTCCATTACATTGTGTCCTAAGCTTTCTAAGCTTCAAACCGTGTGTTTCTTACAGGCTTTATAAAGGTGGAAAAATACAAGTGTAGAAGCAGAGAGACATGGCATGAAGGTTAACTTCTGTAAACAATAAACTGTTGGTGGATTGCAGCCAGGGGCCTGACATTGCTTGGCATCAGGAGAACATCTAAGACAGGGGAAGGCAACAATTCTTTGTCTGCACCCACACACCAGTGTCCCAGCCTTCAACATAGCTTTCCACTCCAAAATGTTGTGCTTATTGGCAGTTTTTGATGAAATGCTGCTTATTGTGCAGCTTGTTAAATGTATGACAGGTCTAACATCAATATGTTTATAACTAACTTATTTTATCAGATTTTAGTAAACTTGTCAAAGTCCAGAGGGCAGAAGTTGCACAAGAAATAACTGCCACATCTCTGCTGTGAGGTCTGAGCTTGGTTATGCAGGGATGAGGGCTTAATGTGGAATGAAGAATTGGGATGAATTAGCTGCATTCCTGGTTCTGCTACAGCCCTTCAGTATGCTTTTTGGTGACCTATTTTTACTGTATTTTTCTATTTCCTTTACTCCATCCATTTGCCAATACCTTGAGGCAGGTAGATATATAAAAAGAAACATATCTATGTGTGGGTCTATATATCTCATTAATGTTTTTAACAGGATACTGTTCTTGTATTAATCCACAATCATTTATGTAAAGAAGATCTGATTAACAAAGACCATGGTTCGTAACACCATCTCTCTGACAGACAATGTTGTTCTAAGGTCACAGTGTTGGCCCAGTTATGCATTTAGGTACACTGAAGCCTGAATGACTTTAGACACACATTCACATCCCTGCTGATTAATGAGTAGCTACGATTTGCCCTAGTTGTGAGGTGCATCTGCAGCTGAAGAATGATTTGGGTTTGTGGAGTTGAAGTTTCCCTTAGCTGCACTCATGCATTTGAGTGCAGTGCAAGTCTACTCCTTGGCTGGTAAATTGTTCCTAGTCTCAGTGAATGAGGATTCCACTGCTGAGCACACCAAGAGCAGGAAGCTGATCAGACCCAGTAAGGGTGCTGCAGATGTTGATCTGGCAGTGGTATCAGAAGGCTTCAGTCTGTTCTTTCCCAAGTTAATAATGATTTAGGACTCTCAGATGACCACTGAGATAAATATTTCACTGTCATTGTGTTGTACTGCTTATCACAAACCAAATCTCATTTAGTGGAGAGCCCATACCTTCTTGTTGTACAGCTCTCTGTGCTTCAAACAGAAACAGAAGTTTGTGCTCTGAGGGCCCCCCTCCACAGCAGGAGTGGTAGGAAAGAAAACTAAAGAAGTGTGTACATGCACACATTTCTATCAACAATACTGTGTCAGCTCGAAAACTATTCAGTGGTTTCTCTTTGTATGGTGTAGTTTTGTGATTTTCTTCAGTTTTTTTTAGTTGATGACAGAAAAAATAATCCCCATGTCAGATAGTTTACCATATCTGACAAGTTGCTGGCTATTTTTTCCCCATATGAAATTACAGGAGAGTGTAGGACGGGTGTAAAACGAAAGATGGGAATGATGGCATTGTTCAAACTGCCTAACCCTGATTATTTGACTGAGTCCCTAGATTAGGTTGGTCCCCTGTGAGGTGAATGGATTAAGACAGTCCAACTGAGTGAATCTCAATTGAGAGATGTACTAAAAATATTCTCTGAATGTGTCCCTCTATTTCCATCAACATTAAAGGGAAGAAAACCTCCTATTTCAGATACCTCAGGGAGGTAACGAGTTTGTGTAGCTTGAGAGAGTTGTTGAATGGTGAAAACAATGCATTTCCTTGTGGAATGAGAAGAGATATGAAAAACAGTATTGACACGCCATAAACAGTTCCAAAAGAATCTTTCTATAATTTCTTTGCAAAATATTTTTAATTACTGGTTGAAGAGAATTAAATTGTGTCTCTTGTATAATGTTCGCTAGATAGTTTAAATCTTTGTTTTCAACTTTTAACCTCTTTGTAGTAGAGACACTAATAATTCCCAACTCAGCTTCAGCAAAAGCACATTTGACATTTTTATATAAATGTTTTGCAAATAACTTGAATTTTGCATTCTTCTGAATTAACCCAGCAAAGAAGTCACTCAGATTATTTGGTGAGAGGAGAGTGAGTGTTCTGGGGATGGAGTGGTCAAGGTGTTTTGCAGACTGGCCAAATTCATTACTCTGGAGGAATACTGCCAGGGAACCAGGGTGCAGGTATCACCTCACAGCTGTAACTCATTTTCATAGTGCCTGTTTAACAAGAAATATGTTAAATCTCTTTTTTATTTTCTTTTTTTTTTTTTTTTCCTCCATTGCTCTGCAGCTGGATTTTGTTTGCTTCTCAAACTGGGACAGAATGTTTATCTGGGCAGGTGCAAAAAATGTTTTTATTTACTCTGCCTTCCCTCTGTGCTATCTGTACAGAGCCTGTATATCTGTATGGAACCTGTAGGTCAGTTTAGTGTTGTGTTGCTGCATTCACACCTTGTGCCTTTGCAAGAAACAGGGTTTATCTCCTCAAGGGCTGAGCTATGCACTCCCATAGATGGTATAATCCCATCTCTTCAAAAGCTTAAGCAAATTGATGTATGACTGCATGTACAGGCTTGCATGTGCAAACCTCGGTCTGATACATGATAAAGTACTGTAGAAAACTTGAAATGTGCTTTTGGATTTGAAGTGTTTTTGTGGGGAAACATTAGACCTAAAATGCCATTTGTGTTTTCAGCCAAGCCGTGCTGGTGGATCGGACGATGTACATTGCAGGGCAGATAGGGCTGGAACCTTCCACTGGGCAGCTTGTCTCTGGAGGGGTAAAGGAGGAAGCCAAGCAGGTAAGAATTCTTCCAGCAATGAACTTGTAATGGAATTGGCATGTGTCTAATTAAAAGTGGAGTTGTGAGAAATTGAGGAGACTAGAAAGCACGTCACATCTTCCAGATGGGGGAAAAGCAGGAGGAAGTCATTCCATCTTAACTAACTTAACTTAAGTCATTTTTCCAACAACTTGGAAAACTTGGAGGTCAGGCTAGAAATCTGTTTCATGTAGGAAGGTAAGAAAGAATCAGTGATTGAAGCAAAGGTTCACACCCCAATAAAAAACCTGGCTTGAGTCAGGGAAAGTTTTACTCCCTCAGCTGCAAAGAGGTGGAGTGAAATAACAGGATGAGATGGAGCTGTATCATGTATTTACATCTAATGAATGGATGGTTTCATATTTATTAGATGCTCCCTTTTATTAATTTTTATTTCAGTCAGTCTTTTTTTGACAGTTGAGATTTTGCTGATTGAACTTACAGTAAACATGGATTCAGCCAAGTCACAAGTCACTCTTACATACTTACAGAAATATAACCCAGCTGATAGCTAAAGTATTTTTGTTTCATTTTTCTTTAGGCTCTAAAAAACATGGGAGAAATCCTGAAAGCTGCAGGCTGTGACTATGGCAATGGTAAGTGCTGCTGTGACTCTGGCAAACAGATGGTTGTTTTTACCTGAATTAAAATATAAAAAAGTCAAGAGACTTTTTAAGAAAAAAAGAAAAAAGCTATTTGTTGGACATTAAATTGTTACCAATAGCTGGAAGAAACAAAAGAAATTGTGAATTTGGGTTAAAAAATAAAAGAAATTAATCTATATGCAAGTTTTGCAATGGGTATCAATTGAACACTACCTTTCACCAAAAATTTCTGGCAGTGGTACTAATATTTTAACTCCAACTGGGGAAGCTCAGGTACAGAATGTTGCAGTGACTACAGCCATTTTAAGGCTTTGCTCCAGGTGAAAGCAGGTTTGTAACTGTGCTGTTAATATTCTAGACAGTCTCAATACTTTTTGGGTGGAGGACTCTACTGGTGAAGCCACACCAGGATTACTGCTGGGTTAGGCAGTCCTGGGAAGAAATTCTAGCACAGAGGATATTTTCAGACCTTCCATGAATTTTTTTTTTACTGGCAGCAGATCTTATTTCTAAGTTATTGCCAGCAGCTGGTTTACAACAGCTATTTTAATTGATCTGCTTATTAGTTCAGTGTCTCATGGGAGGATTTGGCTTTTTCAGAGCTAGTCAGGAATGGCTTAATTCCCTAAAGTTTTATTACACACTAGGTGCTTGGATTTTTTTAGATAGTTCCTTAGGTTGTAGCTCTAATGGTTAATATCTGCAAAACTTTTCAAAATGTTTAGAATACTTGTGAGAAATCTATGAAATAAAACCAAGAAATGCACTAAACTTTTTCAATTTTTTATGCAAGTCAGAGGTCTAAAATAACTGCACTTACATAATTTCTAGTTGTGAAGACTACAGTTTTGATGGCAGACATGAAGGACTACAATGATATTAACGATATTTACAAACAATGTAAGTAGATATTTTGCTTGTGTTTTACCATTATGACTTGTGGAACAAATTATGTTCATGGTAGTCAAAGTGTTTTAATGGCTCACATGATGTAGTTCCATATTCTTTGAAATTCCTGTAGAAATTTTTTTTAATATTTAATTTTCAAGTATCAGATCAAGCAGAGCCTAATTTCATGTGGATTTTTATTCTACCTTTCCACTAACTCACTGTCCTGTGAAGATCATCTCCTGCTATCCCTACAGGTTGATCTTCTTTGCCTCTTACCTTGCTTGATGTTTTGCTGTCCTGGCTATAGTTCTATTGTAGGCAGCCTTCAAATGCTGAACGTCAGACTTTATATCTCCATTCCTTTTGAGTCTATACTTTTGAACAATTTGAGGGTCATTTTTATAGGACTGTGCTCATTCTTTATACAAGGATGAGCCATGGTGCTCCCCTTGACGTAAAAAGAGAACAATGCTTGGTCAGCAAAAGTGAATGTAGACTGAAATAGGTGAGTCCAATGAGCTGTTTTGTGCAGAATAATTTGGGACAATTTGCATGAGCTCCTTATTTAGATTGCAACATCTGGTCTTGAATGAAGTCTCGTTGATAAACAAGTAACACAGTCTCCTACTTGTCAAACTGTACTGGGGATGTGCCTGCTTAAGCAGAGTAAAACCAGTACTTGTTGCCTCCATCCTGGAGTTTGAGAAAGCAGTTGCTGCTGTTCTTTTATTGTGAGTTATTATCTCCATGCAGGACCCCTACATTTCCATTATTAACAGTTTTGTGATAACTGTCACTAGTAAAACTTTGACTTCATTGTGCAAATTTCTTGGAAGTGTTCAGTCAGGGTTGGATGGGACTTTGAGCAATCTGATATAGTGAAAGATGTTCTTGGCCATGGCATGGTGATGAAGCTCCTATGTCTTTACCAGTACCCTTCCCCATGCCTTACGCTGTTGTAATCTGTGATTGTCAGGTCTAAATGGGCACGGAGGAATAAATCAAAAGCTTATTTTTCCTCTGTTTTCCTTTGATATGAGTAAGGTTGGACTCCTGGTGACTTTAGGTGAATCTGGGATCTTTGCTCATTACTCTTTTGGCAGAGGCCTGTTTCTCTCTCCTGCTCTTTCTGTGAACGAGCCATCTCCCACTCCCTGGTGTTTGAAACTCATCACAATTCTGATTGACTCTTTTTCAGCCAAGCTGGTGTGAAGGCCCTGCAGTGTCAGCAGAATACAAGTTATCACTGGCCACCAGGTCACAAGTGCAGCTGACTGCTTGGGGATGAGTGGTGGCTTGCTGAGATTGAGAGCAGTCAGTCACCAAAACAAAGAAACAAGGGGGAAATGATAGCTGGCATGGACGTCTTGTAGCCTTGAAACTGAAACAGTTCCAATTATTTCATTTTATACAGATTACTTTGCACTGTGTTTTATCAAGCCAAGTTTAGTGATTGCTGGATGTTTCTGTTTAAATTACAGTTTTCAAGGCAAACTTCCCAGCCAGAGCAGCCTATCAAGTTGCTGCTTTGCCCAGAGTAAGTGTCACTTTTCTATCTACAAAAAACCCCAAAATTTTCTGGAATACCTTACTAGTGAAGTATTCTGACAGCTTTTCTAATTCTGAAATAGCTTTGATTGCAATTATTTTAATAAAGACTCCTAATTAATTTCTTTTCTAAGTATACTATTGTTATTCTCACATATTATCAGAGTCTGAATATGCGATACATATTTCTTTATGGTGGAAGACAGATAAAACATTAGAAATAAGGGGTTATGATACTTGAGTAAGCATAAATTGAATTTACAATATTACTGAACATTGCTAAATCAGTAATACAACTGTCAGAAATTTAATCTCTCTCAAATGTCACTTTTTTATGAAGTTGTATTGTTCATCCAATTGTTTCATAAAATAGATACATTAAATTCCTAACACGTTTCTTCATTGCTTTGTCACAGGGGGCCAGAGTTGAAATTGAAGCTATTGCTATTCAGGGACCTCTCCAAGATGCTTCAGCATGACTATAAGTAGAGACTGGATATCTTACAATGACAGTTTTAGATTTAGTTAATACTTCTTACATCCAATTCCTACAGCTGATTAACAGCAGTTACACACAGTTTAAATCAGTAAACTTACTGAGGAAAGGTGCTTTCTTCAGGACTTACAGCAAGTTCTCTGCTGGCAAACTCTGAAAAGTGCCTGAGTCCTGCTAAAATCAGCTAAGCCAGATTGTAGGACAGGACCTGCCCTTTGTGGAGGTGACTGGATATTCAGGTATTAAGGTACATACCTGGGTGAGTGTATTAGAGTTATACTATGGGTGATCTGGACAGGAAAACTATACTGATTTGTAATAGTAGGTTTTTAGTAAAAAAAATTAAATCAGAAATGAGAAAACAGAACACTTGAATTGCTTAGCATACATCTTCACTTCTGAGGAATTTTACTGTATCTGCTTCTGAATTTTCTTAACTTCTTTCTTTACACAATAGATTACTGTTGGGACTCAGATTTTTTTATATGTAAGCAACTGCTTAACAAAGTTAATATTGATTTCAGAAAGAAGACAATTATAATTTTCTGAAGTAAAGTGGTACCCTTATAAATCAGATGAAAATTAATATCTACATGTAACCTTTCTCATGATCTTTTTCATAGCAATTCAGCTTTATCTTGATTAAAAAAAAAAAAATTAAAATATGTTTAATGAGAATAAAATATAATTGCAACTGCAAAAATGTGTTTGTCTATTGTGGGAACAAACTTTTCTTTTCCTGACTATGGTTTGATACTCCATTACAAAAAAAGTCTCCAGCTTGCTTATCCAATAACAGATAATTTGAACCAAAAGAATAGGCTTATTATCTACATCTTAATAGCTAAGGATGAAATTCTCCAGGACAGGAAGCTTTCAGCTACGATCATTACAGTTCTTGTAATTTTTTCCTCAGTCATTAAGGTCAGAAGCATAGATATGATGGAGTGATTAATTAATATTGAGAAATCCAACTGGTGATGCTAGTTACTTAGCCCATCCTTCTGTATTGATCTTCTTTCGAGTAGAAATGGATACTGTGAGAACAGTCAACCCTCCTTACCAGTCCTAGATTTGATGTGAAACAGCCATTCCATCTTTTCACTGAGCTTATAAATTGCACCGTTATAGAACAAAGATTCATAATGAGGTTGTCACAGAAAATATGTGCAGATATAAGATTTTTTTTTTTTTATTGTATTACCTTGCTGTCTTTGGGGGGTAATTATTTTTATTAGAAGCAAGATAATGCCTTTGTTATTTCAAACAGCAAACTTCCAAACAGCCTTTGAAAAATACCTGACTTTTCTCTAAATAAACTTCCTATACATAAACTTTGATTAGTTTTTGCTGCTGTTCTTTTTCTGTCTCCTTGGCTGTACTAATAAAGTATCTTATGCTCTATAGCTCTGATTCCATAAGCAATCCACCTAAGAAAAAACATGGTCAGACATGTTAGGAAGGTGTTAGTACTAACTAATACGGCAATGACTTTCCAGGAAACACAAAGCAGATGTTCCTTCATTTTGTCAATTAATAATAATTTAAAATAATGTAATTGAATGTAATTGAAAAGTTACATTTAAACTTTTAAATGGAGTTTAATTCCTGATTTGTATTTAGGTTTCTATGTTACAGCTTTGTTTAGATGTAATTATGTGGTTGGGATCTATTTCACTCATTTGCAGGAGATTTAGTTCAAGTTCACTGTAAACCAGCTGGTTTCAATTGTTTTGAACACGAGCTGTGTTCAGCCTTTTGTAACCACAGTGGTTATCCCTTCTTACTGCTCACGTTCTTCCCACTGCCTTCCCAACCTGTGTCCCGCAGCCTCTGTGCACCTCGAACCCATCCCTAGATGGCAGCTGGGATATTTTTGTGGCGTGCTGACTTGTGCCTTGGCCGGTAAAAGCCCATTACAGCCTCCTTGAGACTGTGGTGGTAGGAGAGCAAATACACCATTGCTCTCCACAGTGAGGGACAGTCTGAGGCTGAAATGGAAATGAAACACCTGGGAAAAGTTCCATGCTGGATGCAGCCAACATTTTGTTTCTATTAAGTAGGTGCAGAATTCAAGAACAGAAATTCTCTGTTAGCTTTATGATTCTTTAGGTGAAGACAGTTAAAAGTTTTTAGACTATATATTTAAATCAAAGCCATTCAAGATATTTTCTTGATACATATTCTTCTGGTACAGGAAGTCTAGAATAATTGAAATAAAGTCTCTTATTTACAGCTCTAACATAGTAGTTCTCAAAATAAAAAATCAGCTTTCCACAGAGAAGTGTAAAACATTTATTTTATTTAAGCGGAGTTGTGTTATTTGATTCTATTCTTTAAAACAAAAAGGCAAACACCCATGATTCTCCAATATGAAAAGCCTATCTCTTAGGTCTTAATTTGCAAACTACTAACTACATAGACATTTAACAAATTCAGCTTTAAATAGAGATATGCTAAAAACAGGTGGTGTTTTTCTTTTCTTTGCTAAACTGAGCTGCATGCATGCAAAATACAAAGTTGCAATTCATCTTGTGGCATCCTGATTTCGGCATTTAAAATCTGTTTCTATCACATATAACTAAAAAAACCACAGCAAAACACCACTTTCCGTGAAAGTAAAGCAATATATAAAGTATTGAAGTGTGTATGTTCTACCAGGTGTTTCTTTTAGTAAGACTTTCTTCTTTAAATTATTATATTTTCTACAGATTAAGCAATGCAACAAATAAATTTCAGTACCTAGTTTTAATAAAACTGTTCTCTTAAACCACATAAATTGCCCCAGTCTTCTTCTAGCAGCACTTGCTCTTGTTGCAGTGTTTACCTAAAAGCAGCTCCTCATTGAGTGAAAGAGCCAACCCCAGCCAGCCAGATGGGCAGGGATCTTCTGAAATCCTGCAGAGGGCATATGTGTCTGCACAGAGCTGACAGGGAGCAAATTTAACCTCTTCTAGGGCTGTATTTATTGGTAATTAGAAAAAAAAAAATTAGCAGAACTTTCTTGTTAGCTTGGAAATTGAGCTTGTTCTTCAAGTGCACTGCACGGTACTCCCTTCTGTGAGGAAAGGTTACTTCTACCTTGGGTGCAGTTGAGGACTGAATTGTTTAACTTTTGATAAAATGCAAAACAATCATCAAAAATGCTTGACTGTATTTAAAAAAAATGTTGCTTAATATCTGGAAAACACAAATATTGGGGCATATCTTCCTTTTCCCAGCCTTTAACAGGAGAAAGCTGGTTGACAGACCAGGACATAGCCTCAGGCTGTGCCAGCAGAGGTTCAGGTTAAACATCAGGAGGAATTTCTTCACAGAAAGGGTTGTCAAACATTGGAATAAGCCGCCCAGGGAGGTGGTGAAATCACAATGCCTTGATGAGAAATGAATGGATGTGGCACTTACTGCCATGGTCTAGTGACAAGGTGGTCTTCAGTCAACAACTGGACTTGAGTAACTTAGAGTTGTTTTCCAACCTAATTGATTCTGTGATCCTGCAATGTGAGTTTGTGGGGCCCCAGTCTGGGCAACTCCCCGAGGGCTCCCCTGACAGGGGGAAACTCTCCTGAAGCAGTTCTTTGTCAGGAAAAGCAGACACACAGGACTTTTTCAGTCTTCAGGTTCTTGTTTTATTGTTATCATGACTTCAGTACACTGTCTGCACCCAGACCTTGCATGCCCAAAAACAGCACAAAAACGGCCAATGGCCTTGTGTTGCAAGGCCTTTTTAAGTCTAATCAAAAACTAAACTACCCAATTAAGAAGTGATGTGGTAGTCTGTTATTTTACAGTTGGTTCTTCTAGTAGCATGTTTTAATATTCCTTGTTATAAGTTTGTAATGGTTCAGTCTATGTACTCCATTTGGCTTCCCTAATGGTTCAGTCCTGAGTTGTTTACCAGTTTTCCCGGCCAAAATGTATGTCAATCCACATGTCCTCTCTCGTTCCCTTTTATTACCCCTGTCTGTCAAAGACAGCACACTCCTTTGGTTCTGGAGAGTTCCCTGTCTCTCATCCCTTCCTCAAAGCAGAACTGGGTTGTGAGGTTTGCTCCCTCCCCATGTTGGCTTCTGCTGGGGAGCCCTTACCCTGCGCCCCTCCCCTAATGCCTCCTGTTGGTCACAGGTTGTGTCCTCCCTGAGTTCCCCCCATCCCTTAAACGTAGCCCCTTTGGGTTCAGATTGGTTCACTTGTTCTGCCCCGACATCTCATTAAAGATTTGGAGATTCAGACAGGTGTCCTTCCCTCATTCCTGTGCCTCAGTTTCCCTGTGCTCTGTGCCCCAGCTGTGCTCCCCACGCCGCAGCGATCACCGCCCACCGCAGCAGTCTGGGCAGAGACTCGGGGGCAGGCACTCGGTGTCTGCCCTGCGGCCACTCGCGGGACACCGCCAGGGAACCTCCGTCCTGTGGCCACTGAGAGCCAGGCGCAAAGTGACACCTAGATTATTTCTCTTTCTAACCCAATAACTGACCCCTAAAGACCCGCAATGCAGATTTTTCTGCCCAATTACAAGATACCACCCAATCCCAAGAAGAAGAAGGAAGAAAGGAACTAGAGACAACACCCTGTAACCTCCATCTTGTACCCATCTACAGTATGCTAAAAATCCTAAAACTGAAATTTCTCACCCATCTGACATACTAAACTGCTCTCTACAATCCCTACAATCTATTTCACACTGGAGTGGTCTCTAGTTTACTTTGAAGCTTTGGAGGCCTTCTTCATGAATGAGGGTCAAAGTCAGTGTTTCCCTGGAAATCAGAGCAGCCCAGGGCAGACAAGGGGATATTCCCCCTGCCCTGGGTTCCCACATCTCCCCCTTCTGTTTGAACAAAAAACACTCCTCTGACAGCCTCATCCATCATCTGTCAGATACACTGAAGCAGACATGGCACAAATATTAAAAGAATAATGACTCAAATCAGGACAAAAATACCTATCTTCACAAATTCTCTCCATGCTGGAGCAAGATTAAACCAACTGAACATGCCATCCAGCCATGACCCATTCTCTTCCCCAAGTCTGGCCACTCCATCCTCCAATTGTTGTATGCTTTCATGAATAGATTTTGAATGATCAGACAAATTCATGCAAGACATTCCTTCAAATTCTTCACATCCATGTCCATGCACTGACAAAAGATTTCCCAATGCTGCATGGACCACCTTTGACATTGGAAGGCCTGGCAGGCCAAACTCTGTCCCCACAAATGAACAAAATTCCCTGTGGTAATTGCAAGGAACCTTGTTGGTTGGTTTGCCCTCTGTAAGTTGGGCCATTGTTTGTTTTGACTTCTTGAGGAACACCTAATGAAGCAAATGCTTGCAAAAAATGCTGACATGCTTTACTGTTTCACCTGTGTGCAGGGAAAGTGTCTGAGAAAAGTGTCTACTGACACATGAATATTTTTGAATCTCCCAACGGATGGGTATTTTGTGACATCTGTTTGCCACAGTTGCAGACTCTGCAACCCTCTTAGATTGACCACTCCTGTAGAAACAGGAGGTTGCACAAGCTGACAATCAGGGCAAGCGCTTATGGTGGCTTTTACTTGATCTTTGGAAATGTGAAATGTGTGCATGAGTGCCTGTGCATTCTGATGAAAGAACACATGACTCAGACTTGCCTGTTCAAAAATGTTTGGCAAGGTGTTTGAAACTATCATGGTCAGGTCGTCTGCTCATGCATTCCCTTCTGCTAGGAATCCTGGAAGGGAAGAATGTGCCCTGATGTGAGATAAAATATTTATGTTTTCTCTGTTGTAATACTCTTTGCATGCTTACAAGACAAGAGTACAAATCTTCATTATCTACTTCTTTTAGAAGTGACCCTTCTATTCTTTTGACTATGTTGGCCACATATGCTAAATCTGTAATTAGATTGAGGACTTCTTGAAACATTTCTGACCACTACAGCCAATTCTACAATTTGAGATGAGCCCTGTATTTTTTGAATGTCTGATTCCCATTCTTTTGCGGTTACATTCTGCCAAGTCATGACTGATTTATGTGTTTTGCCAGAACCATCAGTGAATAATGTTTTTGCATCCAATGGCACTTCACTTATCATCGGTTTCCCTCTGAAGCTTAATTTTGTTTGCAACAATCTTATGACCTGGAAAATGGCTTGAACAAACACCCGAATAATTTAACAATGCAGTTTTTAAGTCCTCTGATTTTTGCAATGCCCAATCAAGATAGTCTTTTTTCAACAGCAGATAAATTGTTGTAAAATCTTTGCCCACCATTGTCTGCAATCTGGTCCTGGCCCTGATTATAATCTGGGCTGGCATTTCTAATGTGGTAAAAATCATTTTGGGAGATCTGTAGGGCAAGAAATCCCACTCTATTATCAACAAAGGGTCTTTTTCTAATGAGTCCCATTGGACTATGAGACCATAGAGTTGTATCTTTTCTCCCAAAACTGCAAGGAAAAATGGTTGCATCATTATAAAGTAATGTGCTTGTCTTTGCTGAAGAGCTTCGGCAATCTTCTCAAGGGTGTCTTGAGCCTCAGGCGTGAGACTTCTGGGGGATTTGATGTTACAGTCTCCTTTCAACAGATTGAAAAATGATGAAAGTTCATATTTTGTGATCCCCAAAATCAGTCAGATCCAATTGATTTCTCACAAAAGTTGCTGTAAGTCCTGTAAATTATTTACTTGAGTCCTGATTTGTATTTTCTGTGGTTTTGTTGTGATTTTGTTGTGATTTTCTACCTCAAGTAGTTCCATGGTATCCTTCTGACATTTGCTTAGTTCGTCGATGAAGCATCTCTTTGGCTATTTCTGGGAATAGGAGCCACATCTGGTGGGGTTGCTATTTGCCTGGATGCATCTTCCTCTGGCCCGAAGGGTGCATACATTTCAGTTACCCCTCCCCCTTCTGTTTGAGGGGAGGTAAAAAGGCTGTCAGGTTCTGGGTATTGAGGAACTGAAGAGGCTGTAACTGCACTTGCTGTCTGTGTTGATGATGAAGTGAATGGAATAGAGTGAGTTCCATGCTTTTGTCCTGGAAAGCACTGAGCAAATTCCTGAAGTTGGAGAAAAAGTTGTTTTATAAAATCCTGAGAAAGTGAATAAAATCTTGGTTGAGTTGAAGAACTGGACTTTTGACCTGAAAGCCAAGTCTTTGGAGCAGGCATATAAAAAGCTGAAGTGTTTGTTGATGTCCAGAAGCCAGGTGGTTCTTTAGATAAAATAGCAAAGCCTTGTCCTGCTGTGATGGAGAGAACATTCTCGTCGCTGTTCTCCTGTGGTACAGGAAATTGTTGTTGCTGTTGTGGATCATCCATGGCTTGAGTGCTTGTGTCCTGTCCAGTGTGTGAGGTGCCTTGGCTTGGCATGTCCATTTTTCCTGGAATGACTATTGTGTCTTGCTCTTCTTCTGCAAGGCATGCTTTGAGGGCCTCAACTGATCGCGGACGATTCTGTACATCCTGGATTAAAATGATCTTGCATTGTTTTCCTGCAGCCTTTGCAACGCTTGTTGCAACGTTGCCTTTGTTCCACAAGGCGGCGTTGTTGTTCCACGGATCGGCCGTGAGCCGCTTTCCGCCGCGGCAGCAGCTGCCGCCACCCGGGGTGGCTGGAAAAGCTGAGCTGTGCCGAGATGTGGCGCTGCGAGTGTCTCCTCATGGGGCGGCGGCGGTGGCGGCTGTAGCGGCGTGCTGCTTGCCCGCATCGGCCCCGCAGCCGCGGCGGCAGAGGGAACGCGGGCTGCCGGAACGCGGGGCGCGGGTCAGACCGCGGTGCGTGCGCCTGCGGGCGGGTGAATAGCGGGTGCGCAGGGAGCATGCGCCAACCCTGGCTGGGACTGAGCCTGCGCGGCCCGGCAAGGCGGGCGGGTGGTGACACCACACCCGGTGCCCGCGGGTCTTCCCCGCGCCGCTGTTCCCGGCTCAGGGACGGGCATGGGCGGCACTGGGATGGTGCCGGCCGGCCCCAGGGCCGCTGTTCCCGGCTCAGGGACGGGCATGGGCGGCACTGGGATGGTGCCGGCCGGCCCCAGGGCCGCTGTTCCCGGCTCGGGGACGGGCATGGGCGGCACTGGGATGGCGCCGGCCGGCCCCGGGGCCGTTCTGACCCAGCGACCCGCTGGGGCGTGCCCCTGTGGCGTCTTTGTCGGAGGCTGGCAGCCGCCCGAGGCTGAGGGCGGCCCGCCGGAGGCCGAAGACTTTGCCACGAACGCCTCGGGCGCCTGTGCCGCCTCCCAGAGTTGGGGCTGGGGCGGAGAAAGGGGAAGGGAATGGAGCGGCCCCTCCAGCCCCCCTTCTCCCACCTCAGGGATGTACAGAGATGTAAGAAAGTCAAAAAAAGATACGTCTTCTTCGTCCTCTTTACCGATGAGTAATTTAAACCGTGGAAGCCGCTGTCTTTCGGGCTCCTCCCGAGACGCAATCGCTTTATTCTCTCCTTCCCGCCCCGTCCCCTCTCCCGCCCTGCCCTCCCCTTCAGACGGGTTCTCCTCAGGGGGAGCAGCCGCTTCCCGAGCCTTGGCAGGGTCGCCCCGGGGTCACGAGTTTCGGGGGGTTTCTCCAGAAATCCACTTTGTGCGGCGGCAGACTCCTGCCCTTCTTCCCCGAGGGAAAAACTCTCAGGTGTTTGGGGATTTTTCAATGATTGATGTGCAGTAGATTGCGAATATTTTGCATCATATGTAACCTGATAAAGTGCTCTAGAAGCCGCAAACAACACTCCTGCATTTGGATCGTGGGATGCCACGTACTCATATAATTTGACGCTAGCATCCACCCAAAAACAGGACTGAAATAAATCTTCCTCTTTAAGAGATGGGTAATTTTCCTTTGCCCAAAGTAACACATTTTCCAAATCCTTTTTGTGCAATTTTGATGGGTGCTGTTTCACTAAGGATTCTAATTTTTGGAGTGCGTCTAAATCACTTTTGGCGAGGTTCCCTCCCATTTTTGTCCCCTTCAGAGCTTACCAAATGTGGGGTTCAGCTCTCAGTCCCAAGATCCATCCAGCAGAGCAAGGGATGTGACTCCTGTGGCCACCAGGAATCGAGATGTTGAATGGCTGAGTCCTTTCACCTCCAGAGGAATTTTGATGGATTTGGCTCACCTCCAGGGACTGTGTGGGATGATCTCTTCAGAGCTGGATTCTCTTCTCACTGGGGCACCAGTTGTGAATTTGTGGGCCCCAGTCTGGGCAACTCCCTGAGGGCTCCCCTGACAGGGGGAAAATCTCCTGAAGCAGCTCTTTGTCAGGAAAAGCAGACGCACAGAACTTTTTTGGTCTTCAGGTTCTTGTTTTATTGTTATCTTATCATGACTTCAGTACACTGTCTGCACTCAGACCTTGCATGCCCAAAAACAGCACAAAAACGGCCAATGGCCTCGTGTTGCAAGGACTTCTTAAGTCTAATCAAAAACTAAACTACCCAATTAAGAAGTGACACCTAGATTATTTCTCATTCTAACCCAATAACTGACCCCTAAAGACCCGCAATGCAGATTTTTCTGCCCAATTACAAGATACCACCCAAACCCAAGAAGAAGAAGGAAGAAGAAAGGAACTCGAGAAAACACCCTGTAACCTCCATCTTGTACCCATCTACAGTATGCTAAAAATCCTAAAACTGAAATTTCTCACCCATGTGACATACTAAACTACTCTACAATTCCTACAATCTGTTTCACACTGGAGTGGTCTCTAGTTTACTTTGAAGCTTTGGAGGCCTTCTCCATGAATGAGGGTCAAAGTCAGTGTTTTCCTGGGTGCCAGAGCATCCCAGCGTAGACAGGGTTATATTCCCGCTGCCCTGGGTTCCCACGCTGTAACATTCATCACCAGAACAAATTTCTACTCTTTACCTGACCCAAAACACAAATCATATCCAGGGCCTGTTTTCACAGGAAATTTGTTTGAAAGTATTGCCATTCAGCTTAATCTCCAAAATGATTACTCATCATTTTGGAAAAGAACCCAGACAGTCCCTGATAGCATATTTCTCCAGGAGGACAGCACTCCAGGGAAATATAATAGATAACCTTTTCTTTGGGAACAGGCCTATATTTGTCTCTTAGACAGGTTTGTATTTTCTCTCTTAGAAGTCCATTTTAGAAGCCACAAATGCATATGAGAAGAGCTTCACAGCTAAAGAGAAGTTATTATTGGCCATAAATGTTAACAGCTGTGAAGTTCTCTTCTAGGATTTATACAACTAAAACATCCCACTCAGTTAAAAATGCCCCATGTATTATTGTACTACAATCCCTTCAATAAATTTGAGTTTTAAAATGGGGAGTGAGCAGCACACAGCTGGGTCCTGGACACTGCACTCTGTTATCTCCTGTTTTCTGGAAAACTCCCCTCTGCATTTAGCTAGAGCTTGGTAAATATCCTCTCCAGTCCTCTACAAGCTGTAGACTTCAGCAGCTCCCGACACTGGTAGTCCATGCATTCGGAAAACCTGCCTGCATACAATAATTGAAGAAAAAAAGCTACACTCTATTCCTCATTCTATGTAATGTTGGTTGGAGGTTTCAACAGTTTGAAGCCAGTTAATCTGAACCTGGAAAACTCCTAATTGAAAAAGGAATGATCATACTGCTGTTGTAAAATTATCCTGGTATGTAAAGAAGGCACTCTGGCAGGGAGATGAAAGTTTGGATATTTCAAAGACACTCGAAGTCTTGGCAGCTTGACTTCAAAAAATCTGTATTATATAAAACTTTTTCCAATGCTTCCTATTCATGTGTCTGTAGCTTGTGGTTCAATCCATAAAAGCCTTTATATTTTCCCAACCCAATTAGAATTAAAAATATTCATGTGAACAGAAGAGCAGGCCCAAGAAGAGGACGTTCATTGAGACACAACTTCTATTCCTTGTTATTAGGTGTCTCTGAAACACATGGAAAAAATTAATTTAGCAATTAATTGAAAGTATAACTTGATATTCACTAAATCTGACAGGAACTCAAAGTGAAGGTTCCCTGGAAGTATCACAGGATGAAGGGAATATCTGCTCTTCTCCCAAATCTGTAAGAATGTTCTGTTTGGACCTAAAAGCAACCACTAGTTCTGCTTCCTCTTCCCCCATCCCATTCATACACAGTTCCTGTTACAGACATTAACATCACCTTTGTGATGTTAGTCATCACTGCTACATTCTCAAGCTCCTCCTCACCTGCTGCATTTTAACAACTTTTGAAATCACTACATCCTTCCAGTCAGATTTGACATAGAGGCAGCCACTTCACGGACAGTAAATCCTAAGTAAGGACAAGAGACAAAGGGCACAAATTGAAATACAGTGTATTACCTTTAAATACACGATTTTCTTTAGTTTTTCTGTAAGGACAGTTAAGTTATGGGAATAGGCTGCCCACAGTTGATGTAGTCTCCACCCCTTGGGATTCAAAACCCAGCAAGACAACCTGTTCCTGCTTGAGCAGGACTAGACAAGCTCCAAAGGTGTTTTTTTACCTCAGCTATTCCATGACAAAGTATGGCTGAGGAACTGTGTCCAGCCCCTGAAGCTACTGGTGGCCATCAGCCGCTGAGAAGCTCCGGGGCTCACTTGATAGCTCAGTGAGAGTGCCCAAGGGAGTGACTGGCTGAAATCACAGTGTCTGGCCATCCCAGCTCAAAGTACTCCTTTCCCAGCTAAAAGACTCAGCAAGGGTAGGGAACATGAGAACGTGGGACTTCCTCACACTGAATTGTGGTGTCCTATGAGGGTGGGTAAGGAGCACAGGAAAGGCAGGAAATCTTGTGTGGGAATGAAAGTGACCAATGAAAGACATCCAGCTGCAGTGATTCTCCATTACTAAGATTGTTAATATAGCATGAAAAAAGCCAACTCCCTTTCATGGTTTCAAATTCAACACACTTAGCATGTCACTGAGCATTCCCTTGTTCTTAGGCGGAAATCAGCTACCTTTAGAGCCCTACTATTTTTTTTTTTTTAACTAGGATCAGCTTGTATCCTCTTAGTCATACCCTCCTAGAGATAAAGCTGTGAATGTTTTTGATGTCTCTCAAAGTAAGAATTTTTCCATTCCCTTAAGCAATCCTGCTTTCCTGCCCAGAATCTTGCTTTATTTCTTCTATATCCTTTCAAGATGGAAGAATTGCTCCCTTACACAATAGAATCCCAGGTTTAGTTGGTCACTATTCCATTCTTAGTATTGTTTGCTCTTCTTGCCTGGGGCTGTTCTCTGAGCTGGGTCAGTGCACTCCCATCATCTGAAATGCATTACAGACAGAGAAGCAGGGCTGCTCTTGCTGCTCCCTTACAAAACGGTCAGGAGAATACTGACAAAGCAGGCAAATGCAAGAAGAATTTCAATAAAGCTGTAATCATCACTGGGTGAAATTCCTGGTTATGTTCAAGGCCAAGCTGGATGGAGCCTTGACCAACCTGATCTAATGGGTGGCATCCCTGCCCATGGCAGGAGGGGTGAAACGAGGTGATTTTTAAGGTCCATTCCAAGCCGAGCCTTTCTATGATTCTCTTAACTCTTCAGGAGCAGGAAGAAGTTCTTTGAGGTTTCCTAGAATCAAGTTAAGTGCTTTGCTGAATTCACAGCACACAGAGATGATTCTTTGAAAAAGCATAGGAGCTTTTAAAAAAGACATAATTTTAAGACGTTAAAAACAAGTTGATTGATTAAACTTGTTTTGACTTCATAGGCAAAACTATCTGGCATAAATTTAGAGATCCTGCAAAAGAAAAGTAATCAGTGGCCAAGAACTGCTTCTCTTCATAGGCTAGCTTATGTAAGTAACAATCTGTACAAAGATGAGCAACTGTCAAACATGAAAATTAAAGAGAGGTGAGCATTTTTTTTTATCACTGCTGATCTAATTTTACTTGGGTCATAAAGGCACTTAAGCCTTGACCAAACTGCTTGACCACCACCCTACTTGTCTTACAGACTGCAGTTTTTGTGCTGAAAACCATTTCCCTTGGCCCTGTAGCAGAAGCATAAGCAGCAGTGCAACACGCTGGCTTGCCCTAAGGCTGTGACATACTAGCATTGGGAAGGAGCCAAAGACTGCTCACCCCAGGTGCAAGGGGTTCCTTTGGAAGTCATGAAAGACACTGGTGCAAGGTGTCTGCCACTCTTTCTGCTGAAGCTGTTCTCTTCTGAATTACAGAAATACTCACTAGCCCAGAGAGATTTTGAGCGTGACTAAGTACGCCAGTGATTAGGAGGGAGGGGAGAGGGAGAAGGCGATTCCAGCTATTGCAGTAACATTTGCTGGGAGCAAAGGGGAGCTGTCTGCATTGCCTGCTCATCCTTTTCCACATTCCAGCAATACCACAGGGTAACCTGCGGTGGTGGAATCACCATCCCTGGAGGTGTTCAAAAAACACGTGGATGCAGCACTTACGGACAAGATTTAGTGATGGACCTGTCAGCACTGAGTTAACAGTTGGACTCAATGATACTTTCCAACCTAAATAATTCTGGGATTCTAATTCTGCCTTCTGGGGCATGTGAACACCTTACATGATAGACTCAAGTGTGAGGTTCTTAGTAAATTGGAGGAAGAAGAATAAATAACTTTTTTAGCAAGACTGTGGTGACAGAATTTTGACCATAATCTCGAAGTCTGCCAGAGATAATCTTATCCCCTTGAATTTTTCTCTTCAGTGGTGTGACAGTTTTCCACAGGAATTTTATTGGGCCTGTGACTTTTCCTTCCCACCATGTGACTGAATATGCTGTGTAATGTGCTTTCATCACAGCACCACACTGCTGATTTCAGCTGATAAGGAGAACAAGGGGATCTAAAATGACTGGCATAGAATGGAAATCACAAAGCAGTATTAAGGCTTAGCTTACAAAGACAAGCCTACAAATAATAATGAGCAGAGTCATGACTTTAACAAAGGTTTTTTTATTTTCCAAGACTGCATGTTACAGTCTATCATTTTTCCCAAAGAGGGAAAAGTTATCACTCATAAGGCTTGCGTATTCTATAAAGATGACCCATGTAAAAAGCATGACTTCCAATTGATTGCTTCCAAAAATGTCTTTTACTGTAAAGTATCTTTGACCCTCTTGTGTAAAAATGCAGAAAGCAGCTGTATGCCTACAGGGGAATAACAAGATATGCTCAATAAGGACAGGACAGTCTTTGCTGTCTCTTAAACAATAACCCATGTGGTCCTTCCCTCCTCTGTCAACATACCTATCTCTGTCGCTGCTGCACTATCCACAGCTTCTCCTGTTTCTTCTTCTTTTGTTTCAGGCCCTTCACTTACTGTCTCACTGAGCAGCTCAGTTTCCACCCGTTCTCCCGTCTCACCTGGGAATGGTAACCATGGAGATCAAATTAGGATCCACTAAAAAAAAGCACCTTTTTGGTTTGTAAGCTCTCCAATGCCTGTTATCAAGGTACCCCCTGAATGAACCCAGAGAGAACAAACAGGAAAACAAACACTTTTCATCATCAGCTATATGGTTGCCTCATGCCCATGAAGTTCTCCTAATGCTTTCATAAAAAAAAATCCCCTTGGTGCTGTATCCAAAGGAAATCATGAATTATTTTTTCCTGTATTTTATTTCGTAGATGTGCAGTTTTATTTGCAACCGGGGAAAAAAAAAAAAACAAACAAAAAAACCAAAACCATAAATAGAAAGCATGGTAACATGCAAGTCTGGCTGAAGCCCTGCTTTCCTAGAGAAGCTGCTGCCTAACTAATTTCCTCCCATAGCTATGGAAGCACAAAGGGAAAGCAAAACAAATGCTAAGTATCATATATACCATAGCATAAAAACAGAAAATCCCTTTTTCATCAGATGCCTCTGGGAAAATAATGTACTCAAGTTAAGGTATTAATGCTACCTTGGAAATAATAGGAGCAAAACTCTTTTCCCCAAAAGCTTCATTCACTCACCCTGCACACATCACTTGGTGCTAAAAGCCTCACAACTCATCTTCAGACAGACAGACAAGTGTAAACATGTTCCCACTGATGAGAGGTGACAGCACAAGGTCCAGGGTGTGCTGCTCTGCCTCTGGCACTGCCCTGAGGCTTATCAGTTGTGCATAAAGGAATTGGAGTTTGCAGCTGGGCAGGATCTGTGTTTAACAGGTGAGCAATCTGTCATTTACTGCTTACATAAAACAAGGCTTTATTCCAAAGGATAGATTATTATGTAGAGGACAAAATTCTTTCATGAAGCGACACATGAAACAACAAAGCAATCCAACAACCATGCCTACCTACAAAGGATGAGCAAAGAATGAGATTCATAGAGCCAGTTCAGAGACAAGCAGCACTAAGCCACGGGAGTAGCGGCAGTGGCAGTCTCCAGTATCTGGCTCTGGACTTCACACGGATCAGTCCTTCTGCACCTCGCACTTCTTCAAGGCCAAAGTGGAGTGAGGCTGTCTCCTTGCAGAGAAATACTCCTCATGTGCTTCACCTTTTTATTCCCTGAAGAAGAGCTACCCCAGGAATGCATCTGATTCCTTAGTGAGTTACTTTGTATCTTTTAGGAGAAATTTGATTCCTCCTGTCAAGTGTTCATCTTCTGCAGTCCGTGTTCTCTGAGCACTAACCCAAAGGGGAGCATAGCCTGCAATTTCCACCTCCTGCTAAAGGTTCCTCCGCAGCACATGGAAATCCCTGTCACCTCAGACACTACTGCTTCCCCACACAGCCCCTCTCCCCACCCAGCCATCTCCAAGCACTGGTGCAAAGACAGCCCTATGTCTCTCCACTAGTACTTCTATTCTGCTTGTCTTGTAGGCAAGCTGCCGGGACACACTGGAGATGCCAAGTGTGCATTGAAGAGATCTTTTTCTTCTACATTCAGCTTTATGTGTGCAAGGGCAGCTGGTTTATAATTAATACATGTGACTAAGTAATTGAGCCTTTGGGCTGTGCAAATATTAAGGAAAATGTCTGAGCTGCCAAGAGACACAATGTTTTAAATGAGGGGTATGGTGGGACATTTGATCTGCTAAGAACAAAAAGGACGTGAAATGAAATAGCAGAGGTGAAAATGCTGATTAAATTTATTACAGCTTGGACTTGTAAATCCGAGGCTTACCCAGCCACGTTCTTCTATGCCTCACATCATACAGACTCCCTCGATCAAATTCTGACTCCAGAAGCTCATTTGAGGCTCTTATTAAAGCCAAAAGGACCCACACAGAACTCCCTGGAGGCAAATTTATAAAAGCACAAATATTACCCTCAATGAGGTGGTCGTCTTCAGTAATATGTACTTTCTCGATGACTTCCACTACAGAGCTGTCACTGCCCTCTACCAGCCCACTGTCCTCTGCTGGGTCTGGAGATGGTGCCCCAGCATCTTCTCCTGGCGCTGGCGGTGAAGGCCCCCTGCTCTCCTCTCGCCACACAGAGAGCAGCTCGGAGCTCTCCTCCTCTGCTGCAGGCAGGGGCTCGGTGCCCTCCGGCTCCTCCCTTTTACTGACCGACTCTGTCTTCCCCTCCACGTTCCGGATCGTGGCTGAAATCTCCTCTCCCGGCAGCTGCTCGCCTGGGTTGGTCTCCTCAGAAGCAAGGCTCACATGCTCTGCTGGCTCCAACTGTGTTTGGTCAGCTACAGGTCCATGGTCATCTGCAGTCAGGGTGTTTGCACCTGAGGATGCTTTTAGTTACAGTAGGGCAAGGAAAGGAAAAAGAGAATTACAGATAATGTGTGAATGGGCACATAAGCTGGATGACAACTAAACCCACAGTGAACCACACAAGTACTACCTGTCAAAGAGCTCCCTCCTGGCTAGGGAAAATACTCCCTCACAGGTCTGCTGCACATAACCACACATATCCAGTAGAGGATGATGCTGCTCTTACATTAAAAATAGTTTTCATTTGATGCATGTAATACATTTTTATATGAAGAGAGCAGACTTGTTTGCAAGTCAATGTTCTATTTCATTTTCCCTTTTGAATCTGCAGTGTGCAGGTGGTTTGCTAGTGATGGGACACTGCAAGGAAACACCTTTTCCTGCCTCAAACCAAGCACAGCATCAGTGTGGGGAGTGTGAGGGATCTGCTGTCCTGGGCTGCATGTGAGAAGTTCTGGTAGTACCATCAGGTGGACTGAATAAAGCCCCTGAGAACCCAGAGGATGAGCAGTGCTCACTTCTCAAAACAAAAACCACTTTGTCTGTCTTTTTCAATACTAAACTACCACTAACAAAAAAAATCAACATCAGGAAGACTAAACAAATTAAAACTTCCACTTCTTGCATCAACTTACTGGCTAGTAAAGCAATGGGTTTTGGCAGAAAAAAATTATGAATAAAGAACTCACAAAATTACTTTGACAGGTATTTAAGGATAAAAGCTGAAGACTCAAAATGAGCTATACCTACCTGTCAGACTGACTTACTAACATTCTAACAAAATTCAGTTTGACAGGATCTTGTACTTAACCTTTTCCTAAAGAATGTCAGGATGAAATCCCTGGTAATTCAAGCATGAAATCTGTTTATATAATAATTACAAAACTGGAAAAACTGTATTTTCTGAGAAAATTATGATTGCAGTGTCAAAGCCAATAAGCAGAACCATATGATACTGTTCACAGATGAACACATCTATACATGTTCATATAGATGTAGATGAACAGGAAAAAAAGTAGTACACCCTGCTGTTAAAACATCTGCTTGAACACTGCTGCCCTTAATGTAAGCTTACAGTTCTTTTGAGACATTCAAACAAAAACAGCTCCCCAGCATGTGTCACCTTGTCAGCATGTGCCTACAGACCCAGGGAAGGATGGCTAAGCCAGAAGAAGAGCAAGAACTGAGAATCTGGACTGTTGAGACAGACAGAAGGCAATTTTGACTATGAGACAGATAAAATCTCATCTGTCCCAGGAACTGTCAAACCATCCAAGTTGCAACCAACCCCTCCAAATCCACAGTGGAATGGCAATTTATAATGCAACTCCAACAACAGGAGGTAAACTCAGCTACAGGTCTCTGAAAACAGACCCCCCAGGGCAAGACCCATCCTGCCTCTGACAGTTGCCAAGGGGCAGGAGAAAAGGCTGAGGGCCCCAGCTCACCAGGCTGAGTGTCAGTCTGTCAGTGGAATTCCTCTGTCAACCTGTTCAAGTCCCTTTTCAATCTGTTTACACTCAGTCTCCACTATATCCAATGGTAATGAGGGCTGCAGCCCCATTACATCCCCTGTAAAACACATCTTGGCTGGTTTTAATCCTGCTGCTGGTCATTTCATGAAGTGGCAGTTCTTGCATTATGAGAAACAGCAAATATATTTCCCTGATTGCTTTCTCTAGATCTCTATCACACCTTGTCTTTCAAGCACACCTTTTCCTAAAATGAAGCTCAAGGTGAAACAGATACCAAATCAGAATAGTAGTGAGTGAATGTTAAACTTAAGCTACTCTAAGCGGTGATTAAAAAAGCAGTGTATGCTCAGAGACCAGAAATTTGATGTTTTCACATTTTTATTTTTTGTTCCTTTAGACACTTTTCATACCTTCACCTTGCTCAATGCCAGATGGAGAGAGATCATTTAAATCCTATAGACAGCAACAAATGAGCCGTGAAAATTTGCATATTATATAGAGTTTTAATTCTTGTTAGCAGTAAAAGAAACAATTCAAATGTATTATTACTAAGAATCTCCTGCAGCTCCTGTAAGTATCAGCCCTATAACTTCGAACTAGCCCTCTCTACATCAAAATATTTTATATAAATTGGATTATACTGCCATGCAATACAATATCTGCACCGCTGGAAACCCTGGAAGCATTCCTGTGCTCTTATCTGAAATGCAAAGAATTCCCTAATATGGAAAAAAAAAAATCCTCTCAGTAATCTGTTCAATACCTTTATCCCTGAGAAAAATGAACATCATGTGGCAGTCAGCATTCCTAGGATTCCTTCTAGTTTTGCTTTATTTCTAAATTTTTTTTTCTCTGCTATAGACTATTTTAGCTGGAGAAACAAAAAAACCACAGTGAATGTATGTGAGCCATGGCTACAGTATTTACTCTTTGCCTTCTTTCCTTTTGGAAAAGCCTCAAAGTTTTGTGAGCTACACATCAACAGAAGAAAATGAAATACATTTTCCTCTATTAACTTATTTAGAGAACTTGTTTTTTTTTTTTCAAATTATCTTTTCTTATTAAAGTAAATTAGCAAATTGTTAACTTATCTGGTTAGTAATTGCCAAATTAATGCAGATCTTTCATCTGTAATTGCAAACTGCACTTCATCCTTGCCATGACATTAGTGTATGTATTTAGTATGTTTCATGACCTATCCTGCCATGAACATGCTTTTATACCAAATAATTAAAATACTCAGAATAAATTACTCCTGCTGTTTCTTTGAACCCTTCAGTGTTCCTGTGAAGGTATCATTCAGTGGAGGAAGGAAAGGCAGAGGAACTGGTATATAGGCCAGGTGACCGAGACAGCAGGTGCAGCATAAAGAGGTTTCTCCTGATACTTTCAGCAGGTGTGTGCTGGCTCTGTAGCGGCACAAACAATGCTTAGCCCACAACCTGCTCTCCTCTCTGCAGTCACAAGCCACAGCACCACAAGACAGCACACAGAATATAAACCCATGCAAAAACCATGGATGCAGAGTAACAACAACAGATTATAACTCAAGAATATAGGAAAGAAATGCAGTAAAATGAAATGCAAACAACTTTTTTTGGATCTGCCTTTAAGATATATCTTTCTGGAGAGGTCAATTACTGTAACTTTAGCATTCAGATTCTTAACAGAAATGTTTCCAAACCTTCCTTGGAGCAAAGAGCTAAATATAATGAATATAGAAACAAAGTTTTGTTTTACTTCTACTGAATAGCAAGGATATTCTTATGGAACACCCTGCAAATACACCTTGCTCACAAAATTAGTCGGCTGTGACTTAAGTCAATTAAAGCCACAGGAACACTGCCAATGCTGCACACTATGTCTAGGTGGATTTTGTTAGAGAAAGGGAGGATAGTGAGGTCAAATATTGCTAGCTGATTATTCTTTTAAAGAAGGAAAGAAAGGGCACTAGACTGGCAAGGTGCTACACAAAAAGACCAACAGCAGGACGTGTCTAGGAACTAAACAAACAAAAAAAAGCCTGAGGAGCGGAGCGGAAGGGACTTAGGCATTCATTCACAAGAACCACCAGTTTCGAAGCCATCACTCACGGGGCGCAGTTCCCTTCGCTGCGCGGGCAGAATGAAAAGCCGAGGCAAGCCCGACGGGCTTCTGGCCCTGTGGGGATTCCCTGGGACGCGCACCCGCGGCGCCTTCCCTGCGACGGGACGGGACGGGACGGGACGGGGCCACCCCGAGAGCAGCGCGGCCCCGCACCCCAGAGCGCTCTGCGGGCAGCCCCCGCCGGCTCCCCGCCCCGCTCACCCGGCGGCGGCGGCTCCTGGGGGCGGCTGCGGGCGCTGCTGGAGCAGCCCATGGCGGGGCCGGCGGGCTCTGCAGCGCTCCCGATGGCCGGGCCGGGTCGGGCCGGGCCGGGCCGGGCCGGGTCGGGTTGGGCCGGGCCGGGCCGGGGCAGGGCGAGGTGCGGCTGGCGCGGCCGCCGGCAGCACCGACCTGCGGAGCCGGGGGGCGGCCCCGGCGCTGGAGCCTCCCCCGCCGCTCGGCCCTGGCCACCTGCCCCGGGCGGATTTCTGCGCTGCGTCAGGGTGCCACAGGTGTGAGTGGCAGCAGGGAAGGGACTGCCGGTCCGTGTGCCCGAGTTAACCCTGGGGTGTGGTCGTAAACCTCGCGAGCAAGCTTTGAGCCACGATAGCATCGAGCAGAGGAGACCCGTAGCCCGGGTAAGAGGGTCTGGGACTGCGCAGGGGTATTAGACAGACTTGGAGGCCACGCCGATGTTTGGCGGCCCGTGAATGTGGTTGAGATTATGAACCTGAGACTGAGGGTGTGGGGTGTCTGTAGGGAACCCCAGACCGGACCTGGGGAGAGGAAGCAGCCGGGCTGGGTTATCTGCACTGACTGTGTCTGGTTTGTGCACACCGAGGGGTGCTCTCGTACACACACCGGAGCCGCAGCCCCGCCGCCAGCCCTCCCTGCTCACTGCGCCCTGAACTGAGCGGGACAGACCCCTGAGGCCTCAGCAGCTCGGAGGCAAAAAGGAATCCCTGATTCACAGAGTCCTCTGGGTTCAGCGGCCACCTGTAACATCCTTGCCATCGGTCTGAAAGGTAAAATAAAGAAAATATTTTATATTTGCATATAGGCAAATCAATAGATGTCCAAGAAAGCTGAGATGGCCTAAAACTTCCCAGAGTAAGAATGAAGAATCTTTGCCACACATTTGCTTGCACAAGCAGATAATGTATTTACTGCACCCAAGACATAATTTGATTTTGTCAGATTTAGACTAATCACGTGTTCTTCCAAATGAACTTTTTTTATCCACCCAGAAATTTATTCAGAAAAATCATATTGTATTTGGACATTTATCAAAGGTTTGTGATGTTCCACAACCAAGGTAAAGCAGTAACAATGACTCCAATAATTTCTGCAATAGTTTCTGCTTCCTCAATTTTAATTATTTTTCAAGATGCTTTTTAAAAACAACAGAAAAAAAATCCACTGTAGGCTCTATAGATTTCTATGTGGCTATATATAAGATTACTATAAAACACTAGACATTGAAATGCTGGTAACTTTAGGATTAGCAAAACGTGTTGCTCTGTGACAACAAAAGCAGAAGTGCAACAAAGGGCTTAGCAACTTAAAAATTAAGTTCAGAAATATTTAACATTCATGCTGCTGGTGTGAAATCCTGACTGCTGCAGTTGGAACGAGGTCAGTTCCCTACACTACAGATTTCCTGTACAGCACAGATGAAGGCACCCAGGCATCCCACTGCTCTGCTGCCACAGGTAGGAAACAGAAGTGTCTGTGACTGTGAAGGAGTACTGACATGAGCTGAGGAAGCCCAGCATGCCAGGAAACATACTTGATATCCCGCCTTTCTTCTGTGATCTTTCACAGAACAAAGGAGGATGGGCCACCGGGACAGACTCATTAAACACTAGGAAACATCAAACACTGAGGAAAATATAAAAGGGAAGGCTACATTCAGTTCATTCTCTCGCCTGCAGAGCTTCGTACCTGCTTCCCTGCCTGTCGTAACCAAAGGGTGAACCGTGCAGAGTGCACCTACCATCAGCTGACTGATACAGCAGAGAAAGGAATTCAAGGTTTGCAAGGCCAGAGAGAGGGAGAACGAGTATTGGCAGCAAGGCTCACCGGGGGTACTCTGTTCTTCATGTTCTTTAAACAGGCCTTGGATAGGATACAGAAATAGAAATGAGAACCCAAGGGCTGTTTGGCAGGTGACTCCCACAAACACTAATTAGCAATATCATGGTCTTCTCTCTTCCTATATCTTCCTGTGTCTTCCTGCAACTTTTCAGCAGGAAGACTGGACATAACAGAGCCAGTGCTGGAGCTGGACACAGGCAGGGCCACGCTGCGACAGGGCTGCTCCTCAGCATTTCGGCTGGATTGCCACGGCCAGGCAGGCTTGGACAACGTGTGCCCTCTGCAGAGCACTCGGCACAAACATCTCCCCGGGATAACTGCACAGTGGCTGCCTCTGCCACTGTCCCACCTTCTGGGAGCACAGGATTGCACAGACCTTATACAGAGTCCCAAAGAAATTTATGCAAGTGATACAGTGGCTGCAGTATGATGTTGGCAGATGAAAATCCTTGGTAGGTTTTCCGTCCCATCCCCTTGGCAGGGCACCTCTCCACAGACTCTCTGCCTTCTCTAATCCAAACCACCCTGCTACTGCCCCAGCTGAAGACAATACCAAAGTAGCTAAAAAAACCCCAAACCTTTAAGAGAAAATAAATGAAACAATTATATTGAACTATTCATTTTATCCAGGAATACAAATTGGGAAATTAAAATTAAATGTAAACTATGAGTATTCAGGGATACCTGTATTTTCAGAGGTAAAGCAACAAATACCTGTGACCTCTTATACACAATCAGCAATATACTTCCAAAAGCAAATTCCATGAAGATTTCTCTAAGACCCTGATAATTTTTAAGTTCTCCAGGCCAGTACTATATGAGCAAATTTGTTGCAGTCATTCCAGAGCTCACTAGCTGTTAAGATTTCTGAATATTTTAGATATAATTTCTACTACAGCAATTAATTTTATATCTATTTTCTGATAGTCCCAAATCCTGTGACTTTCCAAATCAAAATGACTTTTCAAAACATTATGTTAATCAAGAGTTTTCTTTTTGATGACTTCTTTTCTCAGCTCTTTGGGCGCAGAACGACCAGTACCTAAACAAGTAATAAAATATTCTAAATTGTTTACTTTGTCAAGTAATTCAGGCCAAATGTTTCACGATCCAAATATTTGTAGGTCCATTGATGGCTGTTCTGTGATGCTGATTTATGAACTGCAGAGAGCTGCCTTCTGAAACAGCTATTTTTGTTTGGCCTGGGATAGCAACAACCTTGAAACTTAGCTCCTAGTACATGCCTTGTAATTTCCTGGAAAGGAGGCAATCTGAAGATTTTCTCATCAAAATGATTGCTGTCTTTAGAAATCTGCACCTGTGGATTTCTGCACAATTTGGCCTTAGAAAATGCATTTCCCATTGTACTGGCACTGGATTTAAGCTGGCTATGCATATAGGTATAAAAATGTATGTATTTATACATGTATATATTTATGTATGTACATATACACATACTTCTTAGCATGCTTTTACTGGCTGAAAATTTTGACCAGGTCTGCAGATATCCAGGTATTCACAACACACAGTATTTAACCTCAGAGTTTTCCTTGTTCTCTAATGAGATAACCTTTCTGCACTCGACCCATTTTCCTCCACAACTCCTTTCTTTCTTTCCTTCCTTTCTCATAGTAAAGCTGCTTCAAGGGTGGCTGAAGAAAGGTTTTGATTCAGATCTAGTGAACATGGGCCTTACTGGGATTCTAAATTCCCAGTAATCTGAAACAAAGAGCTGCATTTGTCTGCTTGACAATACAGGGGATAGTTCAGTGCACAACCCTGTGAAAATCAGATGAACATGTTTGCATTTGCTGTAAATGCAATGATTATCAGAGAACACAATCTGTCACTTTTAATAGCCCTGATGTGCAAAACTAGAGAATAATAGCTGCAGGTGTTCACACAATATTGTTGTGTAATTGTGCAGAGACTTGACCAGACTATAATCAAAGCAGGACTGTTTTTTTTTGCATATTTTCTTCCTATTTAAAAATATTGTTCATATTGGTAAAATAAAGATATAGGCCCAGTTTATCAGAAGATCAGTCTTCTTTTTTGAATTGAATCTCATCATTCATGGTTAGCGTGTGACCTGTGGCACTTAAAGGATGGCTATGGACACAGTGTCCCTCTTGGCTTTAGCAGAGATTACAATTTGAAATCCCTCCCCAGTCACACCACACGTTTACTGGAGCTTTCCTGGTGACAGGTCAGTCCCCGTTACCATCTCAGGCACCTGGCAGCTCTGACAAGGAGCAAGTGCTGAGCTCTACACAATGCCTACTGACACTCAGGGGAAGGGGCTAAGCAGGGGTACAGCTTCAGATGTTCCTCTGCATCCCTGCTGCCAGAGTGAACCCCACTTTGTCTGAGGATCAGCAGTGCTGCCACTTCAGCTTTATAAAGACCTCTGAAGTTCAGAGAATTTAACAGAATGATCCATCCCAGACTGTACCGTAGGGTGCCCATGTACTGCTCATTTTTCAGACTTCAGAATGATTTTTCTCATTCTTCCCTTTATCTTCTTTCCAACCTTTTCTCTCAGTTAACTATACACTGTCTACAACAGCACACATAATTAGTATACATGCCTGTTTTCTTATTACCTCATTTTACTGTTCACTGGATTTTCTAATGAGTAATGAGAAAAACTGATTATATTATTACCACTGCATTTGTGGGGGCAGCGCTTGGGGTTCTATAAGACAGAGAAGTTGCTTTCGGATTTCTCTGCAGAAAGGCATGCTGCTTGGATGAACTACATATGCACTATGTCCAGTGCTGATTCCTTGCAGCCAAACTGCTGCAAGGAAAAAGGAAAAAGGATCACCCCACGGTGATCCTGGCTAGCTCTAGAACTTGCTTGTCTGTCCCCAGGTATGTGTAACCCTGCCACCACGGTTTGTTTGTTTATACACTGGCATTTGTGTCAGTGCTGCTGCAGGAGATTCCCTTGATGCTTTAGGATTTTAGCTTTTATATTTTTCATATATTTATAATCCTGCAATTCTTTAATGTATAACTCTGAACTCCATATAGAGTATCGGCTACTATCTTCCCATTTTGGTCAGACAAAACAATTCTTCTCTAGGCCTGGGAATCAAGGACATCTTTCTGTCTCAGGCCCCAAGAAATGTAAAACAAAAGTGAGTTGGGGTGAATGTCTTCATTACTTGAAGCTGTAATTGGAAGATTAACTTCCAATATTGCATTGGAAGCTGTAATTGGAAGATTAACTTCCAATATTGCAAGTTCCAAAACTTGCAAATGGACCAAACTTGTAAAAGTATGAAAACCTGTGACCCGTTATCCGTTTTTTGGGTGTAGCTCCTGTGAGGTCTCTGTCTGCTCTAAATGTACCTGAAGGCCCTTTAATAAATATAACCACTTTTTAGACCCTTTTGTCTGGCCTCTGCTTTTAATTAATCCCAACAAGGGATCGCCCTGACTCCTCTTTTTTAGATACACTGAGTTGGTTTCATTCACCCAAAATTAAGTTGGTTTCTAATTTTTGGGATAGGTCAGTGTTCCACCACTGACTTTTCTTGTAGTGCTCTCACTCTTATACCTCTTCATGAAAAATGCATATTTTATGATTGGCTTTTTGCAAATATTAAATTGAATACTATATGCATTATGTTATATTGATTAGAAGTGCTATATTAACATTTTAATAGTATGGTAAATGTAGCTTTGTAGTTACAGTAGAGCTTTTGTAATTAAAATAGAAACTATGTACGTGGGAAGAAAGGCATGAAGTACTTGCATCGAGATAGCAGCTGCAGGACACCTAAATTTTCCAGAGAAAAATTTATGGCTCCCTAATTAGAACAAACTAACTTCTTCCTGCCTCACTCAGCCGTGAAGGTACCACAGGATTAAGAAGAGGACATTGACACTGATCAGACAGAGTTTTTTGTTTCAACAGAATTTATGCATCATGTATGAGATATATGAATATGCAACAGACTATTGCTTTCAAGGGTTAATTCTTTGTTCACAAGGTATGCTTTTCATGGCTTAGTGCCCAAGAGCATCCGGACATCTGTAATTCTTTGCTTTTTATTGTCTCATAATTGTCCTAACTCTAAATTTTTATTACTCTAATTGTATTACTATTTTTATAACCATTTTATTATTATTAAACATTTAAAAATTCTAAAAACAAGTGCTGGTGTTTTCCACACTTTTCATACCTCTAACTAGTGCTTTCTTACATGATCTTGTCATCATTTTAGTGGGGAAAAGTGGTGAAAGAACTTCAGGACCACTGTTCTCTGGATTAAGTTCTCCCTCTCTGTTAGAAACCCTGCTCCTATCCTCTCATCAGGCAAGCACAGTTAGGCCAGTGGTGAAGTGGTGCTGCTTTTCCCAAGTACTCTGCATTCCCTGCATGCTCATCTCCACTGCCAAACTGAGCCCCAGCCCGCAGAGCCCCGAGCCAGAGTAACACCTGGCTCAGCCTGGGAAGGAGCTGACCTGCCTGGCTGGGCATGGTGGGGCAGGCAGGGGGGCTGGATGAGGGCACAGTGCCTGCTGTTGGTGCTGGGAGAAGTAACACTGCCTTCCCTGAGGCTGCCAGCTGCTCCCTGGGTCGCTCCATCTTGAGACTTGTTTGTTGGAAATAGAGACACTGTCTGCTGCTTCCCTGCCTTTCCTCTGTTTCTGCTGTGGAGGAGCTCAAGATCCCCGAGGGTGCCTGAGTGCCTGATGTGTCCCCATTCCTTAATCCTCAAACAGCTCCTTTGAAGGCTCATGCTGTCCCAGCTGCTCTATTTAACAAAACAGGGGCTGTATAATATTGTTTAAGGAATTTTAGTGGGGCCAAAGCCTTTTCTTTATTCTGCTGTAATTTCCACCTGATTTGGACTGCCCCTTCGTCTTTATAAAGGACATTTTATGGGCACATTACTAGAAAGAACTAGTTTTATAAACTCTAAGTAAAGTTGTTCTCTCCGGACGTGAGCGGAGGCTGCAATGGCATCCTTGGAAACAGCTCCCTCTCCCGGAGCCATGCATGGCTCCCGCATCCTGCAAGGTGACATAAAACCTGGAATAGTCCAATGGAATAGCATCCACAGGACTTCACGAGGCCCATTGAGCCATTACTCCCTTGCCAGTAATTTCAACAAGAACGAAAGATGAATGTTTCATCAGATCATAACCAACTGAATAAAAGTATAAAGAGTGAAAAGCAAAGTCACAGTTTGATGGGGAATAACAGCAATGAACCTGAGGGCTGGGACAAGGACAAAAAGAGGAGCAGGAGGAGAAAGACACACAGAATGGAGTTTACTTTTCAGTTGCCAAAGAAAAGTTTGAAGTATACTTCAAAATTGATTTAATCATACTCTATAAAGGGCTAGAAATGGGCTTTTTATATAAAAGATATTTGACTATAGAGATACATCAAAATGTAACATTTTTATATTATTATTTATATACTACATGTATCATTTATGTGCTTAACAGAGACATTATTCCCAGAGAACTTTACCTTTAGAGATGGACCAGTGTCAGAGTTTCACTTATGATATTTCAGTTCCACTTAAGTTTGGTAACATTTTTTCCAAGATACCTTTGTCTCAGTGTTAGTTTAGATGTTAATTTAGATGCTTAAACTGATCTGTCAAAACCCAAGGTTGTTACTCAGGAAAAAAATGATTGGGATGATGGTTTGCTGTCTGTCACTAAGAAGATTATCCTGTTGGAAATATTTTGGTTAGGTCAGTGATCATACATCAGAAAAAGTTACCATGGAGGTAATCATACCAGGAGAAGGGCATAGCAGTATATTGCTATAAATTATTTCCCTTGCTTGAAATAACATCTATTAATATAAGCATACTAGAATAACTGAATGCAGCATGTTTTGTCTTGGATTTTTAGTTTGTTGCTCCGTATTCCATATCAATAAATGCATGACACTTCCTAAGGACAACAAGCCCAACACTTTCCCATGCTTGTGCTAACCTGGGCGAGTCTAGCAAAGCTCCTATGCTAGTTCTGTAATTTCATAAGGATTGTACACGCTGGGATGCCTTTTTGGTGCAGTGTCTTAAGGGAATAAGTCACACCAGCAGCAAATCCCATTTCTGTCCCTTTACAGACTATGTCCTGTGGCTGGATCCCTGAGCATCCTCTAGAGGGATGTCACAGGCAACCTCCACAACTCACATGCAGAACATCCACACTGCTCATCCCTGCAAGCGTCAGCTGAGCTGCTGCTGCTCTCTGCTCTTCCCTGCGCCAGTCTGGGGTGCTTTTTCTAGGATGGACAGCACTGTGGGATCGAGAACAAATGTCCTCAGCCTGAAAATGGGAGCCTCATGTCACGGCCCTGGTCCCAGACGAGGCTGTGCCTGTGTGCTCAGCGAGACAGTTTTCAAGCTGGTGGTTTCTAGCGTGCACAGGGGGCAGGAGGAAGTTTCCCTGCACTGTCCCTCTGGCACAGCCAGGGACTGAGCTGCTTGGGAACAGGCTAAGAGCACTGCAGGTGGGAGTGCAGAGCCATCACCCCAGGAAAAACTGGGAGCTGCACTGAGGGTGCCCAAAGCTGAACCTACTAACAGGCAGAGTCGGGCCCAAGTCTATTCCCAAGCTCAGTGGCTGGTTTCATGCAAAAAACCTGTCTGTCTGCTCAGGCTCGGCCCTGTGCCGGGGCTGTATCCCATCGGGACAGGCCAGTCATGCAGAACTGGGCAGCTGTGCAGGGCAGGGGGCAGGCACTGCTGCTTTAGCAAGGCAGTGTGCACAGCGCAGACAGCAGGGACACAGGCAGACCACCACGTGTCCCCTGTGATGGTGCCTGGTGATGCCCAAGAGATTTATTTTCTCCATCCCGTAGTTTTCCCCATCAGCCCTGTGTCAGAAGTGACAGTCCGAGGGACACTGCTCTGGTGACACCCCACCTGAAGTGCTCAGCTCTGGAGTCCCCAGCACAGGAAGGACATAGACCAGTCACACCGAGTCCAGAGGAAGCCACCAAGATGATTAGAGGGCTGGAGCTAGGAGGAAAGGCTGAGAGAATTGGGATTGTTCAGTCTGGAAAAGAGAAGGCTTTGGGATGACCTGATTGTGATCTTCTGGTATCAGAACACACAGGAAAGATGGACAGAGACTTTTTTTTACGAGAGCATGTACTGCTGGTGACAGGAGAAAGGCAAATGGCTTCAAACAGAGAGTAGGTTTACATTTGATATCAGGAAGAAGCCCTTTACTGTGTGGGTGGTGAAGACACTGGTACAAGTGCTACGGATGCCCGCAATCCTGTGAGGTATTCAAGCCCAGGTGGGATGGGGCTCTGAGCAACCAGGTCTAGCAGAAGATGGCACGGCAGCGAGGCTGGAACTAGGCCAGCTTCAGGGTCCCTAGCAATCCAGGCCGTTCCGTGGTTCCGTGATGGGAGGCTCAGGCCACTACGGCTCTTCCCGCATCAGCAGCTGAGGCCTTCCGCGAGGCTGTGAAGTGCAAGAGGCGTTCAAAGAAAGCCCCTCGGCGGAACGAGGGAATCAGCGGGGATGGAAAGGCCGGGAAGCAACAGCCCGGCGGATGCACCCCCGCGGCCGGGCCGGGCCGGGCCGCACCGCCCCGCGCACGGGCCCCGCCCACACGCTGCCAGCCCGCCCGGCCCAGCCCGGCCCCGCCCAGCCCGGCCCCGCCCACACGCTGCCAGCCCGGCCCCGCCCAGCCAGGCCCCGCCCCGCCCGGCCCCGCCCACACGCCTCATGCCCGCCCCGCCCGGCTCCGCCCCGCCCGCGCCGCCGCGGTTCGGGCGCGGTGGCAGCCGCGGGGCGGGGCGGGCTGTGCGCGGCTCTCGCGAGAGCTGCCGCGGAGTTCGCGCGGTGCTCGCTGGGGCTCGCTCCTTTCTGGCGGCCCGGCCATCTTGGCGGCGCGTCTGCGGTGAGCGGGGCCGGGCCGGGGCGCGGGGGCCGCTGCGGGCGCTGCTGCCGGGTTCTGACCGCTCCCCTCCGTCCCCCTGTGTTCCAGGTACCGCCCGACCCCGCGTGAGGCAGCAACATGGTGGCCGCGAAGAAGACGGTGAGTGAGAGCGGGGCCGCGCCGGGCGCACGTGGTGGCGGAGCGGCGGGGCCCGGCGCGGCCTGGGGTGGCGGCCCGGGGTGCTGGGGGCCCGGGGCACGGCCCGGCGCGGCCCTCAGGGCTCGGACCGTGCCCTCCGAACACTGACCGCGCCCCTCGGCCGCCTCCTGCTGCGCTCCCTGTCCTCCGGTCCGTGTCCCGGGTGCTTGCAGAGCCCCTGAGGTGGCTGCAGGACGGGAGACGTGGTGCCGAGGGCCCCGTGCGGGTGGCGTTCAGGTTTTGCCTGTCCTGCCGTGTTCTGGCCTTTCTCAGAGTGGCTCTGACAGATCTGGCTTGGTTTCTTCGTCTAACCTGTTGTCATGAGTATCACGCTCCCGTGTTTTAATATCAGTTCGATATCGCACAGAGTTACTTCTTTCTGCTGCCCTACGTAATGTTGTCAGTGTGCGCCCTGGGGAGAGACAGATTCTGAACATGGCTTAGATGTGCAAGGCAGAAGTGGTACGTACTTGGCCTCGACTAGCTGAGCATGACAAAAGCTTGTCAGATACACGCAGATGTCGCCGATTTATGCAGATAGCAGCAAAAGTGCTTTGAGATGTATTTTTCGATTGAGAGAGGTGGGGGTAAGAAAGAACTTTCTGAACTTGTGAAAGCACAGTATCAGCAACGCCCCTGTCCATAGGCTTTCTCATACTCAGGTAACTGACTGGCCTTTCCTAGTCCATGTTCCAGATTATAGGGAGATTATGAAAAATGTATATATTTGAAATTTCTCTATTGTGTTCTCTATTGTTTTGAAAAGCATGAAGTAACACAATAATGCTTTTTTACATCTTTTTCAGAAAAAGTCCCTGGAGTCCATAAACTCCAGGCTTCAACTGGTTATGAAAAGTGGCAAATATGTGCTTGGGTACAAACAGACCCTGAAAATGATTCGTCAGGGCAAAGCCAAGTTGGTCATCCTTGCCAACAACTGTCCTGCTTTGAGGTAAGCAGATGTGGGAGAAAACAATTCTAAGTTGGGTTCTTTGTACAAAGGCAGTGTGTGCTTCATGGTGATTGCTCCGGAGACTTCATACAGGGGGCTTTGCTGGCATGTTCTAGAGTGCTCTGAAATTCGCTTGGTAGTTTGCTGTGTAATTATTCCAAATCTAGAAGTGTTGAAATGCTTCCTGGTGTTTTTCTGGCTTTCTGATTCAAGGAAAGGCACTAGAGAAAGTACTGGAAGTTTTTCACACTTGATAGTGTTCACTAGGAGTGTAATGGGGCTGAATTCCTATGTTTTTCCAAATTAGTGTATTGAAAAAATAATTTTATAGCTAGGAAAACTGATAAAAGATTTAAAGTATTTGAAGCACACAAAATTTGTCAAAGTTGGTTATAAATTTGGAGTTCTGGCCAGTGAAACTGCTTCTTTGAGAATGTAATTTGTACTAACATCATGATGTTTTCCTCATTGAATACCTGGGCCCTTTTTGTTGTTGAGGGACGTTGTACAGGCTCAAGAAAATGTAAATTAAAAAACCCAAAAATTAGATAATTGAGAATTAGCAGGACTGTTGCAGTGGGCAGCAATCCCCAATATTAGTGGGGATCTGAAAATGCCTGGGAAACAGTATTGACTGCTAGACTCGCCTAGAGGAAGTCAGAAGAGAGGGCAGCATAGATGGACTTTCTATTTTAAATTAAAATACATGGTTCTTTTCTCAGCTGCAACAACTGTGTCTCTGTTCAGCATCTGGACACCACTGGCCATCAGCTCTCTTAGTTTATGCAGTTTGGCACATAAGAAAGGCCTTTCAGAGGTCTGCAGGTGGTGAATCCTTCTACCATGTAGAAACGAGCCTGTGTAGGAGCAGCCTGAAGGGTTTGTTGTTACAAACCTTCAGCAGACATCTAAGTAAAGGTTCCTGAGCCACAAGTGTGGAGTGGTGCTGCTTCAAAAGAAACAGCTGTTTCTCTGGGTGGGAAGGAAAAGTTTAGGGTCTTAAGGTTTAAGTGTGGTAGGAGTTAAAGCTGCTCTCTCTGTATTGCAGTTGGTCAGAATTGTTTGTGGTCCTGTTAACACCCAATTTTTGGATTTCAGAAAATCAGAGATTGAGTACTACGCTATGCTTGCCAAGACTGGTGTCCATCATTATAGTGGGAACAACATTGAGTTGGGCACAGCATGTGGAAAATACTACAGAGTGTGCACACTGGCCATCATTGACCCAGGTAATTCCCTCCTGCAGTATGGGGGCCACATGAGGAGGAGTCTGTGGATCCTCCCTTCTCCTGTGAGTAGCAGCACTGAGCAAGGAATGAGCAGCAGTGATGACACACTTCACTTACTGCCTTTTTCCGTCAGGTTTAACACTTAAAAATTTCTCTGACCAAGATCCTGTTCTTTTCCAAGTTCTAGGTTCTTAGAACCTGGAAGGACTTCTGCTTCTTTTGCACGTAGCTCTTCTAATGCTAAGCCCTGTGAGCATTTTGTCTGCTTCTCAGTCTGTAGGGAGATTTCAGTGTCTGGGAAACAACTGTATGGGAATGCTGAATCCATCAGCTAGGACATGAGCTTGCACAACATACTGTTTACAACAGCCCTGTTGGACTGCTTTTAGTCTGAGACAAAGGATTGTGACTTGTCCTGCTTCCCAGAGTAATATATAGAAAAATAATCAATAGGCAGGTGGATATTCATCAAGGGAATGAAAATTACATTCAATAAGTCATTTTAAAACTGTTTGTATGTAATTGCTGTGGTATGGTAACAATCTTTGACCCAGAGAGTTGCTCAGATTCCTTATATAGAATGCTAAGTAGGTGACTTCCCAGAACGTTTTAAGAATCAATCCCTTGTTCTGTTTGTTGGCCAGAATGCATACACATAGGTTTAATGATTTCTGTAATAACTTAAACCAACTGTTCCCCAAGTCACAATGATTTGAATTTCCTACTGCTTCAGGGAACTTCATTTATCTTGCTCGTATTCAAATAGTAGCTGTAAACTTAATTTTCCAAACGTCACTTTCAGGTTTGGTTTTGGGTGGGGTGGGGGCTGCAAGTCAGTCCTAATGCTCTGTAGCTGCCAATGCGAATATTCTCGCTGTCCTGATATTTCTGTGATCAGGGGAGGCTAGACATTCGCTATAGTAAAACTATGCATTGTGTCCTCCAGGACTAGATGGTTGTTTTAGTCCTGGCTTTGTAAATGCTGGTGACAGGTGCATAATTACTGTAAATACTGTATTTGGATTAGAAAAACAGTTAACAAGTGTTCTTAGCAATGTTCGCAGAATTACTTGCTTTTTTCCTAAGCAGACTATCTAGAATCACAGTGGTGATTTTACGGGTGGGGTTTTTTTCTTAGTTTTATTCCTAAAAATCATCTTTCTGTGGGTCCTCTTGTAACAATACGTTCTTGTTTTACAGGTGACTCTGACATCATCAGAAGCATGCCAGAACAAACCAGTGAGAAGTAAATGCTGTAGAGGTGTTATTTCTACAATAAAACTGGTTACAGATCTCTTTTAAAGAAAAATTTGTATTATACCTTTGTTGGTTTTAGGGAACAAACTATATAAATTAAGATTCCTTACCACTGCTGTGCTTCTTGTTCTGTTAGAAATAACCTTCACATGGCAAAATTTGCCTTTTGTTCTGTAGGCATTGTGGATCTTCAGAGGTAAGTGAGGGAAGGCTTCATATGATCGTGGCAAGTATGATGCCAGATCCCAGCAGGCTGGGGCTTCCTTAGTGTTTGCATTTGGAGTGCTGATGCAAACACAAGGCATCACCTAAGGGACAGTAGCAAATTTGGGATGTTGTTGGGGAGCCCTAGAGGTTTACTTACATTAAATATTTCACTGTTTTTACCAAGTGAATCAAGTACTGATGTGCATTAGTCCCTTAGTCTTTTCCTTCTAAGAGTACATATCTGTAAAAAGACAAAAAGGATATTGCTTCTAGATGTGTAACATACACTTTCAGTAAGATACCAGTTAACTTCATGAAGCTGTTTTTAAATCAATAGCCTCTTTTTTTAGTTTTCTGAAAGTACTACTGAAGAGAGATGAGCTGGACTTCTCAAGTCACAATTGCTGAGAATGTCAGTATCTTAGAGATTTGTGTCTGTTTTGTTTGAGACCATGACTGCAGGATGTTCCTTATTACTAGGGATTGTTAATTGAGGTGCTAGTGATTTTCTGACATGGTAAAAGCAAACACCTAATGAAAGAATGTACCTGTAACCTTGCAGAATTCTAAAGTATGCCAAAGCACAAGGTATCTTTCAAAGCTTGCTGTTGTATGTCCATGCACATTCACCATCTTGTCTGATATCACTTAATTGCTTAAGTTTTGCTGTAACTACTTCTGTTCTAAAGTGAATGAAGTTTGGTGTTTCCATTTGGAGATGGTCAAGAGGCAAACTCTGAGGTGTGTCAGAGCAAAGGAGAAGTGCTGGTGTATTTACCTATTAAACCACAAATCTGGATGAGTTGCAGTCAAGGGAAGGGAGTGAGACTTGAAAACACTTCAGGTGGCCAGAATGGAAGCAGTTCGCTGGTTTTGTTTATGTTTTAGTATTTAACAGGTGTGCAGCTAGCTGAATTGATCAAGTAATACTTTCAGAATTAATATACTACTTGCATTCAGGAAAGCTAGAGAATCAGTGAATACTGACCAAAGAACAGCAGGGAAAAGTTGGGTAGTCTGGACATGATAAGAAAAATTTTTGAAACTTCAAGTTGTGAAGCCCTGATAATCCAGTGGACTTCCCACTTTGATAATTTAATTCCATCACAGCTTAAACACAAACGTGTAACTATATTTTTGCTTCCCACTGATTCCAGTAGTAACTCTTGTTTGAAGAATCCAGGTCAAGCCCATGGCTGTGAATGCTGTCTCACTTGTTCTATGTATGTCTCTACATAGAACTATATATACACACAAACTGCTTAAAATGCTAGGAGTGGAGGAGGGAAATACAGAAAAGCAAGTAAAATAAATTCACACCCTAAAAATACTGTAAAACATGGAGGTTTCATTTCAAAAAATAACAGCATTTTATTATTTTGCATAGCTTATTTCGGTTGGTCTGCTTAATTAGAATGTCTGCTAATTACTAAATAGTTTATATAAAAATTTCAACATTCCTTATCTGCAATCAATGCAAGACAACACATGGCATATAAATGCAAGGATCCAGAATATTCTTTTCAACTTCAGACACAAAGATGTTATTTTACTTTGAACCAGTTTAAGAAAATAGCTCTGACAAGTTTGTATATATAAATATACAGTGTAGCATACACTTAAAATTCTGATCAGTATTTTAGTCTGTTTTCCAAGTCTTCCATTCTCTTTGTCATTTCTTCCAGTAGATAAAAGTTAAGGAAAGGCAGCTACTGATAGGATTCATTAATAGAAAAAGTCAGCTACCTGATAGGATGCATTAATAGAAAAAGTAAGCTACCTGATTACTGTGGTCCATAAACATTCTCTTGTTTCTCCTCTTTGACTTCCAGTAGTGTCTCATACAATATTCCCCTGTATTTTCTTGTTCTGATTTGATCAGCTGAGTTGAGAAAGCTGTGTGAAGCCCCATTCCTTAGCAGGCATACCTTGTCATGGAGTTCAGACTGCAGCTTATTAAAAAGGCGGGTTCTACAAAGGGATTGCTTTTCTCTATTTTGAAGGAGGGTAAATATTTATCTAGTTAATGCTGTTTAAAAAATGTTTTACTTAATCATATGGAAAACTGCACATAAGTAACAGTATATTATAAAACTATGGGGCTCTGAGACCCCAGTAAGAGTGTCTGCTCTGCATGATCTGTTCCAGTTCACAGTTGTGACAGTGCTTCCCAGACAAATGTGGGATAGAGCACAACAAACTCCATGGGATCTAGGGCTGTAGCAATGCAAAGTAGTGTACAGCCTCCCTTTCCTGATAAGCACTTCCAGTTGGCAGGAATTCTGTCTCCTGCAGGAAGAGGTTGGACCAGTATTGTTTACTTCAGCCCCTCTCTCAGAGTGCCAAGGAGATGCTGCAGCCAGGGGAAGCTGAGAGGAAGAGGAGGCCTAGTATCAAGTGAGATCTGAAGGTGCTGAGATCTACCTCAGAAGGATAAATTTGCTGCACCCCACTCCTTGCTTCTTTGATTAGAGTCTTGATTTCAGCATTTTAAGGTCTTACACAAGGGAAGATGGAGAACTGGGCATATAAATTGGGATCTTTGACACATTGCTGTTAGGAATTTTTTAGGGCAGACAGGCAAGTAAAATTTGGCCTCTTGAGTTTGGCCAGAATATGCTGTTCAACCCTCCATTGTCAGCAGGAAAATCTCTTGCTGACAAGGAGCAAGGGTAGGTATCCTGCTTCTGTGGGTGTCCAGTCTGCCTGGACATTGGGTTTGGTAATTTCTCATCTGCCTGCTGCAGCAAGGTTACTCTGTGTATAGGAGCACCATGTGAACTGCGTTTTCTTCAACAGCCGTATTTCTCAGGTGTTCACAGAGGCAAAGTTGAAACAGTGAAACTGCACTCGACTTACCAACAGAAGTTAATGTAGCTGGACACAAAACAGTATGGACTGGTCCCTATAAATTTGTATTGTGTAACTGGAGCTAGTTTTGCAGGCAGTTCTCCCTCCCTCACCCTCCAGATCTCTGGATGAGGACTAGCCAGCAGTCTGCAGTTCTAAGGACTAGTGTATCACCTCATATCTGAGCTGCTCCTGAGATAAGTTAGAGAAATAAGGTTTGTAATAAATAGGAAACTGGATGGTTCATACTCTTCAAAGCAGTGGTTGCACAGTGCTCTGAGGAAGTGCTTAGCACTGTTCCTATAAAAATTCCTAATCTCTGGGTCAGTGTTGACAGGTTTTCCATCACTTTGAGCCATTGGAGTAAAAATCACAGGGTTGCCTGCTCAAATGGTAAAGCAAAAAATCACATGTTGCTAAGGTTCTAAGCTTAGTAACCAAGTTCTTTGATTCTGAGTAAGCTCAGAGTTCCTCACAGCCCAGCTGCAGGACATTGCGGTGAAGAGCTTCTGAAGGGGCAAGAATTGGTCTCCTTTCTTGTCAGCAGGCAGGTTGGAATGCTGCATGTCATATAACACTTAAGGATGTGGGAAATTACCTAGAAACTTTTCTCCAAAGTTGTTTGAAGAAGTCCCATCAGAGTAGTATGTATGTTGATGAGCATTTGAAACACCTGGCAAAAACCTTACATGATGGCTTTGTCCTCTATGAAATCTGCTTTGCATGGAGTAATTTAATCAAGTGACTAGAACATAATTCCTTAAAGTGTCTGCCAAAGGATTCCCTTGGGAAGGTAAGAGATAGGCTGGCTGCTGCAGGGAAGGTCTGAACTAGGCAATGTTCTGTGTCAGGTTACCAGCCACAGAGGGCTCTGCTTGCCTCCCTCTGGACAGACTGTTCAGAGTCTGAAGCTGTTCCTGTCTAGGAAGCACAGAGTGATGAGCTGTTGGTATCACTGCACTCTTCTGTGCAGAGAGTAAGTGCTTACTGCTCTTGCTCACAGTTACACAACTCAAGTAGATGTGATGTCTTAGCATTTATTTGATCAGAAGCAGCTTTCATGAAGAAAACAGAATTTACTGCATAAATAGTGCATGATGAGTTGTATTGCCACTTTACTGCTGTTTCCTGAGACGTGGATATTGCAGGCATCGTAAAGGCTGCTGCACTAGCAGCTCCCTTGAAATAGACTAATTGGGTGGCAGAAGCTAGTGATCTGTACTTTACTAACTTTTATCTGCTTTTCTTTTAATGCAATATTAAACAAACCTGGGTCTTCTGATTTCCTCTTCATCTAGAGTATGGTTTTAAATGAATCACTGCATATGGTGCTTTACCAAGGAGTTCAGCAGGGAAACATCTGTACTCTGTGACACCTGTAGTCATTAAATGTTATTTCATTTGGCATCTGAAGAAGTAACCCAAAGCAAAGCATGTTAGTCTTGAATTTAACCAACTGTTTCTTTGCTGTTCCTGAAGGTGTTTACTGTAAGGAGTTATTAAAGTTCAAGATCCTTGTTAATATTTTGGTCCTTTCTATGAAGGGGAGGCAGATTAAAAGTTGAAGGCCTTACTCCTTGGAAACTAACTTTTACATAGTTAAGATTTTCTTTACAATAAACTGATTTTAGCTATGGAGGCAGATTAGACTTGATGCAAAAACATTGTTTTAACCTGCCTTACTTATCTTACCTGTAAGGAACAGTTACTCAGAAAGGATATATCGCTGGGTGAGTTTTCTTACTTCACTGGTTGCATAGTTCTGGAATGTGACAAGATTTTCACATTTGCACTGGTCATTATCTTTTGAGGCTTTTGCTGAAAAACACAAACATTTAAGTATAGATGAATGCTGAATAAATTGAAGAGGATGGGGAGTAAATGACAAGGCATTATAAATGCAGAACAGGTTTAATAAAGCTTCCTGTTCTCAAAACAGGTCAACATCCCCAGGAACGTCCTGAGGCAGATTCTGTCAGTACTGGAAAACAGTACACAATGTGTAGTCCTCTATGTTCAAAGAACAGTCTGGGTTATTCTAAACAAAAGGAACCCAATTACCTGTTGTTGAGTGGATGTGACTGTCTTCAAAAAGATACTTGTGGTGTACTGCAAGATGTGGACAGTCAATGACATCTGTGATGGCTATTGTGGTTGATTCAGGTCCTGCAGGAAACCCCCCAAAACTCTAAAAATCAGACCCACTAAATTATAATTTTTTTTCTACTTTCATGCACTGAGTTCTCCTTAATTAGTAAGTAATCTCACTAATTGCAGTGAGGATCATTCAAGGAAAGGATTAGGGATACAAAGATATGAAAAAACCAAGCTGTTAGGCTGTATTTTCTGTGTACATGATACAAGTTGTGGGTTGCAGAACTGAAAGGGAATTGTGAAGGTTCCTGTGAAAAACAAGTGATTGAAAGCTGAAGATGCTTAAAGAGTGAAGCACAGTGTTGAAATACAAGCTTCCCCATGAAGTATTTCATTCAGATGATGTAAGAAGCATGCAGCCATGCTTTTGTTACAGTGATTTTCCATTTTTCACGTTGCAGGGTCACTCAGAGGGGTGAGGAGGCAGGGACATGGGATAAACCATTTTAGCTGAATTGTGAGAGTTATCTACAGAAGGCAGCAGGAGAGGACACTTGAGTTAAAACAGCCAACCTGAAGGCTGTGGACCAGTCTTATGAAGCCTCCCAGATGATGCATCCTGCTGGTGAGGTGACTCTTTCAAGGCTGGTAGATAGAAATTTCCAAAGGAAATGTTATCACAAAAGGAACAATAAAAATGTTCACGTTCTCTAGAATTGGAGATGTTTCTTGCCAGTAGCTTGATATTTGTCTCTCATAACACATGGAGAATGCCTCATACCTGTGCAATTTAGAAGAGGTCCAGTGTTGATGGAAACTCCACAACTTGCCCTTCAACTCAGACTATCAGAAGAAGTCCTCCAAAACCAGAAGTGAATATTTAATAATAGTGAAGCAATCTGAAATGACAGCAATCTACTTTGTGTCCTACAGTGAAAATTCTTTCATGTTTCATTATCATCCATCATCCTTTGGGATGAACTAAATAAGAATATTGCTTGGAGAAAGAAAAAGGTTCTTCCTGGCCTTCTTTATAATGGGAAATATTGATCAGGGAGTTGGGAGTTTTTAGGTTAGAAGGATGCAGTACAGTCTATTTGATACACTACAGTTGTAAGAAAAAATACACATTTCTAATTCATGAAACACAGCCTTTAAAATGTAAGGATTTATTTCGGAGTCCACACCCGGATCTTTTTAGTCAGGAGATAGGGAGAAAACCAAACGTGTTGCGGGGTAGAACCTCAGCCGCTGTGCGCCCTGCCCCTGCCTTGCCCCAGAAGGCAGAGTGGCGGCAGCCGCGGTTCCCTGACCGGTCCCTCGCCAGGCAATGAACGCTTCATCCTCCGCGGCCCCCGGAGCCCTCCGGGCCCGGATGAAGAGCAGCACTGAACAACTGCACCTCGTGACCGATCATGCCGGGGTGATGGAGCATCTGGGACACACCTCCTCCTCTGGAACCTAGAGCTCCTTCCCTGAACGTGAATGCACGGGAGTAAAAGATGACAGTGTAAAATTGGCCTGATACCACTATGAAGATGCAGTAGAGAGGTGGAAGATGCTTCTGTGACATCCAGCTTTGCTTTAACTATTCCCTGCTGGTTTAGTTAGTTTTGACAGATGAATAACAATATACAGCTGTGCTAAGTTGCACTGGGGAGCAGATGAGGCCCTTTTGAGTGGAGGTTGGAATTACGGAGCATGAATATCAGGGAAGAAGAGGTGAGTGGTTGAATAAGACCAGAGATGAGGCAGCAGAACTACAATATTTATACAGAGATATAGATATCTCAATCTGCATGGGAACCAGCTGCTGGAAGGAGCTCCGATTTTGGAGAAGAGTTCAGGGCAGAGAGGTGTGGGATAAGATCACAAGGGAATTAAACCAGAAGCAGAGTCTAGCTGAAGAATGATCAAGTGGGAACAAGGATGGTGAAGATGTTTGTTGTAGGAGACATAGAGCAGGTAAGATGAATCTTGAGTGTTTGACCCTGGGTCATGACTTGCTCCAGAAGTTGCTCAGCTAATTGAGAGGGTTGTTTAAGAAGGGCAGAGGAACTGACCTGAAATGTTTGAGCTTTGGACATTGGGCTGGTATGGACACGTAATTAGGGACAGAAAAATGACAGATGCACTGGTAGAGGTGTGGCAGAAGGCCTCCAGTTTAGAATGGGAATTCAGGATTTAAGAAACTCCTCTTCAGGCTTCAGAAACTAGTTGGGGCTTTGAGATTTCTAATCTCATTGCTTCTGTGAAGCTGAATAAACACAAGTAGTGACAGAGGCTGATCACCCTGAATCCCTTGGTGAAGTCAGTGCAATGAATAAATTTGTTGGGGAACAATGCTGAAGTTGGATGTTCGTTTTTAGTGTTCTGTTTTGTAACAAAACATAATTAATTTGTTAGGAGGAGACTGAAAAAGTGTCATCAAAAGCAGTGTCTGATTATTTGCTGAACTGATAACCATCCACAATTTGGAAGGAGAACAGAATGTTAACCAGCTGCCTGCAGAGTACTGTCATCTGATCAGGGCTGGGGTCTTGTGACAAAAATAGTATATGACCACGTAATTAAAAGCTCCCATAATGCGCATGCTCAGGGCTGAAGCTGCAATCATACTCAATATGTATGACATTGCTGGAGCCTCGTTAGTGCTTCAGATTAGAAATTAACATTAACCAAGGCAGTGAATGAGAACCTTCTTACCGAATTCCTTTTAATAAGAGGCAAGAGGAAAAAAAAAACCCTCCTATTTTTGCCTTTACTATTAGTCATCAAGAATAATTAATAGTAATCAGCAGCTATTTTACAAGGCAGATGCTTTCTTGCAGAATAAAAGAAAAATGTCTGACCCCCAAAAAAAATATTTGGAGGACTTCGACATTAGTTGGAAACATGCAGTGCATCTACAGCTGGGATTAGGGATGAGAGGCTCTTTCAGTGAGTCCATGAGGACAGGATCTCCTCCTGTCCTCAAAAGGTGGAGCCTCAGCAGACCTCAGCTAAGGACCAAAGCTGGAGTAAAGATAAAAATCATTGCTATTGCAGAAGAGAAAAATTGCACTGTATACAACAGAAAGAATTAAAAAAAGAACTTTTAGATGGTGTAACAGGTTTGGAGGCAGACTTTCTGTGGAGTGAGTTGATGAGTAATAGGTAGTCCTGGAGTGTCCAGAAAAACAAGGCTGGGTCAGTCCTCAGTTCACAGGTGTGAGGCATTCATTGCCTGTTGTTGAGAGAGGGGGTAGACAGAAGCTGAAGCACCAGTGCTGCCCAGTTACTGGAGGTGTAGACATGAAACTGCCACAAAGGGGCAGGATTTACTTATTTTTTCATATTGTAAATAATGTAGTTAAAAGGGAAAAAAAATGTGGTTGCTAACCACTGTTGTGGGTACCTGAAGGATGCATTTCCATTACTGAGCTCTGGGGTTTGCTGGTCAGTGAGAGTTATTGTGCTGGGGTTTCCTAATGAGTGAGAATTATTGTTCTGGCTGCCAGATAGTTTTGGGTTTGCCTTCTCCAAAAGCTTTTAAGATGACATGCTGTCATTGGAAGATTATCTGCCTAATAAGGTTAATTGAACTGACTTGGTTTTATATTATCATAGTATTTATTATTTCAGAAAGGTGAAACTAGGACTTCTTAGGACTGAAGGACAAAGAGTATGCAAGCTAAGAAACATCCTTTAAGTCTTTTTTAGAGATGCATTCTTGAGATCTGTATAAAGAAATGTCCTGCAGCTGATTTTATACAAAAATGAAGGAAAAAAAAAAAAAAAAAAAAAGGGCAAAATCTGTTTGCATTTAATTCCAAGAAAAACAGGCAGATAAAATCTAGTGAAAATTAAATAAACTTGCACAATTCTAGTCTTACAACTAACATAATTCCATATGTTGTTTCTGAATTTTGCTTCAGGTTCCAGTTAAATGTCCAAAAAAATACTGAGTCTTGGGAATGTATGAGTGGGAGAGACTTGCTGTCCTCTCCCTGGATCCATAGCTTTCATCTCAGCTCAGATTCCCCCTTCCCCCTATGTCGGAATCTGTGGTATTGATGATTCCGAGGTTGTAGAAAGTCTCTGTCTTTCTGCCCCGCTGCCAAAGAAGAAGCCATAGTTCGTCTGTGCTGTTTTCAAAGCTGTTTATTCTTGCTTATCTATAACATGTTCTGCTGCCCTGCCGCAGGTCTGTCCTGCAGGGCAGCGTGTGGGGCTCTGCCCTCAGTGGGATGGTACAAACATTATATACCAGAAACTACCTGTGCTGTATTTACAATAATGTGCCAATATCTATCATCTATGTTAAACAGCGTGTCCCCAGCCTAAACCAATAGAAAAATGCCAACACTACAGTGAAACATGGAGGGCATGAAGGAGAAAAAGGACAAGACACACCCAAGTTCCTCCATCTTGTCCCCTTTGAACCCCTAATCTAGAAACCTAAAATTTTACTTTTGCACCCGTGCCACACTTAATTATTACTTATATCAAACACTCAGAGCTTGTAATTCATCCTGTAAGATTGAAAACTCCTCTCCATGGACAGAGATCACAGACAGTGTCTCTCGGGGCTCTGTACAGGGGGGTTCCTGACCCCCTGCCAGGGTCCCAGGCCTTCCAGGGCAGCCAGAGGGAAGCTCTGGATTCCCACACCCTTACAAAACTTCATCTGGGAATGTTTATATACAAGCTGTTTGTTCCAGAATGAAGAAGGGTGCTTTCAGAAACAAATCTTTAATATTTGTGTAGCAAAACTCAGAGCTTATGCATAACTGAAATCCACTCTTCGTAGGTGTGAACTATTTTTAGTCTATAAATACAACAGGTCTTGACAATTTATTTTGCTGTGGTTTAGGTTTTTGCTGCTGGTCTTAGGATTTTTTTTTTTTTTATTCTCATTAAGATATTACAAATACCTGATTATTTTCCCACATTCCTAATGAAATATTGCTGGAGTGGGGGTCAATGCATGGCTGACTCAATCATAGAAATAGAAAAGAGAAGAAGTGATTGATTCTTCAAGGCATAGAATTGTACATCTTATGCAACCTTCATGAAAATAAAGGGAAGATAACTACTAATACGTTTACCCAGTGATAGATTAACAATATATATTCTTCATGTATTAAAGGGCAGAAAAATCCAAAAAGCAAAACACCTGAAAACATTTATTTCTATCTCAAGGAAAATGGGATTTTCTTACCTTCACAAATTTGGGCTCTTAGCTCTTCACTTATGTCCTCCAGAGCTGTGAAATCCTCAGCATAGAAGAGATGTTTATATGATGGCTCAGATGCAATTTCCAGCAGTTCTTCCTCAATTGCTTTTCCTATTCCAATGGCATAGATGATTATACCTGGATTCAAAAGAAATTGCACATCCTTATTATTTCAGCAGTTCTAATTCTAAGCCCTTGTTCATCCATGAAAGGAAAATAAGGGAGAAAGGGAGAGTCCAAGAAATGTATATTATATGTAACTTTAAAATCAGTGAAGAGGCTTAATATGCTTTAGTTACTGGGAGATTTGCAGAAACTCTCATTTGCTGTAATTTGACGTACAGTTTTTGTGTTAAAGAGATGACGCTTGCCTGGCCACTACTGATAGTAAATGGTCCCAGAAAGAATATTATAAACAATAACAATGCAAGAGAATCACACAGTTCAGCTTCAATTTGCACTGGAAGATCACTTTATCTTTCATTGTAATGGCACTCTTGTTAGCACGTGCCCTTCTCATATCCTTTGATTCTTTTCCCTTTTCTCCTTACAGAGAGGTATCAATCCTGATCAATGCTCTACTAATCATGCATCAAATTCTGATTAATATGTCAAATCAATAAAACAAGCACAGAAAAAAAGATGTGCAAAATCTTTTGAAGTCTGGCTATTTTCTCTGTGTTGTGGCCCATCAGCCATGGTTCTTAAAGCAGTTTATCATAAAATAACAAAAAAAGTTTAGCAAAATAAAAAGAGATTGTTTATTTTCTTGACAAGTTTTAAAAATCTTCAGTTCACTCTACTAAACAGATGAAAATATTCTGATTTGTGGTACAGGTGTTCTAAAGGATGGATGTCTGCCCAAATATATTAGAAATTAAAAACCACCAATTTTTAGTCACATTTCAGCATATAGGTATGTAGAAACAGTAAGATAGCACTACAGTTCTATTCTTTACAAAAGAGTAATCTCCTTCCAGAACACTATTAATACTATAAAACTGGTTAAAAATAAAGAATATGCCCTATAAACAAAAATATAGCCAATTATTACTGTAGTATTTCTCACAAGAATAGATTGCTCTATTTTGAAGTGACAGCTTGGGATTTCTTTTATTGTTTTCCTAGAACTTTTTATGAAGTTCCCGGTGTTCTCAGGTCTCTGTATCAAACATCTACCCTTAGAGGATACGTTCAGGGCACTCAGGGCATGCCAGGTGGGTGGCACGACTACCTGTGGTGAGGCACTCCCCATGAGTCCTGCTGTGGGGATGATGCACATGGATGGCAGCAAAGGCCCTTGTGAACACGAAGATCTGATGTGCAGGACAGTGGTCACTGTCACTGTACTGGCCAGACTGCTTTGGCAAACACCCCTCGATTAGCACTTCCAAACTGTTACTATATCTTATTCCTAACAGTATTTACCTTTTAGAATGAGACACCAAAAACATCTCCACTTACCACGTTGCTTTGCTCTGGTAGCCCACTCAGAGACTTCATCCTGGGCCCGTCCATCCGTAAACACAATGGAGATTCGAGGGACATTTGCTGAAAATGGTCTTGCTCCTTCTGTTTCTGTGAAGCTTCTCTCAGACATTTGCCTCAGCGCCAGTCCTGTCATGGAACCTCGGCCCATGTATTTCATTTGTGACACAGCTTTCTTCATGTCTTTGGCTGAGCTGAACTGCCTTAATGTAAACTCTGTACGAACCTCAGTGGAGTACTGAAGCAAACCAACTCGAGCAGCTTTGGGTGAAATCTCAAGTGTATCCAAGATTCCTGAGACAAATTGTTTTACAATTTCAAAATTATCCTCTCCAAGACTTTTTGATCCATCAATCACAAACACCAGGTCAATCGGGCCTTCAGTGCATCCTGTGAAATGAGCAACAGAGTGTACAGATCAAGAAAAAAACCTCACAAGGCTGGGAAAGGGATCCAGATACCCTGAAAAAAATTCAGGGATCATCTAAAGTAGCCTGGCTTGTCCTACTGTGCCAGTGTGTCTGAAGATGTTGTGTACAGCCTGAGCCAAAAGCTGAGTGGGCCTATGACTAAGAATTTTACAAACTTATAACTACAGTGAATATTTACTGAGACATTCTGCTTTGCAGAATACTCAAAATACTACAACTCTTAAAAATGCAGCAACAATCAGCAAATTTTTAGAATTACTCTTAAGTGGGGAGAACTGAAGAACATAGCTAGCACACAGACAGAGTTGCCATCATTTTCTTCCAGAGATAAGGTTGTATGCTAACTTTGCATTTATCAAATTTGTCAACACTGAGAGACATGGAAGAGAATCATTGAAGCTGCATTTGTGTTGCATGAGTTATAAAACAGTTTTTAAATTATTTAATTATTGAGAGGATCAGAACTGGCTAGATAAGGGGTTTTACGCTTGTGTCTACCAATTTTGTAATTAGAAGACATATATATTGCTGCAATTAATATTTTCTGGTTTATCCATTAGAGCTGGGAGTTTGTCAGAAGACAGGCAAATTTCTAAAATTTTTTACTTCCCATACTTTTTGGTAAATGCACATGCAAAAATCAGAGTAGTTTGCAGGCACTGGGCATCAATAATGAGTTTAGGGAATTTAGAGATTGGAGAATGTCTTTCAAGCTGCAGACTGCTTCTGCCAGGTGGGTTGTTTTGGTATGTTTGTTTTTGGGTTTTGGTTTGTTTTTTTTCTGAAAAGGAATTGACTTCAGCAGACAGAGATTAGTGTGCTTCATGCAAAGGCTAGCTTCAGAGGTATTCAGCTCCCATTGGATCAATGTAGCTTCCAGGGAAAATATGCCATACTAAGGAATATAAGATTTATTTTTTAGTCTGGACCAAATAAACTTTGACCGCCACTCATCTCTGATCTTTGTACAGGGAGAATGCTGTAAGCACTACATAAAAGAGAACTGTGGAGCAGAAATCACTCTGCAGAAATTACTGGAGATGTTTGTTACCAAGTCAAAGTACAAAAAAGGAATTTTCAGCTTTAAAGCCTGGGCTTTTCTTCTTAGAAAATATCTATTTTAAAACTGCTCAAGAACTCCTTTCTGCAGTCATCTGAGAAAAAGACACCTCACGTGTACTAAAGTGATGAAAATGCAATGAATATACATATAATACTACGACATGGAAATGCAATGAATATACAAATCAATACTACTGCATAAGTCAAGAAAGGGCAGCAGTTCATGGTTCATGGTGTCAGTTAGGATTGTTACTGTTCTTTTGGTAATCACAGTCTCCTCAACTAAGGCATTCATTTTTGGCAGAATAAATGTTTTTACTGAGTTCAAGTAGAGTTCCTCCCCCAAGTATTAAGAGATTATCAGATAAATGCATGTTATGTTGGAAGATAAGCAAATAAAATTAATAGGATTTTAAAATATAAATATAAATATTCACAGTACATGAACCTGATTAAAATGTACATTCCTTGATAATAAGATTCCCCTTTGGCTTTTTCCTGATGTTTCAAAAGAATTATTATTGTACTAAAACAACTCTTCCAATTTGCTCGATTTTTGCTTAGGAGAACATCAAGTTCATTGTTGGAGACATTTTCTGCCACATACATATGTCCTGGGGTTTCAAATATTATATCATGTTTGAAATGAGAGGTTATGACAGTGTTCAAAGCCAAGCTGGATTTGGCTTGGAGATACCTGGTATAGTAGAGGTGTCCTTGCCATCAGCAGGGAGATTGAACTAAGTGATCTTTAATAAGGTTCCTTCCAACCCAGACCAATCTATGATTCTATAATCTTTTTGAAGTGAGGTCAAATGAGTTTAGAAGTAAAATAAACAAATATGTTATATATAAATATACTTACTTCTGCATGTTTTCTGATCCTCTTTTAGAACATATCCCTCCTGGCATTTGCAGATATAGGAATCACCATTATTAACACAAGCATATTCACAACCATGGTCAACTGATTTACAGACATCTTTACCTAGGAAAAATTGAAGTATTTATCTGTACTCTATTTAACATTTTATAAATTCAAATACTCCAAACATGATAACTGAAGAACATACGACAAAGGAGTACAATATCTTTGTTCATTTATGTAGCAATGCCAGAGCTGACAGACATAATGAGTTACTCACTTCGACATGTTCTCCCATCTTGTCGCAGAACAAAGCCCTCATGGCACTGACAGCTGTATGAGTTGTTATTATTAATGCACACATGTTCACAGCCATGGTCAATGGATTTACACAGGTCTTTATCTGAGAATTGTTAAGAGAATCCCCTTATTAGACCATTTTTCAAATACAAAACTGTCATGAACAAGCTTTAAGGGAAAGTGTGTTATTTCGTTAAAGACTGAAAAACATATTCCCCATAAAAGTTTCAGCTACTCACTCCTGCATGTTTTCCTGTCTCGCCTCAATATAAATCCCTTGTGACACTGACACATGTATGAATCGCCAGTTGGAACACAGACATGTTCACAACCATGGGTGACTGTTTTGCAGACATTTTTACCTTGGAATAATGAAAATTGTATTTAGCACAGTTAGCTAAGTAAATAAATTTCACAAAATATAAAAAATTTGGCTATATTTTTTCATGAAGGAGCTCACTTATATGAAGCTGATTGTTATAAAGACACAAAAACCACACTACTGTTGCATAGTGTGTTTCATTAACAGATCGAGAAGCACAAAACAGATTAAATAACTTACTCCTGCAAGTTTTTCCATCTTCTCTCAGTATGAAGTCTTCATGACACTTGCAGACATAGGAATCACCAGTATTAACACAAATATGCTCACAGCCATGGTCAACTGAGTTGCAAACATCTTTATCTGAGAAAAGTGGATGGGGTTTGTGAGTTGAGGCTTGTTATGGAGAGATGGTATCCTTTTTAAACCAGCCCAAATAGTTGGAATTCACAAACATACATGTGTGCACTCACACCCACACTTGAAAATCTCAAATAGCTCAGACTACTCACATCTACATGTCTTTCCATCTTCCTTCAGTATGAATTTTTCATGACACTGGCAGATGTAGGAATCTTCAGTATTCACACAAACTTGTTCACAGCCATGGTCAACCGAGTTGCAAATGTCCTTGTCTGCAAACAGGAGAGTTGGTAGTCAGCACAGATCAGCAGAGGCCTCCATTACTGTATGTGCAATTCATCCAATTAAGTTCCTGTGCCGCTTACTTCTGCAGGTTTTCCCATCTTCTCTCAGTAGGAACCCATCATGGCATTTGCAGGTATATGAATCACCAGAATTAACACAAACATGTTCACAGCCATGGTTGACTGATTTGCAAATATCTTTATCTGAAAACAGATGACAGCTTTTGCTGGTTAGTGCATTTCTACACAAGCCCGAGATGTAGACAAAGAGTATATTGATAAAGATCAGACTACTTACTTCTGCAAGTTTTTCCATCTTCTCTTAGCAGGAATCCCTCCTGGCACTTACAAACAAATGAATCACCAGCACTAGCACACACATGTTCACAGCCATGGTTGACTGATTTGCAAATATCCTTGCCTGGGAATAGTTAGATAATATTTATGTGGCTTGTAAGTTAAAGTTTTTCTTTATAAATACAAAGACTGGGGGATCAATCCCATGAGCAAAAAAAGATGGAAGCTTGCAAACTGAAAGTAATCTCTTTCTAGTTTAATGATGGACATCTTAGCTTACATTGAGTATAGTATCTATTCTGTATTAGCTGACCAGGACTTCATCGTATGGACAGTCTCCAACTGAAAACAGACCATTTTAGAATTGATCTGACTAGATTAAGGAGGAGGAGGGTTTTACATTAAGAGCACTAAGAGTGAAATGAGGGAATAATTTAGTAGAGTCATGTAGCACAAATGCATGCTGGTAAAAACAAAACTAAGAAAAACACCACAGGACATGATTTAACCATAATTCTTAACATCCATATATCAGTGCCAAGAGTCTGCATAAACAAAACCTAAAAGAATAGGAACTACTTATTTAAGACTATAACAAAATCTGACTGGATTGCTGAAAATTGATGCAAGGACTTTTATGACTGCAATGTTAAACCGCTTGGTTAAAACCTCTTCAAAAAGCATAGATGGGGAGAAAGTGCAGAAGAAAGTGGAGCCATCTATCAACATTCCCCTTTTCTTCTTCATGCAACACAAAAGAAATATTATTTTCTAATGGAGAACTACCTTTACACAAAAAGTACTTGGCTCTCTCCTGAGAGCCAAGTTCAACTTGTCTCTTGAGATTTATATTTTTAGAAGAACTTCAACCTGTGCCAAATTTCACAGGGGTCTCCTGCTACCAAAATAAAAATTCCAAAAACTACTACATAGTTGCAATATTCTAAATCAAAAATAACTAAATTTAAAACATGGCAATCTAAACTAGATCCAAGCATAGTGGATAAGGGAGAAATTACAACTTAAGTAAAAATTAGCATCTGCTTATACACAGCTGTGTACAACAGAAACATTTGCTTATAAACAGAATAAAATACAAACCAGCAGCAGAACGGCTATTACTTCAGAAGGATGAATTTTACATAGCTGAAAGTAAGTACAAGGCAGACTATTTTGGGATGCAGGGGGAAATAATAATAGTAATAAAAACTATCAATGATTGCACTATTTAAGGTTATTTTACTAGACACCCCCAAAAATATAGTCTCATTATCCAAAAAGAATACCAGGGTAGTTAAAAATCTAGAAATTAAAGTTGAAAACAGCTATAAGATTTGAAAAATGACTAAAGAAAGGAACATTCACAGTGTTTACTGAATGGGAAAATATTAGGAATTTAAAACCACTGAAATAATAAGATAAAGGTCAAAGGGGTGCACGGCCAACCAAATAAAGGGTAGTATAAGTCCATTGTTTAGATACTATTAGGAACAAAAGGCATTCTAACAGTGTATTATTAATTAATAGACAGAAAGGTAGAACTGCCAATCTTCATGCAGAAATATAAAACATTTTAGTGCATTCAGATCTGAACCTATGAAATAGATTACTGATGACCTTGTTGGAGTGAAGAGTTTCATACTGTGTGAAGTAGGTCACACAGCATCAACTGAACACACACACGTTTTGAATCAGAAACTCACTCCAGATAACTTGCAGCAGAAAGTTGCAAAAGAGGTTTCTGAAGAATATCTTGGATGCTTAGTGTTAATTTTCAGTAACTTCTAGAACTCTGAGGAAGCCCCAAAACACTGAGCTGTCTCCATTCCCAGTGTATGTATACACACTGAGAAAAGTACCATGGTTCCAGTGCTTAAAAAGATGAGTAGTTCACTGTAAGCCTGCCAGATTGACATTTATCCGAATTAAAATAATGCAACAGATAATGGGGAACTTGAGTCAAGAGTAAAGTCAAAGAAACAGGAATAATATCAATTAACTTGGTGTTATGGAAAAATAAATCCTGGAAAAACTAAATAAATGTCTTTCTTAATTGCTGATGAGGCTGTTTCTTAAAGTTTATGCTGTTCATACAGTGGAGCATTCAAAAAGGCAGCAGTCTTGGTATTATTTTGATTAAAGAATCTACATTATATGGATTTACACTGGCTAGAAAGTGCTTCAGAACCAATTGTAGATGGGTGACTATTAAGTAGCTTTCTTTCTAAGAATTTGCCTTGCTTCTGGACTATTCAATATTTTTACAGACAGCCCAGAATAAGACACAAAATAATCACTAACAAAGTTCGTAGATTACTCCACTTCTGAGAGAAAAGCAAATAAATATAAAGCAGCTGCTGATATAAGGTAATGTGAATATTTTTGGATAACAGCAAATCATATGTATTTTAAAAGAGCAAGAATTAAGGATATACATTCAGAAACATTAGAAATGAAGGCTGTACTTACAGGACATGGGACACCTGCAATGCTGAGAATCCTAAATACCTTTTGATTATGGTAGATAACTAATTGAACATGAGTATTAGCAGAATATTTTGGTCAGAGACTAACACTATCTTTTGTCAAAAAAAAAAAAAGATAAATTATAAAAAAATTCAGGTAGATCCAAATAAGAATTAGATGGGTTATTGTTCCCCTGCCCTGGACCCTGCTGAATCTCCTATTAGAAGACTTTCTTTCGCTGTGGTGCATCCACAAGGATGCTGAAAAACAGTATAGGTTTTAGGGGAGCAAGAAGCAAGTTATAAAAAGATTAGAAAACACAAAAAGCCTGGAGGAGTTTAGTTTGCTTATAATTTACAAAAGAACATGCTAAGAGGTTACAAAACAAGTTAGGTCATGATCTGCATGAATATATACAGAAGAACACAGTGGTAATTAGAACTTCAACCCAGTACAGTAAAATGCAGCAACATCCTCTGCTCAAGATTAAAACTCAGTATATTTAATTTGGAAATTGAGTTCACAATTTAAAACCTACATTCAAACTTTAAAGTTGGCTGATTTTTCTGAAATGTAGCTTTGGTTCAAACAATCCTTAATTCAGACAAGTCTTATGATCTATAGAGAAAAATATTCCATTCTGGCTACCATGAACCAGTGAATAATATTCTAACAAGATAAAAATTAAATTTATTAATAAGCTACTTACTTCGGCATGTTTTCCCATCTTGCCTTAGTACAAATCCATCATGACACTGGCAAATGTATGAATCATCATTATTAACACAAAGATGTTCACAACCATGACTGACGGATTTGCAGATGTCTTTATCTAGGAATAATTTACATTTTATTTACTACAGTTTGATGAATAAGAACACTTCCAAAACTTTAAGGACTAACAGTAGTAAACTCCTAGTAAATACAGAATTTATTCTCCTTTTTGCAAGGAAAAATCTCCTATAAGAAGAACTGCCTCTAAATACTGTTTCTCCTGTAGATGTCTGAATATAAAAAATATAGTAACATTAAAATAACTTACTTTTACATGTTTTCTTATCGTCCCTCAATACAAAACCCTCATAGCACTGGCAAAGGTATGAACTATCAGTATTCACACAAATATGCTCACAGCCGTGGTCAACAGAATTGCAAACATCTTTATCTGTTGAAAAATAAGATTGACATATTTAAAATATATCTACAAATGTGCAGATTATAAACCAAATCTGCTAAAGAGCAGGATACTTACTTCTACATGTTCTTTCATCTTCCCTTAGTGCAAATCCTTCATAACACTGGCAGATGTAGGACTCACCAGTATTAACACAAACATGTTCACAGCCATGGTGAACTGAACTGCAAATGTCTTTATCTGAGAACAGTTGTTGATATTTGGTTAAAGCACATCTACAGCAAATGTATCATGCAGGGAGAAGTAACAGCTTTCATTAGGTCTACTGATACCACTGGAATAAACAGGGTAAATTTTAGGCAAACACTTTTAACTCTTGGTACCTGAACATTTTTGAGTATTTTCTGTTTCCAGTCTGTCAGTTAATCTATTAAAAGACACTATTTTTGTCCAGAGTCACTTACAAGCATTTGGAAGGTCTAAATGTATAAACATATAAATGCTACTCCTATATTATACATATGAAGACTACTCCTTTATTACAACAGTAAACTATTGTATTTGTTTGAATGATTCTCAGATCTACATACTGTAAATAAAATTCTATGAGTAATTCTCAGAGTACTTACTTCTGCATGTTTTCCCATCTTCTCTCAACAGAAAACCCTCATGACACTTGCAAACATAGGAGTCATCTTCATTAACACAAATATGCTCACAGCCATGGCTGACTGATTTGCAGATGTCCTGTCCTGGGAATGATTGATATAAATGTAGGTTTTGAATGAAAACATGTTAGGGCAATGTAGCTGTCGAAAGGAAGTTTGTTGCATCTTTTCCAGTAAGAAGTAAAAAATACCCCTTTTGTTCCTTGCCTGATGTACATGCAAAAGTGTTCAACAGATACCAGTCACTCACTTCTGCAGGTCTTGCCATCTTCCCTCAGTAGGAATCCTTCATGACACTTGCAGATGTAGGAATTGTCAGCATTAACACAAACATGCTCACAGCCATGGTTGACTGATTTGCAGACATTTTTACCTGGAAATAATTTAATATATAAAAAATTCTTAAGGCAGTATGTTCAAAGTTAACTTGCTTTTAGTGTATCCTAACTTTTTGAGATGGGCAGAATTTGTCTCTGTTTGCACAGAATAACAGAAGAGGGTTAAGAAACCCCAGCTAAGAATAAGGAGCTTTTCATTTGTCATGGTAATATCTGGATGCCTTTAAATTTTTTTCTGTAAATATTTCTTAACAGCAGATGTTGATATTAGATATTATGGGGATTGCAGTTACAAGACACTGAATGCCTGTGAGTTATTCCGATACTTATCCATGATTCTTCTTTAATCACTTGGTGACTTATGCTAAAAAGTTGAGAAAAATTTGCTATAATTTTTTCCTTGATATCTGCCACTCATCATAAGTAATATAGTCAAATTTGTAACACAATTATGATATTTCTGCAATCATCCTTATCCTGTTGGACATGTTGGACAAAATAATGTTGCAAGCTTCATGCTGGGTAAGATTTTATAAACATTATCTATTTTTGCCTTGAAATTTTAGAAGAAAATCACAGTCATCTCAGCTAAACATCTCCCAGTGTGTTTGGATCCACAATTTCAGGGCTACTTTTTAAATGGCTCTGATGTTTAGGATGTGATTCATGTGCCTAAAAGTATGCATTCAGTACGGTTTTTGATGCTTCAGCAAATTTGAGATATTGGCATACTGCTGGCAAATATGACACCAAAGGGGAAATATGACCTCTTGAAATCCTTGAACATTTAGGCAATCCAATCCCACCTTACAGATTTCTTCTATGTGTGTAATATTAGACTCCGAGCTGCTGAATAATAACTTACGTTTACATGTTTTCCCATCGTTACGGAGCCTGTATCCTTCAAAACACTGACAAGTATAAGATCTGTCACCATTTACACACAAATGTTCACAGCCATGATCACTTAGAGCACAATGGTCAACTCCTGTAGGAGCAATCAAAATTATTTTAAAATTTAACCAATAATGACTCAATTATTTTTCATCTCTAGTGTTTGCATTCCATATAAGCAAGTAAATATAAATACAAAGAACTGCTTAAACAATAATTCAGTTTCTCATCTGATTATAAAGCTTCAATAAAATGTAATAGGTCCTAGTGAGGTCCTACTTTTCATTTTTTACTTTAAGCAGAGTTGAGAACTCATACTTTTCTGTGTTTAATATAACTAAACAGAGTCTGGATTAGATTAAAGTGGATTTAAAAACCAAAATACTTTGGCAATGATTTTATATAAGTCACTGGCAAAGACATAAAAGCTACCTTGTGAACATTCTTTAAATAGTCACTAAATGGTCTGAAGTGTAGGTTGCAGTCCCCAGAACTCACTTGTGGACCTGACCCAGTTCCCGTGGCAGCAAGAAGAAAACCTCTCTGATGTCAATGGGGTTTGGCTTGAACTATTCAATATTTTACAAAGAATTGCAAATTACAAGTGTGTAATTTGGTACAAGTGTGTAGTGTGTATCAAATGTGGATCACTTTTCATCTCAAATTTCCCAAGTGTCTCGTCTCTGTCATATAAAGACATAGGGCTCCTGAGAGTTTGCAAGCAGGACTTGCTACTGTCTATAAAGCTTGTGTGTCTTGGCTATACATACTTAATTTTTTAGTAATGAGTTGTCAGAATACAGATTTGGTTACAATTCAGGTGTTCCCATAGCTTTCTTAAGATCCTTGAGCTAGTGTATATAAGACTAGAACATCCCAGATGTTTTCTCACTAGGACTGGTATATGTTAAATGATAATCCCTTCCATTCAACTTATCATTCAGGAAATTGCAAAGTGCCAAAACTCTGGTAGCCTAAAAATGTTCACGAGGTTTCAACATCTCATCTAGAGCTCAGGAATAGGACAAATCTTTCCTAAGTATATATGAGGACAGGGTTATGAGAAGAGCAGCTATTCAAAAAAGCTCAGTTTCATTGCACTCAGCACCATTTTCATAGAATCACAGAATATCCTGATTTGGGAGGGACTTGCTAGGACCAATCAAAGTCCTACTACTGGCTTTGCACAGGACAGCCCCAAAACTCACAACATCTGCCTGAGAATGTTGTCCAAATGCTTCTTGAACTCTGCTGCTGATAGGTTTCCAAGTACAGCCTGGAGGAAAATAACTCAGGAATGAAAAATCATCCCTTGTTACTAGGAAGGAAAACTGATTTTCTGTTTGCAAGTTGATAAAACCCCATTATTTGTCTATTTCTAAATTTTCAGTGGTACTGCAGATAAATATCAAAAGAATTGTTTTTAGTAGATTCTATTGTTGTTACATGTACACTAATCATACTTTTGTGTTACTGTCTTCCCCTTTCTATAGAGTGCAGTGGCAGACAGAAGCAAGATCTGTCAAAGTATTGGATGGAGCTATGGAGGCAAATACAAGGATAAATAAAATACAAAAACAAATTGCCTTTGCTGATTTGCCTCACTTCTCTCTAGATAATTTTTGTGATTGAGGACTTGCAGTTTGACTTCTCTTAAAACTTTGTGCCTGAGAGCAAGAAAAAGGGCAAACTCTAGAGCTGCTCCAACACTCTACAAGCTTGAAAGATAATGTACCTCCAAAATGTGGAAAAAGTGGACAGAACACTCTCACCAAAGAGGTCCATAAAAAGTCAACAGGTAAAATGCATTCATAGTATTCTTTTTCTGTCACTTTCAATACATTATTTTTCCAGGGAAGGAGGCCATTCAACTGTGTAATTGTATAAATTCTCAATGATCATTAGATTTATAAAGAATGGAGAGCTGCCAGGACAACTGCTCACTTATTAAGGGTTCCCATGCTAAATGCAAAGCTCAGTGTGGGGCTCTCAGTTCTCCTCATGCCCCAGTTAAGGTGGGGCAGTGTGCCTTGGGGACACGGCTCTCCAGGTGACCTGTCAGACACATTTGTCATGTGACTGAAAAACTGTCCTCAAACCTGAGGATGAACAGGTCTCCCAAAACTTTTCTGAATATATGAGGACTAACAGTTATCTTGACAAGTATTCTTTCCTAAATACTTTTTCTGTTTCTGCTTTCAAATAATTATTGTAGTACTGAATGCAGACTGTAAGAATAAATTGCAGACTGTAAGAATAAAGGTGAGTTCTTTTCCCTGTATGGAAACAAAAACCTTTCCCAAGGGAGATGAAATAAAGGTTGTTCTTGCAAGACTCACGTGAGCAGGTTTTTAGGTCCTCATTGATGACAAATCCTTCAGAGCACTGACAGACGTAGGAGTCGCCTGTATTTAGGCACAGTTGCTCGCAGCCATGATTGCTTTCAGCACAGTGGTCCACTCCTATTGATTTGTGTTAATGATTGTAGAAATCACATTGATGTCTTAGATACATAAACTATAACACTGTAGTTAGTACATGATGCAAGGGAAAAAGATTGGTCCAGATTTTTACTTATGCAAGTATCCCCACCTACTTGAGTAACCTGAGTCAATTAACAACACCTAAGTGAAATTAATACATCAACCCCACCTGGCATATAGCAAACTTGGTGAAGGGTAGATTTACTTTGCCAAAAATCCCAATGTGATTGAACTAACACAAAGTGGAGAGAAGGGAGAATCCTGAAGCCCAGTCTCACCCACAGGTTTCACCCACAGAATGATCCTTCTTTAAAAAGCAGGACTCTCTCATCTGTTCACCATTAAATTTTCACAGAAAATATGAGTATTAGTAATTTTTAAAATAGAAATTATGGCTTTCAGATTATTTAATAAAGATTAGATTCTTTTTTCAACAGGATAAGAAATCACCAATTTAAAACTTCAACCTGCCAACAGGTTCAAGCAGTTAAAGCCTCATGGGGGACAGACAGCAATTACGAGTGTGAGACTGTCTTAACATGTTCCATTTCTTTGATTTTCCTATTCCTATTCCAAGTAAGATAAAATGGAATATGTCTTTTAAGTCTTGTATGCAACTAGTTCTGTGAAAGGCAAAAGGTGGAGGAAGGGAGAGAGGTGTGAATTTGATTTAAAAAATACATTTCCTCACAGTGGACAGCAAAGCCGTAGGGTGAGATACATGCCCTTGCACATGGACTATGCAATTTGCTGACTCAGTGAGTATAGGAAAAGGACATTTTAGGAAAAAAGCTTTGAACTTCCTCATAGTATTTTGTGTGCTGTTTTTTTAATGGCTAGTTTTAGTTATATAGGCCTAAATCACTTTAGCTTAACTTGATCAAAAGTAGTGGAGTTCCCTCAGACACAAATATAGTCTCATGTCTCCTTTGCAAATAATTTACAGATGTGAACAGACATGTCAGCTGCAATTTGTTTACATTTTAAAAAATCTGTACTTAATGTTAAATCACTTAGTTTAAATATTTCTGTTTATTAGCTTATTTAACTAATAAGTGAGTAATATAAGCAACGAGTTTGCGGTAATTGGTCCAGATTTGCCATTATACACAGAGAGACAATGTAGGCTTGAACAAATGAAGCTGCGGTGTCAGTTTTTACTAGCTAAAGCAAGTTCCAGCTGGAACCTCCTCCTTTTTCCAAGAGTTCACATCATCATGAAGAGGCTTGTGTAACTTCTTAGAGCACAGAAAAATGTGGAAACAAAAAAAAAAAAATATTCTCTGTGAAAAATTACATCTGTTTGGCTCCATCTTTTCAATACAAACACCCACACCAACACGAATTTTTAACATTTAAATATTTGGGGCTCTCATACAGAATTTTGTAACACACTCTTTCAAAGAGTGGAGTAATCACAAAGGTGCTAATTACCAGGCTTTGGAAATCATTGTAACTGTAAATGTTGTAATAGTATGTGCTTTATTACATGTGTAAAAGAAAAAAATGCAAGCAGGGGAAAGGATGGGAAAGGCTCACTGCTTTTACAAACAAGGAATGACATAGGAGATATTAATTTTTAGAAATTCAACTTGAGATAGTCTAAAACTATAATTGTCAAAAGTAACTCATCCAGATCACCTTAAATATGCCTTTATCACAGTTTATTTAAAAATGATTATTCCCTGTCCTACCAAGTTTTTTAAAAACTTAAATGACTGAGTATTCTTTTGGAAAAGTATGTCGTAAGTACATCAAGGAAAAATGCTGTCAATATTTTAGGTGATATGCAAAATGGTTCTCTGCAATAAAACTCTTTTCTAAAACTGGGTGATGCCAAGTGGGCAGTGCTGTTGGGTTTCTCTGGGGCAATACCAATCCTTTGTTTAGCAACATTCTTCTGAAAAAGGACACTTCATTGAATGGATCACTGAAGGTGTAAACAGAGAAGAGACGGAGCTCTTCATATCCTCACACACCAGCATACAGCAGTATGAGGTGTGCAGGTTACACAGCCCAGAGCACTGTTATGGATGCTCAGCAGCAAGCACTGCCTTCGTGTTAGACAGTGCCTCTGAGTGAAATGGCTGAACACATTTCCCAAGTTATTTGGATTGGAGAAAATGATGCTTTAGTTCTCAATTAGATCAGGGATCTCACAATAGCATTACTTCACTAGGCCTGGCTTCTGGTGGATTTTGCAGTAACATAGGTTTGCATGACTCAGAAACATCTCAAAAGGGACCCAGAAGTCTTTTCTCACTCTGTTCACACCTCTCCCTTGCAGCAAACTAGTCACTGCAGCTCATGAGACACACTCACTGCTGCACGTATCGCCACGGTGTTCTTGGGTGTATCTGGGATGACATTTGCACACAAACAACTCTTCCATGTTAACACATTCATGTTCACAGTCATGCTGACCTAAAGCACAGAAGTTTACTTCTGTGGAGAGAAAAACTGAAGCCAGCCATAAGGGCTTCTAAAGTAAAACAGCTTAGAAAACTCACTTTTCTTAAACAACACTGTGCTTTGGACACCTACTAAAGCTGACAGTGAGATGAGGATCTGAGAGCAGACTGCAAACACTCAGCTATTTAAGGCTTCACTTTGACCCCCACAGATCTCCTCCTGTAGTCACCAGAAGTCCCATGTGGTGGTGAAGGAGGAATGCCTGGTCCTTGTCACCACTCACCTACTGTCCCTGATTTCTGAAAAGGGCATATATGAAAACATTCTGTTTTATTTCACAAGCTTTGCTAACATGACCCTTGTTACAAGAAGATTTGGAATAGGAGCCTAATCCTGGAAACATCACCAGATTTGCAGCCAAATCAAAGCCCCATAAGGAAAAATACCCCAAATGGGAATTACAATTTGCCTGTAATTTGCAATTACATCCTTGGCAATAAATATTTTATACAATGCTGTTCTTTGCTCTATTCGTTCTATTTGCTCTACCAAGGCTATTGAATCTACAAAAACCTGAATGTACTACAATACCATACAGATAATAAAAACCAGAATAGCATAGATTAGTGCAAAAGCAGCAGTTTGCAGACAAAAATGCTTTATGAGAACATATCTTTAAAACTGAACAAAAATACAGTTTCAAAACCAGATACACTTTATGAGTGTCTAGAAATAGAATTAGATTGCTCTAAACAAATTTATTATTCATAAAATATCAGTACATTTTTCTCTCCCCAACAACTGAATCACGAGATCAGCCATTTCATTTTGCTGAATATATTCTCTCTAAACTTTAACACATTACAGTAAAAATCTGCTGTGATTTCGGGCCTCCAATCAAAAAGAGCTGTAACACTGTCTTTCTAAAGCAAGTGGCATATGTGACTGGTTTATAACACCAACATTGCTCATGCTGTTTTTACAATTTTTTTAGGCAACGGTGAAGCTTTGTGTGTGACTCTAAGTTGATTTTGATATCTGTGTCATCTGTTCAATACATTTCCAAGCTGATGAAATGTATCTGTCTTTGGCTAAACCAACTAGGTAAAACAAGGTGTTTTTTTTTTTTAATTTCAAAGCTGCTCATGTCTTTACAAGCCAAGGCCAGAAAGTTCAAATAAGTAATGAACTTATTTGAAATACTTTATTAAGTAATTTTGGTTCCTACATTAATTCTCAGGTTTTCATAACAGTCTTCAAAAATGCCTAATATACAAATTAATCTAAAAAACAGAGAAATATATACTTTCCCAGCATGATTCATCCAGTTAAAATTCAAGTTTATAAAGAAACATTTGTTTCAAACTTAATTACAGAGAAAACTTCCATCCTTTCAGAAGGGAAACAATTCACTGCAGGTTCAAGAAATAAAAGCAGTTTAACTTTATTATGTCCAAAGGATTACTCACTTTTGCATGTTTTCTTATCTGGATTAAGTCTAAACCCTTCTTGGCACTGACAAAAATAGGAATCATCTGTATTAACGCATTCCTGTTCACAACCATGGTCCTGAAGAGAGCAATAGTCTGGTTCTAAACAACAAAAAGGTTTGTGTCAGTGAGTAATATAATTTCTCAGAAATAAGCTAGGTAAAAATGAGTTATTTTGTTTTCTTTTGCCTTTTTATTTCCTTAGGCACCATTTTGGTGTTTTACTATATTGTTTCAAACCATGAAAATAAAATTATTCTTTCTTTCCAAATATCTGCTATACTGATGTACACCTGACATATAGTACAATGAATTATTAGAGAATAGAAATAGTTAATATAATAGAGAAGTAAGAATCTTAAGAATTTCTTAAGATTTTGCAACTAAGCCTTATACATTGCCTCATCAAAATTGCCTCTACTCACTCAGAGCATGTTAGACAATGTGAAATAAACACACAAACATACTTTTGTATGCTGTTCATTAGATCACAGCAGGACAAACAGGTCATCAGGAGTGTGGACGTTTTTAACAGCTCTGAATGCTTGCTTCACAATTTTTCCATTTGAAATGCCCATGGAAGAGAAGATAAGCAGTCTAGCAACAGCTACCACTTGTGGATAAAGTAACTTAGAAAGGATAGCGATTGTGCACTAAGCACTGAGATATTTCCCCTATAGAGTTTAGCATTATTGATGAAGTCAATGAACTTCAGTGTCAGTGCAGTTAATTTATATTAGTGAAAAATGCTCCTAACCCCTCATCACTACTAAAAGTAGATAAACAAGTCACAAATTACATAAATCACACTTCAAAAAACATCCAGGCACTTTTGAACACCTCATTATATAACCTGGAAATTCAGAGGGTTTTATTATTCCCAGAAGTTAACTAATTATTCCCAGAGGTGATTTGCTTTCACAGGCAGGGACAGTTCTTTCCTTGGATTCATGGCAGGTTAATGGAATTGAGTCTTTATATATGATGAAAGCCCTTTGTGGTAATAAACCACCTATATTTTCAGAATAAATGAAGTGGAATGTGACTTCCTAAGAAAACTTGGAAGGACTATGTTATAATTTCTGAACAGCACTCTGTATATTAATTAACATTGATAACATTAATTAACATTTCCTTTACCAAAGCTTTTTTTGACAGCATATGCACATACATATATACATAACATGGAGATATCTTATCTGTTTACTAAAATGAAAGTTAGAAAATATATTTTTGTTCAAGAGGGCACTGAAGAGACAGAACCCATAAAGCCACATATGTGCACCAGAGGAATGCAGCTGTATGCCTTCTGGTCCTAAGCAGTGCTGTGGTGCATTTACCTGCTCAAATCCTTGCTCACTCCAGGAGAGATTTTCCTGGATAACTGATTCTGAAGATGACCACAAGGCTGAAAAATATGTATGATCTTTGTTGAAACCTTGAGGCTATTCTGTTTCAGACACTAAAAACACACTTCACAGGGCTTCATTAACACAGCCCAGATTAAGGATATTAACAGAGCCCTGCCCAGCTACAAATTGTGTGAAACCAGAATTCAAATAGGCCTTTCGTAAAGAGCAACAGTTGAGGCACAGCAGCACCCAGTACAAGCAGAAGCTGCCAACTGTCCTCTTGAGGGGAGCAGCAAGAGTGACAGGAGTCTCCTTAATAATGGCTTGAATGTCCTCCACCTGCCTCACTGATAAACCAAATTTGCTGTGCTCTTCCAGCCATAGAGCATTCTGATGGTGTTGGCAAGGTTGGCTTCATGAGACTGCTCCTTGTGTTTCATTCTAAGAACTTTGGAATGGTTCCCAGAGAAAACATTTGTTACATATGCATGACCATACGGACAACACTTATATTTCCATGCATTTCTTTGTAGCCATGAGCATAAAGGCTTACTTTCTATTTTTGAAAGGGAAGTCAGGATTCTGAGACAATCACGAGCTCTCAGGAGTGGGCGCCTCAGGCCTGCTTGCTGATGCAGTGAATTGGTCTGGCATGGGTGTGAGTCTTGACTAGTTGGCCATCATCCCTGAGACTCAGTACATAAGCCAAATATGTAGAAATTTATGTTAGAAGTTTTGAAGTCCCAGACATTTTAAATCCAGTGATCTGTAGTTTGTTTGTTTGTTCGCATTGTTTATGCAGATGCAAACTCAGTGTGATTCATAACATGTGGGAACTAGGGCACACTTTTGCTCTGAAGAGCTCTCATCTGTCTTGACTTTTGGGCATTAAGAGCTACAACAGTTCTTTCATTCATGCTTTAATTTATCCACAAGGCTCAGAGAATACCAAGTATAAGGAATAGTGGCTTAGTAGATCACTTACTGTGCTTATTTATGCCTAATATACTGTCTCAAGCAACAGATAGAGGATAGAGACAGGTCAAGCCTGAAATATTACTTTACCAGAATATTCCCTCAGGTGTCAACATTCTATGAATCATCGATTTAAATATGTTAAAATAATGCATACAGTTAGTCCATAAACTAAAAATCAATCAAGGCATATGAAATGTTTATGCAGTTTTAAGGACTTTCTTTGGTTCAAACTGGAGGAGAAAACACTGCTTAGACTCCAAATTCTTAAATCAAAGAAATTAATGAAAACTTGTGCTTGGGCAGCGTAAAGCACACAAAAATAAGATTTCAAATATATATGGACGTGGAAGTACAATTAACCAGACCTTACCTGACAGACACTTGACAAATGGGAATGTTAATACAATCTACAAACTATGTTAATCACTACAAATACTCTGGCCTTTGAGAAGCAGAAATTTCATCTCACCTGACTCTGACCATCTAAAACTTATGTGTCTAGTCTGGCAAGTCATCCAGACTCCCTGTATATTTGAGGAAAATACAGGCACTTCCATAAGTTTGTGCCAGAACTGGGAACAATCACCTTTAAGAAGTGTATTTCTCTTTCCCTTAATGGTAAGAACACATGCACAGACTGGATTACATGTTTTCTTCCTAAATGTTCAATTTAAGTGGAATAGATATCAACCATAATACACAATATAAATACAGACTATAGGCTAACCAAGTCTCTCATCAGAAGGACTGAAATGCCCCTCAGTCTGGGAAAACACAGAAATGCAGTGCTATATTGATGCATTTTTTTCAGAAAAAAGGTTTGACTATATTATTCAATTATATGGGAAAATTCACCACTGGCAGCAGCAGCAATCATCTAAAACTAATGGAGCTTGCCTGCTTACAGGCACAATAGTAATATTTCTATATCAAAGCCCACATTTATGAAGAAAGGTAACCAGGAGGGTACATTGAGGTTTTCCTTTGACATTTCCTGAAAAGGAGCTATGACATTAAACACTGTGGAGGTTTTAGCTTGTTTTTTCAATTATGGGAAGCCTTGGCATGAATATTTTCTGGTCTGTCATATCCCCTCCACTTCACATCCATTCCTAACTCCAGGAATTTTTGATCTTTTTAGCCTGGTATCAAATTTGACAAACAACAAACAAGCAAAACCATGAAGTTACTATAAGCTGGTAGAAACATGGAAGCCTGGTAGAAGATACTGATATTGCCAGAACTTTGTGACACCATTAGAGAACTCACTCTGGAGAAAAATCCACAGAAAAACAGACTGCAATGTTTCTTCTGATTGGGAAACTACTCATTATTTTAGATCATATTACAAAGCAAACTGATTCTAAGTTGTCTTGCACAGACTTGTTTGTTTACCCAGCTAGAGAGATTATATACTAACTGAAAAAAAAAAAAAAAAAAAGAATAATCAAAGAGAAACCCAAGGCAAAGCTTTAGCTTTTTGCTGTTGAAAAAGAGCTGTTTCATGTTAAAAGCTTCCTGTTCATAGGAGGGACCTTTATCCTTAGACCCTCCCCTCAAAACAACTTGCTCTGCTTTCAAGACCTTTGGCTTCCAGGGCACTGCTATGTTTTCTATACCTGATGCATTAGTCAGCATTCCCAGGATCAGGGGAGGATTACTGCTGACAGCTGGAAGACAGAAGTATAAACTTTTCATAATTAAACTTTATCACGACTTACTTCCACAAGTTCTTTTGTCTGGATTTAAAATGAACCCTGGGTGGCATCTACAGTAATAGGAGTCCTTGGTGTTAACACATTCGTGTTGGCAACCATGGTTATCCAAAGCACAGTAGTCTACAACTGAAAAAGAACAAGACAAATATGTGCAATTAGGAAACAAAATTAGAACTATTATGCATAGATATTATGGTTCTAGAGAAACAGAGTAGCTATAAAAAAAGGAAAAGCTGATGTAATTGCTGTCCTGAAAAGCTTGTCTGCAAAAAGTAGTGCACTCACAACAACAGTTGGTAAATTAGATTTTAAATGAGTCCTGAATCATTTCTCAACTTTGAACATTTATCAGCTCCCAGATTGTCAGGAGCCTTCTCAACATGTTTTCACAGATCTGGAAACCATGCCTCAGTGAGTAACTCTGTCCAGATGTTCACACTGTAGGCCAAGGCATAGAAAAGTTTGTTTGACTTAGTTCTGTCTTCTGTCTCTCAAGTCCCAGTCCTGGAATTGCTCTACTTTTCCTTATTTCCCTCCCAGCTGTATTAATTCTCAAGAGCTGTTCCTGTAGCCTGAGTATATAGGAGAATCTTGGCATTATCTTCTACACTGAGGCCTGTCACAGTACATTCATTCCCTCTAATGTGCTCCAGATTTGTTCTGTATGAAGCGGCTACAACTGCAAAGCCTGAGAGCTTCAGGCTGATATTCACCATAGATATTCTACTTATGCCTTTTGCATGATAAAAAGAAAGTCACAGGCAGCCCTGCCACCTATTTCATAAGTCTGGTCATTTATTACATGAATCCATATTTAAAATTTATATTGCCAAAGGGTAATAAAGTAATACTTCAGAGTTTGCTCTGTCAAGCCCATTCAAAGTTGCTAAAGAAATTAAAGGATTTTTAAAATTTCTTTGCAGGATAAGCTTCATCTTCACAACAAAAGTCTTAGAAGAAATTAAAGATAAGTCACAAAGCTGGTGCTCTGCCTGCAAAGAGCTCCCAGGCCTACATTAAGAAAGTGTGTACCTGATTCTTTCTGCAGAAGACAGTAATGTGCTTAGCTTCATACCAAGACAGGTTCCTCTTTGCCATCTGAGTACGTTTATTCACTACTTTATACTGCTGAAACTCACAAATTTCTTTGAGGCAGTAATTTGTTTTAATGCAATCAATTCTTTCTTCAATCATGCACACTCAGGTGTGCTACTATATTTAGGCAAGATCATCTAGTCAGGAAAGCAGATTCAATTACTTTGAAAGAGTTTCTTTTAACCCTTTAGAATATTTGAGTTGAATCAAGTCAAGTTACTTACTGGCTACCATATGATACCAATTTCCTGGCAAGAACCTTCCTATTTCCAGACTGAATCAATTAATATTAAAACCTATTTGGTGAATACATGTTTCAAGTATAGAATGTATTATACAATTAGCTTTCCTCTTAAATTAATTCTAACATGCACATTTTCAAGTGTTTAAAAGGCACATTAAGAAATAGGTAGGCCAAAGAATACATGCTATTTAGCATCATGCCTGGGAAATAGCCCATATGGATGTTTCTGTAAAGTTACCTCCTCCTCTGCATTTAAACCTTAATAAATTTAATTTCTACTGCAATACCTACAACTGCCCAAATTATGATTATAACAGTGAGACTAGAATATTCCGTTGGAAGAGACACACAATGACCATTTAGTCCAACTGCTTGACCAGTTCAGAGCTGGCTTTGTCCAAATGACTCTCACACACTGACAGGCTTGGAGCATCCACCTCCTGGATAAAGCCTGTTCCAGTGTTTGACCATCCTCTTGGTAAAGAAATGCTTCCTAATGTCCAGTCTAAACTTCCCCTGGCACAGCTTTGAACCATGCCCATATGTCCTCTCCCTGGGAGAAGAGCATATTTCTACAATGAGTCATGAGATACACATGAGAATGTGAAAACTTGAGAGTTCACTGCTTTGAATTTTATCTTATGTCTATTTAAGTAAGAATTTATTTTCTAAATTATTTATTCGTGTCCTTTTTAGTGAGCAAACTGTTAATTCAGTTGTCATCTCTACATATTTGTTCCACCTTGTTTTTCTCACTTGGTATTAGTAAGTGATGAGAACCACCTTTTACTTCCAGTTAGCAGTTCTGCACTCTGGGTGCTTACATTGTCCTCTCTGAACCATGGACTCACCTTTCTCATAAGGGGTTGTTTTAGCCCTAGGATGTTTATAGAGGTTATTCAGGCTTGGGAGGATGAAGGAAGTTAAGGAGAAGGGTAGGAGAAAAAGGTGTAAAGCAAGTAAATGCATCAGGAGAATGAAAAAGAATGTGAGGGAAGAACAGAGCAGACTCAGGGAAGACTCATAAGAACCTAAGAAGCAGCCAAAAAAATCCAGCAGTGCCAGGACTGCAGAGAGGTGCCAGAAGCCAAACTACTGCCAGGAAAAGGGGAACCAAGCCCAGCAACTGCAGCAAGATGGATATAGTCTAGCACTAGTGCCAGGAAAGAGAGGACACCATGTCCAGCAACACCAAGGTGGAGAGACTGAGTGTCCAGCAGCATGATGGAGAAAGCTCATTACCAGAAAGCTTCAACTGACAGGACTTTGTCCATGTGAAAAACAGCTCAAAAAAGGCAAAGTGATAGTGCCCTGCCAGCCAGATTTACCTCTGAGCAGACATTTTCAAGTATTGTTTAGCCTATAAATTAGTTCATAAACTGTGCATTGCAAACTCTCAGAGTGGCTGGTTGTTCAGTGGTCAGCTTGAATTGATACTTGTAGTTCTGGCTGTGAGATTTCATATAATTATTGCCATTCAGGTAACTGGCTGGCACATGTCAATAAAGCAACTAGTATCACCACTGATCCTTAAATTAGCCCATCATAAAAATTTAATAAACATGCCTGTGAAATGAAGTTTTGGCACTTTCACATCTGCTTTTGCTGTAGTTAAAACTTTAGAAGTCTTAGATATCTTAGATGGGAACCTTTGACTCTTCCCAAGAATATCATAATGTGTATTTCCTACTGAAATTCTCTTTTCCTTCTCTGAAAGGGGAGAAGCGACTAACCTTAATGAAGTCACTGCTTTTTGCAAAATTGTTATTATTCTCAGTGGTCTCTAGTAGATGTGTACATAAAGATATTTCTTTGGATCCTGCTCATTTGATAATAAATACTTCACAGAAAGGAAGGGTTAACTAGCTTAGAAGTAATGAAGACTGAGAGTTATCACTACTGATTCAGTACCGCACATAGCCTCCCAAAAAAAATTTTCCAGGAAGGATGATTATTCATTGGTGATCACATCTGCAGAAGCTGTACATTCTTAGTAGTAGAATATTCCTCAAAAATCTCAAATTGTTCAAACCTGAAAAGTCAAATTCTGGAGGCTGACAATAGGATTTGCAGACAAATTAGCATCAAATTACCCAGACAATCTTTTCCTGTTCAAGAAATGTAGACAAACTAAGTTCTGCATAGACCAAATATAATTAATATACATTGAACCATTCTTGCACATTAGTAAGAAATTTAGAAATTAAGTGGCCAAATATGCAACTGAAAAAGAAAAATAAAAAATAAAGATCTTAACAGTGTGCTTTAAAATCCCAATTAATACTGCTAATTATTGCAGTGGTATGAATAGTATGTATTCATGTTTTGCTGCTAAAAGGTAAAAATCAATAGAAATGGAGAAGAAAAACTGCTATAAAAGATGAGACAGTGAACCCATGCATGATGTATTTTGAAAAGAATTGAAAAGACAATTTGAAATCTTTAACAATTGTGCTTATAATATGTGTATATTTCTTCAAGAAAAAGAGAGTCAGTGAGGAGGTAGGGAAAAAAGTCAAAGATGCATTACGCCTCCAAACAGCACTTTCCCCAGACTTTGCAGATAAGGTATTAACAGACAAAAAAACCAAATACCAATGCAAGTAATTTAGTAAGTGGCATAGAAATATTTTGAAGTTTTAAATAACAAAAATAGACTTTGTATTTATTTCAAAAGATAATATGAGACTTGACATACAAAGAATTTCACCAGAATGAAAGCTCTGGTAGCTACCTTCCTGGTAAGGATATCTTGGTCTGTCACAGATCTTCAACTTAATAGAAAATATTAACAACAGCTGATGACACCAAGCATGAATATTTTGGACTAGAATATATGGTACGAAAGAACTGGGGATGAAAGAAGTTTCCAACAGGAGTCACAGATTTTCTGCCTCAGGATATAGTCAAATAAAGAGCAGAGAAGTATATCCTTTATCCTAATACAAGTAAAGGTCAAGAGGGTCAGCTAAGGTTACTAGGTGAATGTTAGATATAGAAATTTGGGCCAGAACATAAAAACTTGCTTAAATAACCAGTATTATCTGCATTTTCAGAACAATTTGGCTTCAAAAAGCAGGCTTTTCAAATGGTACATGAGTGGCCAAATTATGCTGGAGACAAATTATATCGAGACCTTTAAATACTCTTATACTGAAATCATAAAGCTATAGGTAAAGGAAACATTTCTGATGATCAAGCACAGAGTGAATATTCTTCAAAATCTCACGTTATTCCAGGCCTAAAAAACCTCAAAACCTTGTTTGTGAGTCCTGTGTGAAGTTACATGAATAAAGTTCCACGAATTGTCACCTATATTGCATCTCAAAACAGGGTTATCCTGCAAGCCAATAGCTCTTTGAAGGTAATAAGAGAAAGATATGTTGGAATGGTCTTAAAATGACAAGAAATAGTAGGGTGTTGCAGAAAAGCATTGTGGTGGCCTGTGGCAGATTTGAGGCTAAGGATTGACTTGGATTCATTTCCATGGGACTTCAATTTGTGTTTGAAATTAAGCATGTATCTAAGTGCTTGCCTGAAGAGAATACCTAAGAAATAATATAATTTTTTATCCAGATCTCACTAGGGCTTTTTGCAGTGGAAACCAGAAGACAGCATTTTCTCACAATGTAGCATGGAATGAAAAGTTTACAAGAATAGGTACATAGGCTTGTAAAAGAGATTATACTATAAGCATTTACCACACATAAACAGAGAAGAAGACTGAGATATTTACAGAGTAATAGAGAGGGAAGTACGTTTTGTGCTAAAGAATTATTGTACCATATTTCCACACTCTCTCTTTTGAGCTGTAATTCTTGGAATTGATATTTACTTCCACACTGCCCGCAGTGAAAATTAAAGGCACATAGTGGATGGGTTCCTAAAGTGACTAAACTTTCCTTAAAGTCACCTTTTCAAAAAGGGAATGAAATCTCTCCTCACATCACCATAAAGTCAAGTGAAAAAACATCAAGAAATTGTCCCTTTTCAAGCTTTTCTGTGCATAACTTCTGTCTGAAGAGGAGCTACTGAGTTTGTCCACCTTTGATTTTTTAATGGCCACATATGTCATTGCCAATACATTGCTAGCCACCTACATGGATCTTGAATAAAACATAGGGTGTGCCATTTCAAAATGGAAAATTACTTTCTGTGTGAAATTGGTTGGAACAATTTTCCCAAGACACCATTCATTATCAGTAAAGACCTACAAACATGTCAATTATGTGTGCTTTGTTATCTACCACTCATACAGGAGCACATAATTATCTATGGCTGAAGTGGATACTCATTTATATTGAACTTTGCTTTGGTTTGTGTCAAGAGATAAATGTGAATTGCTGAATTCATACTCACCAACACAACTCTTGCCATTTGCATCAAGCTCATACCCGTCATAACACTGACAGACGTAGGACCCCAGTGTGTTCACACAAATCTGCTCACAGGCGTGTTTCTCCACAGCACAAAGGTCCTGAGCTACAACACATAATTGCATGAGTATGACCTTCTTTGACCTTCTACAATGCACAGGTAGACCATAGATCAATGTACATTTCAGGAAACTATGAACAGCTCTTTACAGATGAGCTCATTTTAACACAGATCATGCCAATGTTCTGTCAAACAGTGAAAGACAATAGGATCAGTCACTCAATGCTGAGGCACTCATTCATTCAGCTGATGGCAAAGACTATTAATGGACCAATGATGCCTAGTAGAGTTCCTTGATGTATGTTTCCCTAAAATGTTCAAAGCACATTTTTCAGGGATTTTTAAAAAAAGATTAAACTAATTGTGCTTATTTGTGTATTTCTGGGGTTTTATTTTGCATAACCAGATAAATGATGATGAGGCTGGAGAGGGAAAGAAAAGGAAAACACAATAGTAAAAAACATGGGGATATTTAATTTCTGAGTTTTAGAATTTTTCAGTTTTATGCAAGATACCACCTCAAGTTACCCCTCCCATGCGAAAGATCTCAAAAAAATGACCATGACAAATGAGGTCAGTTCAGCACCTAGCCAAATAAAGCACACTGGGCTTTCTTTTCAACAGACCAAAGCTTTATGAGAACCCCAAGTTTCCCCAGCGAAAGTTCTGGAAGACAGAGTACTTTGTGTTGCTCAAAGACTGCTCAACACACAATGGTCATTTACAGCTACAAAATAGGCTTTTGGAACACATTTGAGGAAACCAGCCAAACAAAAACAAATTTTCTTTTATAACTGTCTACTTCATATCAAGTGGCATGATGAACAGCATAAACAGTCGCTTAACTCTTTTGTTCCAGCATAAACAGCCACAAATAGATAATTTTCCAGCTTGTTTCAGCTACATTCCTCTTTTGTATTATTTTGTTTATTAATGTAAGATTTGAGCATCTCTAGAGAAGAATGGGAGAGATTAGTTAAACAAACAAATACAGTGTAATAAGTAAAGAATACCCACTATCTGACACAAATACTCTTCTCTAGAAAAGGTAGACCACAGTACGCAAAAGGAGCATCCTTTCATGGATGCAAAACCATAATAATTAAACAAATGTAAAAATACTTTTAGCTAAAAAAACAAAAGCATTTCCCAGCATGAAGTGAAGTTGCCAGTTCATTGCTGATTGAAGCCATTTGGTTAAGGGCCTCAAAGAACTGAGTACTGATAGCATATACTCTCACATTAAAAAAAAAAAAAAAAAGGGAACAGAAGAATAAAAACAGAGTTGAACAAAAGAATGAAAAGAGACTATAACATTAGCTACATAGCATTCATCTTTTCTGCACTACTTAATTCAGAAAGTGTTAAATTATGTATGTAAAGAAGCTATTTGTTCATTGAAGAGCTGCCAATACAACCAAACCTTAGATAAATACATCTGGTTTATGTTGATCATGTACTTAACATAAACATGATGAAGATCTATTTTACTTAGATGTGAAGTGAAGAATCCATTGTCTCTGTGCACTTGAGGGCAATTAACAGCTAGTGAAGGTAACTAAAATACTCCCAGACTATGCATTTTTCTTCCACTGTGGTTCTCCTACCTCCAGACCTAAGTGTCCCCTTTGTTCAGGCTTGGCTCCCCATCCTCATGAATTCTGTTACATCTCTGTGGGGATTTTAGATGTGAGTGACCATTTAATGCAATTGTTTGATCTCCTCTAGACTGACAGTGCATCATCTCTCTCTTTCACCAATGATTTGCACTATCCTAGCACATTTATGGCCAGTTTGATAACTCAGATTTCCAGTGCTAATTGCTAAAATTAATTTATGATTTGGTGATGTAAAAGAACCAAGGACTACAAACACATTGAAGGACAAACTTCCCTTTCATATTGATCAAAGTGCAATCTGGTATCATCTTACTGATGATCAAAGCAGGTGAATCAAAGAAATCATGTGAGAGGTAAGTGGGGAAAACTAATAGATATCATAGCTAAAAAAGAAGGTAAAGCAATGCAGCAAAGGGCTTTGAAAAATGGTAGAGAGGGAGCATATTGAGGGTTACTGTGCATGGATCACCAGCAGGAAAATTACACACAATTCCAAAACTCTTCGAAATTAACCTGTATTTGAAGCAGTGCAGTGCCCAAATGCTGAACTACTGGCTGAGAAAAACTATGGAAATGTAACAGAGTAAAAAGAAGATACAGTAAAGAAATAATTTTTCATACTTGTAATTTTTTTTTAATTTATTCACAGACCTTCACTGTTTCATTAGTGCTTAGTATTTGATATTAAACACAGCTCAAAGCAAGAGAGACTAAGAATCCACTAATCACAAGATACCTGGTAGTTTTATGGCACTCTCCTGAGATACAAAACATCAAACACAATGATAGGTTTTGAGCCTGCAGTCTTCACCTTAGTTCTAAATTATCAGTTGTAAGAGCTACATCCTATGCTCTCATGATTGATAACTGTTTCTCACAGGTTCTTGAAAAGACGTTTTCCAAAATTTTTCTTCTGGCTAAAATCAATGTAGCAGCTTTAATTTTAATCCATTAACTTTTATGTGAATCTGTACACTGCTATGTGATAAAAACTTGAATTTTTAGCATGCACATTTTCCACAAGTAATTAAAGATAGTGTTACAAAATTTCTTTAAAATAAGGGGGATACAGAAATAAATTTGGCATATCCCTCTAATATAAATTGCTGTTAATTACTAGAAGAGAAGTTAAAATGGACTAACAAAATACTGATCACAAAAATCAAAATTAAAGTGAAATAAAGTTTGTTGTTACAAACTATACAGCAAATTACTCAAAACTGAAAAAAGTCAACACTTTTAAAGAGAGGATAAGCAAGACTTCTGAAACCATTCTTTGAAAGGTTGCAAACCCTTAATTTTCCACCAGCAGTCAGAAAGAGCTTTTCAGAATGTTATTTCAGTTTTCTAATATGGGGATTTTTGCACCTTTCTGTACCTTCTAGTACTGTTGCTAGCTGGACAAGTTAGTAAACTATCTAAACTCACTTCATTTGAGATGATAAAGTTATTGATTTGGTTGTTTTTAATTATTGAACTTAAAATACCAATAAAATTCAAATGTAATTTAATTACAGTTACAGTGTACCTCTGCAGAGTTGTGTATAAAATTCAGCTGGATGTATTTCAGAAAGATTTGTAAGAACTTCACTTAAAGCAAGAAAAATAATTACAACTTCACCTTTCTAGACACTTTCTGATGATTATAATTAATTATGTACTGACCTTAGTTCTTTATGAGCCCAACAGAAAGGGTAAGTGATGTTAAACACTTTTTGGGAATATGAAAGAGAAAAGAAATATAACATACTGCTGCAAGTCTTCTGGTCAGCATTCAGAATGTATCCTTGTTTACATCTGCACAAGTAGGAGCCAGGGGTGTTTATGCAGAAGTGATCACAGTGATGCTCAACTATACTGCACATATGAGGCACTGAAAGAAAAAAAGGAAAACATTATTAGCTACTGGTCTTAATTACTTGTAGTCACAACTGAAAAAAAACTGGTGTAGAAAATTTTAGTGAAGTAACTCAGAAATTTCAAATTAAGTGTCACTAGTAAAGACAAAAATGAGAGCTTAAGAAAATAAAAATACGCAAGGGAGTATCTGAAAAAAATGAATAATTTCATGGCCCTATGAAGACAATGAAACAAACTTATTATAATCAACGTTAGAAAATAAGTGAAGTTTAAGTGTAAGCTGATTTAGAGGAAATTCAGTTTCTCACATGAAGAAAATCACCACACAGCACCCAATAATAAAGAATGACTAAAAAACAACTTAATGAAGAGACTATTTTAATGAAGAGACTGTTTTGCTTGCTTAGTTATGAATGTTGAGGTACATGCAAATAATACATGATGACACTGAGTATATATATCTCCAAGATTCATTATGCAGGAGCTGAGTTGAGCTACCCTCCATATTGTACATCTTTCTGAGTCTACTTTTGTTCTGTTTGTATTTTATGTCTCTAATAGCAAGTATTAAAATGCAGCAGACAGACAATGAAAGAGAAAAAGAATGGAGGCCCATTCAGTCAAACTCATTGTTTAACTATTTTTCTCCAGAGCAGTATTTGGGATAAAAAAATCTTGATGTTTTCTTTCCAGTGCAGCATTGCTTGTATGTAATCTCTATAATATATAAGTGAATTACTTCTCAGAGAACTTATGTGTGGCAAATTATCTATTTTGCTCAACAGCAATTAGGGATTGATGTGTTCCTTAGCGTGCTAGGTCGACAAAGCTCAGAATTTATGGAATAGATATTAACAGTAATCTTCTAGAAGCCACAACAGAAACTTGCTAAGTAACTTAACCTTGTAGGTGTGGTACTTGTGGAAAAAACCCACATGATTTTAAGATATATACTATGTATCTGCTCTTTGGCATGGTTACAAGAGTTAGGTATTTATTGCTAACAAACCCTGAGAATTCCCTAATGTCTCAATCAGCTTCTTGGATTTCACAAATTTGTCCCATAATAAATCTTCTCAAGTACTTTTATTTATGTGAACATAGACCTGCTTTGACTTCTTGTCTTGTCATCTTTCTGTCGTTCTGAAAATGATAGCATTCAATGACAGAAGTCCAGTAACTCACGTTCTTCTGAGAGTACTTTGTTGCTATTACGAATCTTCCCATCTACCACACAAGTTCAGTGTACATATTCTGTAGTGTTTCTGTTGCCCCCATTTCAGAGCAGTGATACTCTAGTCATTAGTCTGATTTCTGGTGGAATCTGCTCTCTGAATGATTTCTGCAACCACATCTGTTTCAGGAGGTGTTCAGTGATCACAGGAAGGTAATAGAAAGGGTGATCTCATAGTTAACCAATAATCTGAACATGAGCCTTGTTGTGAATTAGATCTTATCTCTATATCACAGGGTCCTTATTTGATTTTGGGCAAGACAATTATACCAATATCTTCAAGGAAACATCAGCCTTCACACTATAACTGTTCAGACAGAAACACCTGAATCTGGATTTGCAAGAATGCAAGTGATGGCTGTAGAGCTGTGAATAACATGTTGTATTAGCTCCAAAAATGTTACATGCCTGAAAATCATACCAGGGATTGCACTGAGTCAAATATTTAAAGTTAGTGGGTGGTTTTGACAAACTTAACCTTGTTTCTGTGCCTCCATTTCTCCAATACAAAATGGGGATGACACCACTATTTACATTACAGGAACGTAATAAAGACTTTATTTGCCCTGGACTACTCCATCCCAAGTTCTGTCTTTCTCCCACTTCATCTAATCTCCATCTCCTTTCCTGGATTCTGTTCCCATTTCCACTGACATTCTTCAGAGTTTTCAACTCTTGTCTTATTCTTCATGCTTCTGATCCCTCAGGATGCTCTTTGCTTCTGTTTTACCTTTCTAACTAGTAATAAAAAGGGGTCCTGGCTTCAACTGGTGTTTCTGACATCCCCAAACCTTTAGCAGTCAGGGGCAGCAACTGTAGGGAACTTCTGACTTCATAGAATAGAGCACATCCAGTTTACAGGAATTCTTCTGAAAATATAGGTCCTAGGTACTTAGTGGTCTTCCCCCATCCAGTAATAAGTAGTGGTTATTTTGGCTTACTTTTTGTTTTCCCCACAGAGCTTCACCATTTGGCCATGGTTTTCTCTTGTCATCACAGGAACCATGAGCACACATTCTCACAGACATAGGAGTGATTCAAACACAAGGACAGCTCAAGGGCCAAAGGCTTTTCCCACAGCACAAAGCTCAGCAGAGAGCATTCCGGAAGACTTGACCAGAGAGGTGCCTTCAATGGCGTTAGCAAAGAAATAAGGTGTCCAGATCTTCCACTCAGCTACAATGATACTGCCTCTGGGTCCACATCTGGGAGGACCAACCACATTTCCAGGAGGAATGTAGGTGCTCTAGGAAGCAGAGGCTATGATTAGCCTCTTGAGTAAAGCTCAAGCTGAATGCTGCTTCACAATCAAGAGCAAATAAAATGTTATGGATCCTGACTTCAATTTAGTACCTTATGTTGAAATCCATATGAATCTAACAGCTTAAACTCTCTGTTGAATCTGGGTCTGAGTTTTTAAACATGTCTTAGGATCTCACTTTGATTTCTCAGCACAGCAAATCCTGTGGAGGCACTCCCTGGGAGCAGGAGGCAACCGCATCCTTGTCACCTCCATAGTCCTCCATCAGCAGCAGGGGGGTGGCTTTACTGAGGAACACATAAGTTTGATTAAAAGTTAGATAAAAACTCTGATAAATTTATTAGACACTGCCCAATCAGAAAAAAAAAAAAAAACTAACCAAGTAAATGGTATTTGTACTGGATTTGTTTCTAAAGCATAATCTTAAAAAAATCTGCATTTGCTGTGCATTCCATTTAAACGCTGAATCCATGATTAGTTTACTTTTTCTTGGTTTTTAAATATATCCTACTACGCCAGCTAATAATACAGCAAGGAAGAAACAGGAAAAAAAATCTATTCTCTGATGAATGTCTGTGTTGGTGTTTTGTGCTGAGGCAGTACAGCTGCTCTTTGAAACAATTTTGGAAAAGACCAAGTAAGGAAAATTCTCCAGACTATCGTTACAATAAGCTGCAGTGCTTTTCTGGCAAAAGCATCCCTAGACGTGAGTGAGCATTTAATCTTACCATGCATTCTTTTTCCAGATTCTAGTGAAAATACATCAGTTTAATGCCAAATTTCTATGAAATACTTTCATATTTATCTCAGGAATAAATAAAAAAGAAAAGTCTACTAAGCACATAGATTAAAATAAAATGAATTATGAATGCCATAATATTTGCAAAAAGGAATTCCTTATCAGGGAATTACAGATGGAAGTGATATCTCTGTTGTTAGTTAATGCCTATTTAAATATTTACCTTATTGTATGAATGAATAATATCACTGCAACAGCTTTTCCTAACTTCTTGTATTTGAAATAGATGTAATACAAAAGCTGCTAAGTCTGTGTTTCACTTCCAGTCACAAGGCATATATCGAAATGATTCTTTGCATAGAATTAGTATGTAAACTTTGGAAGAGGAATCCATGAACTCTCAAGACTATTTAAATAACTGAAAGACTGTTCAGCAGTTTTAAGTTTCACTACTAAGGGAGATCACACTTAAAATGAAGAGATGAAAAAACATATCTAATATCCAAATAGTAGAGATCATAAATTTATTGCTATTATGCAATAAATAGGAAAATCATGATATGTGTGTTTGCCTAACTGCTTATGAGCAATTAAATCACATTTTATGGCACTTAATAGTAGTGTGAGTTTTCCCCACATGTGTGACTGCTGCTCTGGATGTTGTTTGGCTAATCTCCCTTCAATATATATGTTCTAACATATAAGGTTTCATGTAAAAAAAAAAGTTTAATTATAATGTATATTTTTTCTGTTTCACTTTCATCTATATATTCAAATCTATAGATAAAAATCTTACCACAAAGTTTAGTCTGGAAGGCAGAGGTTAGTGTTTCAATCTGACTGAAATTAGCAACCAGAAACACATGTTCTTCATGTGGCTCACTCCCAATGGACTTCAGAGTGTTCATATCCACTCTTCCCACTCCAATAGCAAAAATGAGGATTCCTGAGTTACGTGCTTTAGCAGCAATCTCTGCCACTGGATCTTGAGGTCTCCCATCTGTCACTATCATGATAATTCGGGGCACATTCTGCCTCAGAGGTCGAGCCCCCTCTGTCTCTGAAAATGCAATGTTCACCGCATACTGCAGAGCCAGTCCAGTCATGGTGCCAGTGCCCAGGTGCATCATCCTCTTCACCGCTCTTTCGATGTCCTGCTTCCGCCGGAAAGTCTTCAATGAAAACTCCTGTTTGACGGTGCTGCCGTACTGAATCAGACCCACGTGTGTGGCATCAGGGCTGATGTCCAGAAACTGCAAGATGGTCAAAATGAACTCCTTCACTTTTTCAAAGTCATAATGACTCACACTGCGAGAGCTGTCAATGATGAAAACAAGGTCCAGATGTTTGTTGTTGCAAGAATTTTCTAAAAGAAAAATGCAAAAATAATACTTTACAATTTCAAAAGGCAAATAGGTTCAGTGCTCTGAAAATTCAGGAAAAATAAAACATACCACAATTACGACTACTTGGGCAATATAAATTTGTTCTCCAGTAAATAACAAAAACTACCTAATACTTGATCATTATATGTATTTTTGTGTGCGTGTGTATATGTGAGTTAAGTGCCCAGAATGGTTAATGGCAGTGGAATGGTGAGATAGAATCACACAGAGCTTGGATTGGAAAGAACATTAAAGATCATGTAGTTCAAACCCCCTGCCATGAGCAGGGGCATCTTCCACTAGACTGATTTACTCAAAGCCCCATCCAACCTGGCCTTAAACACTGCCTGGAATGGGACATTTACAACCTCTCTGGGCAGCCTTTTAGAAAATAATTTCTTCCCTATATCTAATCTATACCTGGCCTCTTTTAGTTTATTATTGGCTCATTACTTCTTGTCCTACCACCACATGCCCTTGTCAAATGTCACTCTTCAGGTATTTATGCGTTACCCTATTGTGTCATTGTTGAGATTTTGACTTCATTCCCCATGCAAGAGTGGAAATCCTCTCTGAATGACAGTTAACTATTTAAGTGGGCTGCACTGTAATGTTTTGTGTGGCAGGGCCTGAGAATTTAGAAATCTAATACTGTGACAAGTCAGGAGAATATAAGTGTTTCATTAAAAACAGAGAAAACAGAACACAAAGGAACACATGTCAAAAACATCTGTTAATTGCACTGACTGATAAGAAATGTGAAGGGACTGTTTTTTCAAGGAAATTGGCACTAAGCAGCACTTTGTATGTACAAACTACTGCTCTCAATGGCGTCAACTGCAGCTGTGAGTGCTCAGCAGTTCTACAAATCAAATGTCATGATTTCAAACATGTAATTAATACCCATCTGGGGAAACTTTCATGTATTGGACTAGCTCAGCATCACAGAGAAATTATATAGTTGCCTCAGAGAGAAAATCCTGTTGTCTGCAGTGGCACTCCACTCAGCCAAAAAAAAAACACTCATAACTGAACACTCCCTGAAATCTATGTCAGCTATCAGAAGCCTTTTTTTATAAGAGTTACTGAAGCAGAAATATTACAGACAGAGTATGTCTATATCCAACTACGGCACAGATGGGCAGGCCAAGCTATTAGGGACAGCAGCAGAAGTGAAGGCTGGCTGCCTTCTAGGCATCTGAAGAGCTTTCTGGGACCCTGGGTACGTCCTCCAGCTTCTGCTCAGCATACTTTTCTGAAAGAATATAAGAAATATGAGACACAAGCATGAGCTGCATGATGACAATGGATAGGGACTGACCATTCACAGGAAGCCAGCACATGACAGGCTTGAGGCAAGCCTGTGAGTTGAGCTATCAGACTTGCCACAGAAGAAGACAGCATGTGGAAAAAGATTAAAAGGACTTTGATGGGATACTGATGAAAAGAAATCAACAGAGGTTTAATGTGTATACTAAAGACTCCTCCAAATTAGGAAATCCCTGAGTCACAAAAGCATTGCAGTTCAGGGAATAACTGCAGGTGGCATTCTCTTCTCCTTAAGTTATTCCACATGCATCTACTTTTGGCCTCTGTCAGAGACAGAACATAGGGTCAGATATACCTATGGCTTCAATCATTGTGTATGCTCATCTTGAATTCTTGTGGCTATGAATAAACCTATGATGTTGTTAGTTGTGTTTGTATACCTGGCCTGAAAGGTTACAGATGGGAAGAATGCTCATCAGACTGCAGTGGCATCCTCATTTTACTAAGATGAGACACTCCTAATCAGTAGTTTCCTGTATTGCCAAACCAAATTCAATTCCCAGTGCACTGTCATCCATCTGGTACAGTGAATTAGGCAAATGTTTGGTGGAAAAGTAGTGTCTGACTGTATAATCAAAAATCATGTCATACTTCACTAGTACAAGTGGACCAATCAAGGACTCAATTGGAAAAATGTTTTGCCAAACCCAATTCAATTCCCAGTGCACTGTCATCCATCTGGTACAGTGAATGAGGCAAATGTTTGGTGGAAAAGTAGTGTCTGACTGTATAATCAAAAATCATGTCATACTTCACTAGTACAAGTGGACCAATCAAGGACTCAATTGGAAAAATGTCTCTCTGTGGACTGTCCTTTAAACAAATTCACTTGTGACTGCTGACGAACACTTGATGAGCATTTCTGCCAAGGCAGGGGGTGAGAAAGATGCCTGTTTTCACTCGTTAACTCAGAAGCCTCTTTCATAGATTACCAAGAACATTTTTGGGCACAGAATAAAAATGCTCTTTAATGACAATAAAAATGACTGCCTGGATTTATTCATGTGCAGTCTACAGTACAGCTTTATTCATAAGCATAGGAATATGCTTGGATTGCTTATTATTTCAAAATCAGAGTAGGCTGAATATAAGCCAAGCTGAGCAGAAAAAAAATTCCCGTTCTAATGGGATACGGATATCCTGACATAACTATTTTCTACCTATTATCTTAATTATCTTATATACACATAAAATTACAAATTATCTTTACTAATATAACATGAATTATTCCAGCAATACAAAGATAATGCCAAGTTATGATTTGTGGGAGCAGACCAAGAGGAAAGAAGGATAATTACAGAAAAAAAGGCTAAGAATGTGTGTGCATATGAGGGGAAGGACAGACAAGGGAGATGGATAAAATGGCTGCTGATTTATTTCCTTTAAAACATTTCAGCATTGATTTACTAAAGGTTAATCATGCCTGACTAGCCTGATTGCCTTCTATGATGAAACTACTGCCTGGAGGGATGGGGCAGAGCAGGGGATACCTCTAGTTCAGCAAGGCTTTCAACGCTGTCTCTCACAACATCCTCACAGGCAAACTCAGGAAGTGTGGACTGTGTGAGTGGACAGAGAGGTGATTTGAGAACTGGCTGAACAGCAGATCCCAGAGGGTTGCACAAGGTCTGGTTTGAGGCCTGTCACTGGTGGTGTCCCCCCAGGGTTCAGTACTAGTCCCAGTATTGTTTAACTTTTCACCAATAACTTGAATGAAGGAGCAGAGGCCTCCTCAGCAAGTTCCCTGACAACACAAAGCTGAGAGGAGCGGCCGATACCCCAGATGCCGAGCAGCCCTTCAGAATGGCCTCAGCGGGCTGGAGAGATGGGCAGAGAAGAACCAAAAATTCAACAAAGGTGAATGCAGGGTCCTGCACCTGGGGAGGAATAACCTGCACCAGTACAGGATGGGGGCTGACCTGCTGGAATCAGCTCTGCAGAGAAGGCCCTGGCGGTGCTGAAGGACCATGAAATGTCCATGAGCTGGCACTGTGTTCTTGTGGCCAATAAAGCCAAATGTATCCTGGGGTGCACTAGGAAGAGCATTGGCAGCAGGTCAAGGGAGGTGATCCTGCCCTTCTACTCAGCCCAAGTGAGGCACCATCTGGAGGGCTCTGTCCAGTTCCAGGCTCCACAGTACATGAGAGACATGGAGCTGCTGGAGTGGGTCCAGAGGAGGGCTACAAAGATGATTAGGGGACTGCAGCATCTCTCATATCAGGAAAAGCTAGAGAGTTGGGCCTCTTCAGCCTTGAGAAGAGGCACCTGAGGGGGGACCTCATCAATGTCGGTCAGTCTCTGAAGGGAGGGTGTTAAGAGGATGGACCAGGCTCTTCACAGTGGTGCCAAGCAATAGGACAAGAGGCAGTGGGCAGAAACTGATGCACAGGAAGTTCCATCTGACCAGGTGGAGGAAAAACTTCTTTATTTGTGTGGGTGCACTTGAACTGGCTGCCCAGAGAGGTGGTGAAGTTTTCCTCAGTGGAGGTATTCAAGAACCATCTGGACACGATTCTGTGACATTTTGGTGCTCTGGGATGGCCTTGCTTGAGCAGGGAGGTTGGACCTGATACACTGGAGATGATACACTGTGCTCCCTTTCAACCTTGTCCATTCTGTGATTCTATGAAAACAAATCAGAACTACAGCCATGGTATTGAATCCTTTTAACTGGAATATAAAGATTTGGATCTCAGTCTGAAGAGACTCATTTGTCTATTCTGAAGTCTGGAATGAATCTTGGTGGTAAAAAGCCTGGAGAGCCTTGGTGGACAGAAACACATGACATTGTGCAGAATTACTTTGGAAAAATCTATTAACCTGAATGAAACACAGTGTTTTTCAAAACTACCTTGACCAGCAATGTTCTGTCTACAGAAATACCAAACATTTCCAAATTAAGACATATTTAAAATCTTTGTCTTCTGATTTGGTATGATTTTTTTTTAAACAAAAAAAATATTTTTGTTTAAAAAATAATTATTAAAGTTGATTTAACTTGGGCTCAGTGAAAAATAATATATAACTCTTCTACAGATAAAAAAATCCACTTTGGTGGTATTCTGAGGAGTGGCAATAAGTAGTAATGACTGACAGATCTAAACACTTATCCCCTTAGATAAATTTTCAGTGATAGCTTTTTAGTAGTTACATGCTTCTCCATTTGTCCTGTAAACTACAATCTCTTCCTCTGACCAGCTCTCATTTTGAACAGTGAACTTTCTCACAACTTTGGCAAACATATTTATAACCGAAGTAATTCTCTTTCACTCTTATGAAAATTGACATACTCACTGAAAAGAGCTACTCATCCATAAACCTACTTCTAAGTCAGCAGAGGTCTTGTATTGCCAACACAAAAGTTTAAAAAACCCCCAGTGTGGGTTGTATTATCCAAAGTAGAAGCCAGGAGAGGCTTTGTCCAACAAAGACAGAAGGAAAGATCAAGTCAGTAGTAAATATGTTCTCCTTCTCCACTCAATATCCACTTCATAAATGACAGCTACAGTCATGGCACCTTTGGAAAACTAACAATGCAAGGAAATTTCAGTTCTACTAAGAAGAATCCAGCTGGGATCCTATTACTGAGAGATACATAAAACAAAGCTTTAAATAATATTGAGCATCTTCATTTCCTCTAAAGCTGGAAATT